GATGTCAACACGTCCAAGCTGCTCGATGACCGTTGTGAAAAGCTTTTTAATGTCTTCCTCTTGAGATACATCGGCTTTCACAGTAATTGCTTTGACACCCAAGGACCGGACCTGGTCTGCGACGTTTTCGGCTGCCTCAGGTGAGCTGAAATAGTTTATAGCGACATCAGCACCGTGCTGAGCAAGTCGTACAGCGACAGCAGCTCCAATTCCTCGGCTTGAGCCAGTGACTACAATTTCATAGAATGGTCAACACCCGTACTGTATCTCTTCTACGGTGTCTTTCTCAAAGAAATGGAAACATACCAAGAGCGACTTTGCCAGTGAAATTCTGTGACATCCGTTCCATGATGTGTTAGATGTTGCGAAGTTTTCAATTGCAAGATTATTTTGATTCCATTCTCAAGCTCTTATGGGTTCACATCACAAATCTGGAGTGATGTCATATCCTGATCTCGGCAACTCGGTTCATCATGAAAGTCGACTTGCATGTTGGCCGACCGCTATTTCGGCCTCGGGTTTGAGATGTGAGGCCGAAGGTTTGTAAGAGCGGAATCCCTTGCGTGTTCGCTAGTCCCACGCTTCATTGACCGCCAATGAGCTTGATTCCACGTATGACGATCATTCTTGAATGCAGCCTTAACGTTATGGGGTAAATCAATCTCCGTGTTTTGGGCCGGATGCCGAGCCCCTGGAATGCCCCGGGCACCCGCTACTGTACCGTACTGTACAATGTATAGTACCGCACTTAAAGATCTTATTGAACCAGTCAAATAATAAGAAACAACCGCTTCAGAGCGTACAGTAGAGTACGGGGTATAGGTACAGTAAACAGAGCGCTGGGCCCAGATGTTTCTACAGTTACGAGCGGTTAGGCAATCAGGGCGTAGAGGGAGGACCGCACGATCTGGCTTCATTTCGTTGTACATAAACACAGCCTATTGCCCTTATGACGACCCCAACGAGGCGCGTCATAAAACATATGTATCCAGATAATAGCCCATCATAAGTCTTCCCGGGCAGTTCAGAAATGGTACAGTATCCTACCTAGATAATTAAAGCCTCTAACTCCTCGTTTCTCCTTGAAAGGTAAACAAACCACTACACGTCACTGCAAGGTTACCCCCAGACATGCCAACACCAAGTCCAGATCCCACATCTTTTATGGAAGTAACCCGCTGTAAAAGTTCCCGAAAATAATCGGAAAACAAGATCAGATTTGGAGCGGTTGTGACCGTGGTCATTGTGATATCGTAGACAGATCTGAGAGGCACCAGCGAGCTTATAAGGGGGATTGTACGCAGGTGGTGTGATTTAATATGTCACGATATAAAGTAGGACGTAATCAGCGCGAATGAGATTATTAAGTAGCAGTCAAACCCTTGGAATGTAGCCACGCTAGTGTTGGCGAATTCACTCTTCAAATTTTGAACCCTTTATGCACATTTATTTGATCGTGTCAGTTGAGAGACAGCGAGGTATTCCCCCGCCATGTAGGGCCCATAACGTTAGTAGATGACCTATGTTGGAAACAACGGTTTTTCATGTTTTGAAAATGCATCAAAGGGTTGGATTATATAGCAAGACTGCCCAGGTGCACCATCGCATCGCTGTGAGGTTTAACGTTAAATATATCTACGTATGTTGGGAGGTGCTCACCGGAAAATTGACCTTGTCAGTCCTGAGGCACCAAAAGATGACTAAATCGACTCCCCGCCACTTGACCGTCAGTCACATGAGGGGGAGGTAGGCTGAGGTCACCAATGTGGGAAATGGTTTTTTCGAACCTCCACGAACTCCAACTCTGATTCACTTCTCTTCCACATGGCTACAGAACCCACAAAATCGAAACAACCGCTGTCGCGTGAAGGCGGATCGTCATTGCTACACCGGAGTTGTCATGATTGCAATCGCAGAAAGGTGCGATGTAGCAAGGAATCTCCCTGCGACAATTGCGTCAGGCTTGGGATTGAGTGCACGTTTCCCCCACCTGGCCGCAAATCTCGGACAACAGTGAAAAAACCGTCGAAGAAGTCGCAGTTGCTCTCACGATTGAGTCTCTTGGAGCAAGAAGTCCAGAAACTGGGTGGACAAAGCCAACCCAGAGCTCCCTCTGAGGACCTACTAGAGCAGCAACCCTACCACCAGGACTCGCAAAACAGCTTGAATGTGCAATCATGGCTAAAAGGGAACTCGATGGCCGATCAGTCAATGCCATCGGATGGACATGATCCTGAAACCAGTGGAGAAGTCCGGTCGCCGCAGGAGAATTCTACCACACTCAGTGATCAATTTGGACGCCTAGTTCTGGACCGAAACAACGGAACTAGTCGGTATGTGAACAACCGGGTTTTGACGGAACTCGCAGATCAGGTATATCATACCCTCCACAGAGCGCAATCGATAATTTCAACGAAATTGCTAAGCATATGTTGACATATCAAACAAAGGTTAAAGACATCCGAGATTTATTTGATGGCCTATCTTCGCCCACACCTTCAGTGGATGATGTATCTACGCCTGCTTCAGCAGCAGATTGTGAAATTGAAAGTCCTTTCCCATTCGGTTATCATTCGTTGGCATCTACATTACGCAGTTATCACCCACCCCCGACCATCAGCCATCTTCTTTTGAGTGTCTTCGAGGAAAATGTCGCGCCTATATTAAGGATCATCCATAACGCCACATTAAGAGAACTGATTCAAATTGCGGTCACGAATCCTGACGAACTCGATAAAAGCTCTGAGGCTCTGGTATTCTCGGTTTACTTCGCTGCATCTTCCAGTATGACAGAAGAACAATGTCTTACACAGTTGGGGGAAACTCATGCGACCTTGACCAAAAAGTTTCGCTTTGCTGTTGAGCAAGCACTGGCGCGAGCTGGATTCCTTCATACCCGCAAATTGATTATAGTACAAGCTGCGGTGCTATTCCTTAGCTGCGCTTCTCATCCCAAGGATACTCATTTTGTCTGGACCATGATTGCTGTGGTCACTCGCCTCGGTCTCGGTTTGGGCCTGCATCGGGACGGCGGTCACTTCGAGTTAGGCCCTTACGAAACGGAAATGCGCCGACGGACCTGGTGGTACATTTATCTCTTAGATGTGCGAACGTCAGAATCTCAAGCAACCAGCCCTCAGATCCGGGAAGGGGACTACAACACGTTGCTACCATTGAACATCAATGATGACGACTTGTCACCCGATATGATTGAGACCCCGAAGGAACGGATCGGGTTCACGGACATGACATTAACCCTCGTTCGATGTCAAATCCTCATCTCAAATCGCAAGTTGGTGCAAATAAATGACCCGGTGGCCAGTACCCAGCACGCGATACTCAAAAGCCGCCTTCTTGCCATCAACGAGTGCCGGCAGGCTTTGGACGAGCAATACCTCCGACACTGTGACCTCGCTATTCCTATCCACTGGGTAGCGGCGACAATCGCACGAGTCGCACTTGCGCGTCTGTGGCTTATATCGCACTTTTCACTCATGACTGCGGACGGGTTTCAGCCAGACCTATGGCCCGAGCAATGCGATGTCCTTATTTTCACCGCAATTGAAGTACTGGAGTTTATCTATTTACTCGAAACCCACGAAAACACCGCCCAGTGGTCCTGGTTGTTCCAGGGATATGTTCAGTGGCAAGCCTTTGCGTTTGTTTTGTCGGAACTCTGCGTGCGCCCGATATCTCCGCTGTCTGATCGTGCTTGGCTAGCTGTGAATCGGGCGTATGACCGGTGGAACGGGCCCATGGGCCACAGTCCCGGGTTAATGATGCGATCATTAGAACGTCTCAGGGCTCGCGCCGCAGCAGCCCGAGCAAAAGAAATTGCCCAATCGCAAATGGCTGTCCCTATTCCGCAAGGTTTGGGCGAAACGTACCTGGGAGAAACCGATATGACACATCAGACGGAACAGCTCGCTGAGGACTTGTTTGCTGTCGACACCGCATCCCTGGACATTTTCAGGGGCGTGGTGAACAACGTAGGTATGTAACCTTGAACTTAATGAAACATTTAGATCAGGATGACCTTGGAAGATAAATTCGGGTTTCAAGTACGTACAAAATGTATGAAGACACATTCCATCAGGCCTAGTTGAGCAAGGAGTTCCAGCCTAGCCTTGGAGCTGATGTGATCTTGATTTTAGCATTGTTAAAAGGCAAATTTGCACTACCAATGGATAGTTTTGCTGCCGCAAGCGTGAAGGGCCTAGCATCGTGGTGTTTTTCTACTCATTTCAATTACCGAAGCATGCTGTTCATGAAATGAAATCATTGAAATCTTGGATTTGAATTTCTAGACTCCATGGCCAAGTGAGCGCGACCGCGTCCTTATGCATGGTTTGCATGGGTTGCAACGTTGCTCATGAAAGTCCCGAAGAGTGTTGATGTAACATACTTGGCAGAGCTTGATGGCTCACACTTAATGGGTCACATATCCAATGACGATCAATCCAATCGGGACTCATTCGACTCTAGACACTGAACATTGTCTAAAACATCCAGCCTGATCTGAGAAGCCAGCGCCGATAATGCGATACCTGTCAATTGACAAACCGCTCGGGGTTCGCAGTTGATGCTCGGGGCTCGGGAGTTTCTGACAAGGCCGTAGTGGGTGTCGCTCCACTACTTCAACTGCGGGGATTTGTCAAGGATCTTAGTCGTTGATTCGACACTCGTCATTGACAAGCCGCGATCGGTCTTGGTCAAGTCTTGGAGATCGCTGATCAAGGTGGATTGACGAATCACCCCAAGGAAGATTAGTGGCCGCGGCGATCGGTCCTCACTTTGGGTCCCGAGCTGATTGATTAGACCTCAATAGCTTCCCGAACCCCCCGTTCTTTGCCCCCGCCCGAAGTCCATGAAGGTTATAAAACTGTGGTGACGTCCTGGCATTTTCAACTTCATCAGTTTACAATCATCCAATTCTTTTTGAAGACCTAGCTCTACTCACACCTTCCCGCCAATCCCTTTTTGACATCCATAATTCTATCATGGCCAACTTGATTACCGTTTTCGGCGCCACTGGCAACCAAGGTGGCTCCGTCATCGATGCCATCCTCAACGATTCTCAGCTCTCCAAGGAGTTCAAGATTCGCGGCATTACTCGTGACACCAGCAAGAAGTCCGCCCAGGACCTCGCCAAGCGCGGTGTCGATGTTGTTTCGGTAATGCCCCTCTCCTCATTTGAATCAACACAGACAGATAACTGACTTGGGTGAACATAGGCCGACCTTGACTCTGTGGATTCCCTGACCGCTGCACTCAAGGAATCCCACACCGTTTTCCTGGTTACCAACTACTGGGAGACCATGAACGCCGACGTTGAATTCTCCCAGGGCAAGAACGTGACCGACGTCTGCAAGGCCGTTGGTGTTTCCCACCTCATTTTCTCTTCTCTTCATAACGTGAAAGAGGAGAGCAAGGGTCGTCTCACCAACGTTCCCCACTTCGACAGCAAGGCCAACGTCGAGAAGTACATCCGTTCTTCAGGAGTTGGCAGCAGCTTCGTGCTTCCTGGATATTATATGAGCAACTTTACTCAGATGCTTAATCGTGCTGAGGATGGCTCCTACCAGCTTTTCTACCCTGTTAGCAACGAGGCCAAGTTCCCTCTCTTCGATGCTGCCCAAGACACCGGTAAGACCTCCACTTGTTCATTGTACTTTATAGGACCCTCGTTAATTGATTGACGAAAGGTCTCTTCGTCAAGGCCGCTCTCAAACACAAGGGTCAATTGAAGAACCACCAGATCTTGGCTGCTGCCAAGTACTATACCCCCCAGGAAATTGTCGACATCTTCTCTCGGGTCTCTGGCAAGAAGGCTGTATTCATTCAAGTTGATTCGGAGCAGTACAAGGCTTCTCTGCCACCCGCTATCGCTCTGGAATACCTCGAGAACCAGCTGTTTGTTGCCGACCCTGGCTACTACCTTGGAGAGTCCCTTGAGCCCAGCCTGAAGCTTCTTGACTCTGCGCCTACCACTTGGGACGAATTCGTCAAGAAGAATGTTTCCGCCTGGAAATAAGTTAAATATTCCGTATAAGTGTTGGCCATGCTTTTTGCGGTCATGACCCTGATCACCAAAGGTCGTTGGGCTCACAAATATTGTCATGAAGAAGGGTATACTCTCCAAGATTGATTCAGCATAATCAACTTCTCATTCAATAGTCCTTGTTCTCTGTTAAAATAAACTGAATTTTCCAAGCTTTAGTTCCCTAGATATCAGGTAATGTTGCTGTGACATTTTTAACTGCGTAAACTACTGTACTTCTAAGCTTCACAGTTGCCACCGACTAATTCATCAATTGGTTCCCTTGATTTACTACATATATGAAGAACCTTTCAGTTTTTAAGAGAAACACATACGGCCAATGTGCTCGGATCTTTGACCACTGAAGCCGGACTCAAATAATGAAATTTAGCAGCAGTTCAAGTGCCCGGCGAGAACGACACTTAGACTTCTCTTCCAGAAGCTTGGGTGGTATCTTAAAATCCCTTCTTCGCGGCTTCAGGTCTGAAACACTCTACGCACTACCTGCTAGGTAACATGGCCCCTATCGATTAGGTTGAACTCACTTCCTACTCTGCCTATAGGTTCCTCTTTCTCTCCTTGTCGGTAACGTCGACCGAGCGCTGCCAATATGATAAGTTTATTTTCCATTCGACGTACGATGGAATCGAAATCCAAGAGATCCACGCGTTATATTTTACTTCGCCAGTTCCGTACGTAGGTAGTCACTTGCTAGGTGTTAAAGGATACTGTATCTAGATATTTGGTGTTAGGCGTTTTCCTGGAACAGCCCGAACAGAAATTTACACACCCTTCGATATTCATTAGTTCCAACTGTTTGAATACTCCTCGAATATCTTGCGACGATTGTGAACGATGCTCATGAAAAGTTTCGGGTTTCCGAGAGTCCCCCCAACGACCTGGTCACTTCCGCTCTCCAACCCTTTCCAGGTTTCTTCTACGTATTGCTTTAATGGCATACCCACGGGTCCGTTGAGCTCCGCTGCGAGAAGATATATAGTTAGGAGGGTATGTCGCATCAGACTCGAATATGGTAGCTCACTTTGCACCAGAGGAGGAGACACTTCGATCACTTTGACGGTGCTTCTTTTCAACTGCTCTCTCAGACAGAGAATGAACGAATTCAGTGCCGCTTTGGAGGCGGAATATGCGGGAATCGAGCTAAGAGGGGTGATGGACAAAAGGGAAGTGGTACTGCACGAACTATTAGTGTGATTCAGCCAAGTCACCCGATTCTGAGAGATTCGCACAATATGAAACTTGAGTTTTTGGGCATCATGAAAGGAAGGAATGCCTGAGTCAACGCAACATTGCTCATGAAGTTGACGTTGATCTCGTGCTGGAAACTTTTCACGTCAAAGTCTTTAGGATTGGTAAGATCATAAAATCGCTGAGTCCCGGCATTGAGAAAGACACAGTCGATATCTGGATACTGCTTCATCACACTGTGACGATGATTGTTTAGCAACTTGCTTGGAACCGTTGTCGAATGTACTCACTCGGCGGCAAATTGAGGAGCCTTGCCAATGTCACCCACATCGAAAACCAGTCCCTGAGTCATCTTCTGAGTGTGCTTCTGGACGAATTCGTCCAGGCGCTCCTTCCGCCGTCCGACTGCTGTTACTTTGATCCCAGCTTCGACCAGACGGTCTGCCATTCCACTGCCGATTCCTGAGGTTGCTCCGACGAGCAACACATGCTTGTAAAGGAATCCACTCATTTTCGTTCCACGATTGATCAATCACCTGGAAAGTTTTCTTTCAAAGCGGTGAACGTGTTGTTGGGTTTGACCACTTTGCTGACCTATTGGAATGATTTATACTGAAATGGTCACAGCTGGGAGAGGGTAAATACAAGTACGAACAAGGGGGGAATGAATCATCACCGGGTTGGCCCCGATGACGCACAAAGTGCCGCTTGTGATGGAGCCCCGTTGACATCATGAACACATCCACTCATGAACACATTCTTACGGAACTAGTATGGCATTTGAAAAGGTCGAAGTTGCTAGATATTGAGTCTTCATGTCAGAAACACGAGGGAATATATTTCGCGCTACTATCCCATGCTAGTGATCTGAGTGACAATAAAAAGGCATTCCGACAAGACACGGCCCCGCCACATACGGTGCAGTGGGGATCCGATCAAGAGGGACGCATAGGGTTTGTGTACATAATTAACCTTCAATGCTAGACTCAGGGTTTTCGTCGGCCGTTCGATCCGTTTTGGCCTAATCTCCTTTGCTCGGGCTTCGGCATTGCCAGGAAGCACGATGATTACCAAGTGTCTTGTTGCAGTCCAAGCCCGAAGCCCGAGCTGCCCAGTAGTCTTCTCCAACGTAGACTTGATTTAGCCGGGATTGCGGAATTAATGCAGCTACCCTGGTGATTTACTAATATAGAACGAAGCTCATTGCCCCATTGTACCGAGCGGAATAACGGTGTACAAAAGTATGCTGCATACTATATTCAAGGAGATTGTGACAGGTTACCAGAGTATCTTGGAAGGCAATTGAATGCCCCAAATGCCATTATGGGTCTAATCGATTAGTCAATTTACTATCGAGGCATAGCCGATAGAACTGCCTTATCACGAAACTCTCGCCTGCTGTGATACCTTTACATACAGTAATGAAACTTGTTCGATCATTCTACACTTCATAACGGCTGGAGCTACAGTATCTTAGAAACCTGTCATGTAATTTAAGCTGCTTCGTTGGATCGGGAGTGCCTGCATAAAAGGACACGGACAGACTTCAGTCGGTGTATTGGATGGCCCGAAATCCCGAGTTGAGCGCTTGCCATAGCAACTAAATGTATGCGTCGGGCTTCGGTGCTTTGATAAAAGAGAGAATTATTGATTCTTACTGCAAGAGTGTGAAGTGTGCCGATATGCCGAGTAGCTGATCCTCGCGAGGAGCTAGATTAACGTGTCTGCATTATTCGAAACGGAGTTGAAACAATTTCTACAAAAACTACCGTACAAGGGGCCACGTCTCAGACAAGACAATTTCATCAGTGTACTCATTTTTCGGGAGGAGCGACCCTTCTACAGTATGATTTCTACAGGTGAGATGCACACCCTATTGCTACCTGATGCCCAGGACTTTCTTGCCGTCCTGCCTAGAACGTCAGGTCGCGATCGCGCTCTTCGCTATTCTCAGTTATTACTCATAAAAGGCAAACTCACCGACTAGAAAGACCCTTAGATCAGCGTGTGAGGTGATGTCTCGATTCACTTTCCGATGAGCGCATATATGGCGCCGGCACTTAGCACCGCGTCGTTGAGATAATTGTTAGAATCGCATGGTTATTATTGGTACCTACGTAGGCGAGCAGCCCCTATTGAGGTAATATAATCATTATATAAGATTAATAGCTGAGCAACCCTTGACTTAGTAAGTGGCCATCAAGTCCACGGGTGATATGAGGAACTAAGGCTTCCTAGGCCGTAAATCCGAGATAAGTATGTCATTGAAAAGCGTTTAGTCCATAAAAATAAAATCACTTGATACACTAATATTGCTAATCTTGCTCCAGTCATAAGCCTACGCGCCTTATTTTCCCATGAATAGAACGCTGGAGTCAATTTATTATTGTATGCGATATGAACCGATTTCCTTCGTGATGTCTCCAGCAATTCGGACGCCGAAAATGCTATATCCAAGCCTTGTCAACGGTAGGAACTAGTTGTAACCCAAGATGTGAGCGTCTGTTCCAACTCAATATCACCGTATCGGACGAGTTCCACTTCGGTCGGTCGCTTAATAGATGCCTGGCAGCAGACGATAATGGACGCGGGATTTGATTTCAGTCCATGGTGCTCCGTACTAAAGTATCGAGCGGTTAGCGTGTACTGTACGAAGCCACTTCGGCGGGGGGAAATCGAGGAGATAGTTACCCGTTCGGTACAGTATTGATCAAGGACTGGAACTCCACGAGTCACAAAGTCGTAGAAGAAGAAAGAGCATGTGAAGAGGCCCCAGGCCCACCCGCCACTAGCGAGGGCAAATCCGCCGCGCCACAAGGTATAGGCACCATAATTGATATTTGTCGCAAGGGAAAATAAACCGCCGCCATATGGCTTTCCTTTGTTGGCGGGATTCTTCTTGAATCTCTGTCGTTGCAATTCTGACATCAACTCTGTCACGATGCCAACCGCGTAAGCAGCCGCTCCAATGGCGACCGATGGCGATGAAAGAAGACCCAGCCAGGTATCCGAGGCAGGTGATTGGGAGGTCAGGGACCAAATGGAGAAAAGAATGTTTGTGGAGTTAAACACGGTGTTGAAGAAGCCTATGCCGAGGCCCTGGCCAGCAGAGAGCTCTTGTTCCGAGATCAGTCCCATGTGGATGGCTTGCTTGATGCCACTGCCGAGTGACATGACCACAAACATCTGATGGTAGGGGTTCAATCGGCCCTGAACCACATCCATCACGGGAACAGGCGTTCCACGCAGCCATTGGATGAACTGGGTGGCCCATCCCCGATGGAGGAATGCATATTGCCAAAGCGCATCGGTCAAACGAAGCCCAACAAAGATCGACTTTCCAAGGGGCGATGGAGCTTTGACGCGCGACAGGTTGTCGTGTAGTTTCTTGTCGTTTGCCATAGCGAAGGCACGGGCAGATATTGTCCGGAAAAAGGCCAAAAAAGGCGCAGAAAAAAAGAATGGATTCTGTCAAAGATCTATCTTTGTGCTTGTGCAAGTCAGATATTATGAAACCAGGCTTAGTGCTTAATAATGCCGGGGTTCAGCTTAACGACCGAGCACCGAGGACTGACTGATCTAGAACTACCGTGAGTGGATCTTAACAAGCCTTGTGCATATAGTGCAGCCAGAGGCTATTGGGAATAGAGTGACCATGGTCATCATCATATTGGCAAACTGGACGGTCTGATGTTGGAATTGGATTCTGAACTAAAGGGCCACTAGTAACTAGTAATCAATCTAGCAACTGGTGATGCTCGACTGTAGAGAGCACCCACGTCCTGCAACCCCGTAGCTTTGCTTTTAATAGCATTTGTGGCTTATGGCAGTGGTCGACTTGGAATGCAATCATACGCCGTCCCAATCGTATTTCTTTCACTAGTGATTTCGGTAGCTTTCTGGGCGCCACCACCAGATCCATGGGAGGCAAAACAAAATCCCACCCTCAGTCGCTAATCAAAAGCTGGGGTAAACCTTTCCCAGCTGAATAATCGGAGCGACGCGGTAAGTTGGCTTCCCCCAAAATGCGGAGTCCAAATTGTGGAGGGCTTTCACGAACAACCCCTCATCATGCCTCACACTCGGACGAACATCACCAAACCCAACCGGGATAACTTCTGTTCCTCATGCCGCAAACACTTTTCCAAAAAAGAACACCTGACGAGACACTTGCGCTCCCATACTCGGGAGAAACCTTTCTCCTGTGCAGAATGCGGCAAAGTGTTCGGTCGCAAGTGAGTGGAACTCAAGGAATTGGCTCTTTCATTGAGGATCTGGGAATTCATGGAGGAAAGGCGTACTGATCGTTGGATAGTGACACTCTCACGCGACATATGCGGACTCATCGGTCCTCTAATGGTTCTTTACTGTCCATAGCTCCAGGGTCATCCGAAACCAATGTCAAGCCTGCGAGGTCAAGTTTCAGCAATGGCGTTGAGGCTATACCTACGTCTATCAAGTCACAAGCAGGATTTCAAGACAGCTGGCAACCAATTTTACCCACTCAGTCGAATATTCCGTATGAGAACTTTTCGCCAACGAATATCATCGCCCCCGAGATAGCAACAGAACTGTGTATGATGAACAACTCTCCAAGTCAAGCGTCTTTCAGTCCCACATCAATGAATCGTTTGTTTGACGACATATTTGGCAATGCCACATTTGAATCGGATATTTCGATGTGGATTAACAGCGAGGACTTGGGGGCCAACTCCAACTTACATACGGATGATTCTTTCGAATCGTTGTCGTCTTTCCAACTTCCGGATGGGATGATGAAACCAGATGCTACAGATCTTCATCACTATCGCTCCGCTGACGAAAATATCGCCACCTTGCCCAAAGAGGACCTTTTACGTCAAAAATGGTTTAGCTTTGTTAGTGTACAGAGCACAGGCTACTCGACCCCCGACGATGGAGCCGAACGCAAACATATTGATGAAAACTTCATGAAAGGCTTATATCAACGACTTCACCCGCCAGCCCCGGACCAAAGCCTCCCGTCTGCGGATTTCCTGGTAAGCTCCTTGTTCTGTTTTTTTAGCTTCGCATTGCTAATTGATCCAGAACCTCTGCCTTCAGATGTTTGTCACTCGATTCAATCCCATTTTTCCAATAATTCACCTCCCGACCTTTCGGCTATCAAGCAACAAACCACTTCTACTTATGGCAATGTGCACATTAGGAAGTTTGTTTTTGGGGTCCCCTCAGGCTAAAAATATGGGACAAAGGATGTTTGATCGGCTGCACAAAGCATCCTTAGCCTCGGTGCGTGTATATCACAGTGAATACTTGTCCCAAACAAATCACTGACACAGTCACGCAGTGGGAGAAGTACGTATCACGTGGCCCCGATACAGCTCTCATGGTCATTCAAGCGGCTCTGCTTGGGCATACCTACGCTATACTTTCAGGGGTGGGTGGTGTGCTATCCAATTCCGTATATTATTTTGTCTAACAAGACTAGAAGCCGAACAATCTTTTCACAATGCAGTCCTTCCATGGAACCATCATTGCTGTGAGCTTTCAATCAAGACCTCCGCCATTTGAAACATGATTGCTGAAATATAGCTCAAAGTGGGCAAGAAAAGGTGGCATGTTTGAACCCTCCAAAAGTGCTGCCACCGATCTATCTGCGGACAGTCAGGATCTAGAAAGCAAGTGGAAGATCTGGGCCAAACGCGAAGAACGATGCAGGTAAGCTGGGCGTGTTATATATAGGCACAGTTTCGAATACGGCTAATATCTTTCATGTAGAGCCACCGCTGCCCTCTATATCCAGGACTCTGAATATTCTGCCCTGTTCACCGAAGATCCTCTCTTGCGCCACGCCTTAGTTGACTATTCTTCACTATGTTCCAATAATTCATGGGAGGCTGAAACTCACCAGGAATGGATAATAACCATCCTAAATGCTCACTCCGGAGTGACCGCCTCTGAAAGCCCCCCATCGATGGATCAAAGCTACTTTCTTTGCTCCTCGCAGGGGATAGGTGAACGTGGAGCCTTTGGCGCATACGCCAAATTGGAGAGCATATCAGCGGCAATATCCGGGGCTAAGGGACTAGGAACCTGGCTCGCCATGTCCTCACACTTTGAAAAAGATTTACTAGATTTCCAGGACAATTATCCTCAGCTTTTCAAGAGCCCTGATCACGACAAATTCAGTCTTGAAATTCTATGGCGTTCAGCGTTTATCCAACTATCTGCAGACATGAATCGCCTTGAGATGTGCTCTGGACGAGATGGCTTCCAAAAGTCTCAGCTGCACAGTGAGTATGCTGAAAATTGGGCGGAATCCGCAAGCGTCGTCAGATGTGCGCTACATGCCGTACTAATTTTGCGGAAGTCAGAAAATATGTCTCTTGGAGCTGATGTCACGGTACACGTCCCTCGTGTATTGTACTGGGCGGCCCTAGTTTGGTACTGCTTTTTGAACTTCGGCTCACGTCACGCTCTTGTGTGCCCTGTTTCTGAAATCGAGAATTCTGAAATTCCAAGGTTGGAAATCCATTCTCAAGAGTTATTGCTTGGGGATGATTGGTCTGAAAAACAAAGATCAACGATAGTGACTTCCAGAACGCTTGGAACGCTGGTTGATCTTCTGGGGCGCGTAGGGCACTGGGCACTTTCACGCAAATTGGCATCCTTAATGGCCTCTCTCATTCATGGAGATCCTGAGTGGAATGCAAAGGATCATCATTGATAGTTTCACTTCCAGAGCGTCACTCAACTGTTGACCATGAAGTCAATCTCATTCAAAATTACACCTATATTACATATGACACATATTGAGATATTCGGATGAAAGCCGGACTGTACTTTATATCATGTTTCGGGTCGAGTATTAACTGATACCAGGCACATCATTACTGTATATTCTGCGGGGTGGGAAATTACGGGGTGCTTTGCGGGAAACGGGGAACGGGGAACGGTGGTCGGTGATCGGGACATGAGAAAAAGAAACCGCCACTGCGGTACATAAAAATCGGCGGTTTCCTTGGAGAGAAATCTTAATTCGATATCTTTGATCTGACTCTTGTACTATTGCAAACTCACGACATTCTCACACCTTAAAATATGGCCTCCAACGCACCTGCCGCCTGTTGCTTAACTGGCTTCAAGCATGAAGGAACTCCACAGGGGAGACTATCTCTATCAACAACAGTAAACAGCCCTTCAGTTCACAATAAACAACTCCCCTTCCCCCGGGTTGTATTAAGTGACTTTTGCTAATGCTGAGCTCTTGGATCTAGTCACTACATATGTTGCGCGCCCAAAGAACAATGACAAATCGGAAAAGGCAGTCCTGCTGCTTGGTGATGTATTTGGTATTTTCAATAACAGCAAGCTGCTAGCGGATGACTATGCCGCCAACGGATACCTCACATTGCTGCCCGACGTCTTCTCCGGCGACCAAATGGATATTGGAGACTTTGAAGCTGGCAAGATCGACATTCCTGGCTGGCTCTCGAGACATGGCACCGATGTGGTGGACTCCATTGTGGAATCGGTAGTGAAGCATATGAGAGAAGAACTAGGTGTGAAGAAGATCGCAGCTGCTGGGTACTGCTTCGGTGGCAAGGTAAGCAAACTCCCAACACTACCAACTTGTAGGAAAACATTCTTATCATCGAACCTTTCTCGGCGCCTAGTATGTGACTCGCTTCCTTAAGGAAGGCAAGATCGATGTTGGCTATAGCGCCCATCCATCCTTCGTATCTGACGAGGAGCTTGGTGCCATCAAGAAGCCTTTCTCCATCTCTGCTGCAGGTAAGTGGCGGTTGTACTACGCTTTGTCAATCCATGCAACCCAGCTCACAAAATTGTCTCACAGAGACCGACGGCATCTTTACCCGTGAACTTCGTCGCAAGTCTGAAGATATTCTCAGCACAACTGGCCAGCACTACCAATTGAATCTTTTCAGTGGCGTCGAACACGGCTTTGCGATCCGTGCTGACTTGAGCAAGCCCCAGAACAAGTATGCCAAAGAACAGGCGTATGTGCAAGCTCTTGCACGGTTCGATCATAACCTTTAAGCGTGAACGACGTTTGCGACCTGGGAATGTTAAGATGATAGATCGGAGGTTGGTTATGTGACGAAGATTGACAGGATGTATAAGATCTTTTCTTCCTATGGAAATTGTTCAGAGTTCCGAGTTTCATTCGTTAGCCATCGAAACCCATCAATACATGATACATTCGATCTCCAAACCAAGTAAATAACCTTCGTCATCCTTTAGGTGAGCTGCGAAAATTACCGGACCTATATCAGTACTGTACAGTATATCTCGATCCCTTGATAAAGCTAAGGTGGATACTGATTCGGCCTCGGCATTCAAATATAACGCCGAGAGATGGGGCGATTTACGACCGCATGTGGAGAACCAACTAATCAGGGATCGGTCCTTTGACGTAGTGATTGCCACCCTTGTTTCTCCCTGTTCCCTGCTCATTTCCTTATACAAACTACATTCATAACATTGATACAATTACAACTTCTCCGAAAGACAAAGCGATGAATCCAATTCAGGTCATCATCTGCGGCAAGTCTGTACATGTGGCAATCGGCGTCAAAGAAGCTATCAGGCCAACATATGAGGGTTAGTGGCTACATTCAGAATGCGGCATCTGAGCTCTAAAGGCACTAACACTGTCAAAGCGCTCCATGTCATAACCTCTGTGGCCGCTGGGATAAGCGACATTCCCCCTCTTCTGCAGGGACAAGCACCTCCCTCCAAGGAGCAGGCTAATCTTGGAACCCAAGAATACGGGAAAAAGGTTCAAGCGATTATAGCTGGTGGGGGATACAATGATGCAGAGCTGCAAAGCCTTCGCGATGCTTGCAAAGGATACGGCAATGTGCCGTGGCTACGTCACGACATAAGCAAAGAAATTGACCCAAGGCAGCCTAGGCCGAAGGTTGGAATTGAATACGGCGAGCAGATTGGGAACAAAGTAGTGGAATGTTTGGATCGCTTGAGAATCGAGGGCAAGATGGGAGAAGACGGTGTATATTGGTTTTAGTGGAATTGATTTAGGTTCGACTCCAGGGCTTAAGATGCAGCAAACCTTTCACCCTGGAACCCAGGACCTCGGAAGTACATAGGATTGACAGTCATGGGGTGCAATAGGCTATACATAGCGTTGCCAAAGTATCCCTGTGTGGCTGTTAAATCATCATTTGGCACAGTTTATTCCTCGGCTAGGAAAGAAAAACGAATATTTTCATGGGGCTTGCTCCTCGTAAATTGCAAATGGTCCTCTACCATCAACCCAAACCGATGAGAAGATGGAGGCTCTGAATACTATGTATCAACTGGTTGATTTGATATAGAGCGGTGGGGGGTGGGGTATTTCATCAGCTTTGGCGGGAGTTTTTGTCCACAGAGTCTGTCCGTCGTCTCCGGCGGGGTGCTCCCCTGTGTGGGACACCAAGCCATCATAACGCGGCAAATCTCTTACTCGCCAATGCCCTTGCGTACGGCACGACCCACAGTTGACTTAGTATAACTGCGAGGACAAGGAATGAAAGATACGCAGTGCATCTTTTGGACTGTGAAATCTATCGAGCGATAATTTAGATGAGCGATAAATGCTCTCTTGAGATCGAGATCCTGGTGATTGTCTTTCTTTGAGTGGGGACAAGGAGGCGGCGGCTCCCACCAATAGCATATTCCATCTTGCCGCCCGTTGCTGCGCTACGTGTCCACTGTGAGGCTGAACTTTCTTAGGTGGTGATGGGTTGTCTTTTTGTCTCCCTCATGTAAACCTTGTGAGCTTTTTCTCTCTCCCCTTCAAGCTCTTTTTCACTTTTATTGTTCAACAACCATACGCGATCGGTGTACCGTATCGTTTCCCCGACTCAAACTCAAACCAAGCAGTATAGCAAGCCTCGACGCCTTTTGCTCGAGTAGCAAGCATGTCAGACCCTGGGAACTACACTGTGGGCTGGATCTGCGCCTTACCGTGGAATACGTTTCCGCACAAGAATTCCTGGATGAGGAGCATGACAAACGCCGCTTTGCGTTGCCAAATGATATCAACGACTATACATTGGGAAAGATGGGAGAACGCTTTTTGATACGTGAACGTCTGTAGAGGGGCATTGGGATTGCGCCTGCTATCGAGAGCGCGCGCCTTCGTTGCAATATCCTCAATCAGATGGAGCAGGAATAGAGGTCATCCAAAAATGGCGAAGATCGCACCCTCCAGCATCCTAAGCGACAAGGCTATATAGGAGCCTACCAAGGACCAATATCGAACCGTGGCACCATTCGAAGTTGGATGGCCTGCGTGGCCGCGGCTAGATGGTTTAGTCAAGCCATCGGGATTCAAAAGTTTGGGTTCGGGAATAGATTAGTCACCATGGTGGGGGAATCGGCTTCGGGCCTAACTTCAAAGGCCGAAGACCTTGTTCCGAGCGGCCCATGACCGGGGCCCCGGCTGGTACATAAGCCGTCCATCCTGACGGATCACCGGGGGACTTCATTCCGGATCCACCTTTCTGGATCTTGCATCACGAATTTCGTACAAACGAAGTGCCGTGTTTGTAACGGTCTTACTACTCTCGTCAAAGTCTGGCTGAGATTTCTAAACTTATCTTAGTTGGCTACATCTTCGCAATCTCTCGATCATTTTGAGCCTCGAAAAATCTGCATTTGGCTTCAGACGAACTATCTTTCCATTCAATTTTTACATTACTACCGTTCCGACCTCTCTTTTAAACATCCCTCATATACATACCAAGACGAACTAGTCGAATTGACTCTTTCATGGCCCGGCTATCGTCAGTGACATTACTCAGTTTACCGATTGAGCTTCATCTGCATATCTTCAGCTGGCTTGACTATCCTTCATGTCTGGCTTTGTCACAAACAACTCGATTCTTCAGGTCAAGCGTCACCGTTGCTAAGCCTACATCCCCGGAGCAAAAGTTACTTTTTCTATGTGCTGCGGAGAACTGGAGCAGGTAAGCTTCATTTTCAGAGATCTAATTCGTCAACTTACAGCTCCAGAAATATCGAGTACTTCTGCTGTAACCGTTGTCTAAAGCTTCGTTTCCGACTAGCTTTTGCCGATGAGCAAGTGGAACTCAAATATGACAAAGAGCAAGTTAAATCTGCCCACCGAATCTGCTTGGAGTGTGGAATCAAAACGGGGCGATACTTGTTGGGGCAAATGGTCGTTCTTAATGGGTACACTCGCTTTGTATGTGGCCTCTGCAGGCAAACATACGAATCGGGACCTTGTTGCACTTCCTGCGGAAACTGTCAGTGCTGCGTTGAAGCACGAAGGAATGCTCTATATCCTCAGTCCGGAAACTTCACAACCCAAGGCCCAACGGATTGCTGTTGTCCCTTTTGCGAAATCCCCTATCGAATAATTGAAAAAACTGGAAGCGCTAAGTGGTATATAAACCGAAAAGATCACCGCCGCCCATTATAATGAAACATGGAGACTCATCCGACTGCTAATTCTCATCATGGCCATATTTCCTCCAACTTAAAGGGAGGCATGTAAGGTTGCCTTTAGAGTTAGTTAGTCTTTACAAGAGTGCAGACCACGCATATGTTCCTTTCCAGTCAGCGAATATTCTCTGGACTTAAATTTAACAAGGAAATGTGAAATGAGACAGAGAAATGTAGCAGCGAACGAAAGGTTAAACTGTGTGTTGGGCATGAGTCGCTTTTCTGCCTTTGTTGTTCTTCAAGCTGACCTCATAATTCGGCGAATCTTTCCTCCATCCCTTGTTGAAAGAAGTATTCAGTAGATAGTCGAATGATGCAAATTGAAGTCAACGGAGTGGGGGGCTGTTGGCTAGCGGGGGAATGAACTGTCGCGGAGTAATTCAGCCAATTCTTTGACTGCAGAATTGATGGTACCTAAATGTGCCTCGTCAGTACATGGGTAAATTCGGTCCATCTTCAAAGCCTTCTGCAAGTACAGTCATCATAGCGAGATCACTATCTCAATTTCATCATTTCGCTACGAGGAAGGTGCACAATAAAGCCAGTAGCCAGCGAAGTTCTTCTGAAATAGATATGATACGCTTACCTCTCTCGCTGTCTGTCCGTTTGACGAAACACTCTTTGGTATGTTCTAGGCTTTGCGGTTATACATCACGCAAACATTCCAAGGGACATCATGGAAAAGTAAAAAGACGTGCTGACCCATCTGGGTAGTTCAGTCCATGGTAAGGAATAAGATCTATGCACCAGGCAAACTGAACTTCGTTCGCTGACAGAACCTGCAATAATCATTAGCTAGAAAATTCTTGGAGGGCCGACGTGCACGAGGTTTTATAGGGGCAAGCCTTGCTTAGTCCTGGTGGTCTCTGACATTGCCCGAAGTTTTGAGCAAGTTGATGGCAAAGTGTCACTGGAGGATCAAAGATCCCCGCAGAAATATATTTAAAATGCCAAGGAGATACATACTCACACCAAAAAAGACCGTCATTACTATCGCTTGAAGCTTGTGTAGATACTGTAGATACCCCATGGGTTATATCCGCCGCATTAGATGCCTTAATTCTTCATTTTCGATTCTCACGAAAAGATCCTTTATTGCGTATCAAGCGGGACACCAGCTAAATGTACTCAAATACCTTGTCCTTACCCACTCTTTAGACCGCACTTTTTTCGCGTTGAGGGACTATTAGCATATATGCAGGATATTCTGAACGAAGACATGTCTTATTAAGTAGATCAGCCCATCCTCTCGTCTTCCCCAAGATCCATCAACCTCAAAAAGATTGAGCTAACTAGCTTCACGTCATATGCCTCAAAATTTTCCCCGATCCATTTAACTATGTCGTTCCACCGTTGACTACCACTCACGAATGCTTAATTAAAGCTTAGGCAAGTATGCTAGCTAAAACGGATTGGGTGCCTCATCTTTTGACATGCCGACTTCAACGCTTAGCTTAGTTGTGTTCAGAATTAGTAGTTTCGAGTGGGGCTGCGCTAGCGGTGATATGATCTCCATCAGAGCAATCCTTATAGGACTGGCCATCATGGTAGACCGCGCAGTCGCATTGTTCAATATTAAGGCTTTGTATTCTTGAGGGCACTTTGGTCTATTTTGGGTCAGGAGTCCCGGAATTTCCATGGGGCCCACTGATCAGCGCCAATAAGGCCGTGACGTCATTGACGTACGTTGATATTCCAACGTGTTTTAGAGATGGGTTGGACAGGAAAGCGAAGCTCAAATTAGGATTGCTCTGAATAGAAAGCATATTTCAATTATCTGCACCTCGTAGCAGTTAAACCGTTCGAGTCAAAATGGGGTTCAAGGACTGCAGGAAAAGGAGACATGGAAACGATGAGCCCGCGGATGTTTATTGGAAACCTCAAAGGAGATACCAATCCCAGAGACACTCTTTTCGATCCCTGGAGGACATGCGGCTACCCCTGGGAAGTGTACTGGAAGTTGCAGGAGCAACAAAGCTCCTAGGGCCGACTTCCTGGAGCTGATCAAGCTCGCACTGCACTCATGCGACAAGGACATCACTTCAGAGGTCGGATATCGTCTTCATTTCGCCCGACGATAATTCTCCCGCACTGGGCAGCCACGATGAGCGTTGCGACTGACGGATCTCCAAATATTTCATCTCACACGGTCCCAACTCGGCTATTAGAACCGGCAACCTCGTCATTGTTCTCGAGCAGGTGGCTGAGTATGTTGGCACGGCAATTACAAAGATGCAGAGGGATGTGGTCAAGTCAATCGAGGTTAAGGAGAGCGCTGTACAGATTTTCTCCGATTATTGCGCGTCATATTTCCCCAACACTGTTTTCGCTGGGAACTGTCGATCGTGGTATAAGACTGGTAGTCGAGATGGAAGAATTTCGGCGCTGTGGCCCGGTACGTTGTGACACGTCCTGACCATTTGACGTGTCTTGTGGGGAGATTTTGAACAGAAATGATGCTAATCAAAGATTTGCATAGGCTCCTCGCTGCACGCAATGGAAGCCCTTACCCACCCTCGCTGGGAAGATTACGACTACCAGTATCTGGACAACAACACTGTTTCGTGGCTAGGTGATGGCTGGACTAAGGCTGGAAGGACGGACGGTTCGAACCGGAGCTTCTATTAGGATAGCGAAAGAATCAGTCGCGTTGTCGACAAGCCCAACTACAATGGAGTGAATGGGGCTTCAAGTGGAATGACCCACTAAGTTAGGAAGGCGTTATGATCTCAGCAATCTGCTTTTGGATAGACTCCATTTCGGTATTTGTCATCTCTGTATAGCTGATAAATAAACCGACCGGTCTATATTATGTTGGATAGTTTGAAATTATCCTTCTTTTTAAAAACTTTGGACACATATCGTTTTTGGTGAAGAGGTCTGAGACTGTCTTGGCGCCGAGAGCTGCGAAGACAGTACCAAATCCGTAGAACCGGTCAAGGCCTAAAAGGATTACTTCCTCGCGCTACTAAATTTGGGGGCTATGTGCATATGCCAAGACATCCAGCGTTTCATGGGAGAGCGTATACGCTAATGAGGGTCTTGCCGTTGTTTCTTTATTTCCGTACACATAACCTGCAAAATGATCAATCTTGGAGAGTGAGCGGATGGCCTCTGCCTCTTGGGAAAGACGCGATATTCCTGAGGATGCTACAATTCATGTTTCTGCCCTTCGCCGCTTGAATTTCAATTCGAACTATCGTCCGAAAAACCTGATCCAGAGAGGGAGAGAAGGGAAACTAGAGGAGAAAGGTTCTGCTGTACGCCATGAGATCGAGGAGTGCAACGCTGAGATAGGAACTCGGGTATTTAACCCATTTATCCCGTAGGTTAAGGCCGTCACGACCGATAATGGGGAATCGGGGAAACCAGTTTGTAACAGAGCCCGTTGCGCATATGATTGTGTCGACCTTGTAGAATGATCCGTCTGTGAGATGAACGCCCTCTCGTGACACGTGGCTAATGTCGCCCCTTGACAAGGTTCACATTAGGCTGAATGAGAGATTTGAGGTAACCAAGACCCTTGGACGGATGATCATGTTAGATGAATGAGCAACCCGTTGGGATGATCCGGCCTTACCGGTGTTAATCTCCTACATCCGGGTGAGAAGCTTGGCAATATCGTCTCCAAGATTTCAGGTCTTGATTGAAGCTTATTTTCCATGTTCTTCTGGAAATTCCCTTGTGCCACCTTTGAAGCTTCTCCTTGGTGTGTAACTTGGTGAAATGATTGGTTTTCATTTTCAATGGCTGTGGACCGGTCATTAAAATATTCATGGTTGCTTTTGCAGCTCGACTTACCCTTTCTATAATCATAAGAAATTTTCGCGTCTTGGAATGCTTCGATTTCTTCATCGCTGAAGGTGACTGGTTACCTATTAGTCTATGCCAAGTTTGTGCAAATGTCAGCAAACGACTTACAATTTATCTCAGCCTGATGCTTTTCAACCTTGGTGCTAGAAAACGGCGGGGCAATACAGATTTCACCACCAATAAAATTGAAGAGGTTTTTCACCTTCCCTTGGATAGCTGGAATAATTTGAATGGCGCTTGAACCTGCGCCAATCACAGCCACAGTTTTGTCCTATACACAAGTGTTGTTAGTTTGTGGTCACTGACTCCTCTGAACAGGCAACCATAACTAACTGTGGGATCCCAGTTCTCATTCCAAGCAGCACTGTGAATCAAGCCACCCTGGAAATCATGCAGGCAAGGTGATACCAGGCCACTCCCAATGGTTCAAAGCTCCAGGGCAGGTATAGAAGACATTGACTGAGTCTTCAATGATCTCCCCTGTGAGAGTATTCTCAATCTTGACGTTTCACTTGCAGCATGCCTCATCGTATTGTGCATGAACGACTTTGCTGTTGAGGTATATCTTTTTGTACAAACCGTACTTGTTGACAATTCCCTTCCAGTAATCCAGAATATCTTCGCCCTTGGCATAAAACTCTTTCCAGTTTGGGTTGGGCTCGAATTTCAATTGATAAGAATGGGCTGGTAAATCTACATCCGTCTATCAGCCAAAAAGGAAGGGATGAGAAATACAATATAGTTCATACCGCATGCAACTCCCGGATAATGATTCTCGAACCATGTCCCTCCAATTTCAGGATTCTTCTCGTACGTAACAATTTCCAGATTGGAAATAAGCCGAGGCAAACGAATATTGGCAATAATTCCGGAATTCCAGCACCCACCACAATCACATCCAGTGGGCGCCGGTGATCAATTGATCGCTGAGCATATGCGAGGCTCATGTTGAATGAAACCACAAGTTGACTAACAGGCAAGAGAAAAGAAGCTTGTTCACTTGAACTGATGTATGAAACAAAGATGGTAGAAAGTTTGGAGCGGTGCGGAGTCTCAAGACCTGAAAGCCCTGAGACCTCGATTCGCAACTCGTTCGGTAGGTTTTCTGTTAAACCATCCTACAATAGCTACTTTGCCTTTAAAGATAACATATAGCGGTCGCGAAAAGCCATCTGCGCAGATTGCTTGATCGCAGTAACTCTTTCGCGATTTCCTGGTTATAGAAGAGATCTCCAACCGTAGTATTCAGCCCTTATGACTACTTTCTGCGAAGGTATAAGGCCCATTACAAAGCATATCTCATCAAAGTTGTAGATATCCTCTGGTTATATACCGTGCTCGTTAATCACGCTTTGTACGGTAGTAAACTGGGCTCGGAAGCTCTTTGGGTCTTCATTTAACGCGCGCGAAGAGTCGCAGCGCCTCGAGAAGCTAGATCGAAGCTCATCGCGGCGCTTAATGAAAGTTGATGGCCAATTCTTGCCAACAGTAGGCGGGGGGTTACTACCGCGCGTAGCAAGTAGGATATTAGCCATTTCTCCCACAGTAGCCGGTCTAGGCGCTACTCCGCGTGAATCAATAGAGAGAATCCATTCAGTAAGAGAATCCTCTTCTAATTGAGTCAATTTATGGCCGTTTGGGCGTATATCCACGCCAGATTCTATACCGTGCGCGCGACTGCGTAGTGTTGTTTCGGGTACATTGAATAGCCTAGCTACTGCACGAATAGATTTGACGCGGCCATTTCTGATACCATCAAAAGCTAATAATATATTAGCCTCTTGATTGGCTACTTCCTGCCGAGATTCAGAACGAATTGGTCGCATGGTAGATGGTTGAAGTCAATTTGTTGGTGGGAAGACGCGATTTTAGGTGGGGTGCGCAACTCGACCGGATGCGCAGCTCGGGCGGGAATTACGTTAGATGGGGAAATGGCTTACTCAGCCGTGAATCTGTGCCACTGGGCAAGCCTCCCGAGGTCGTCATCATCTGACAAAACCCATGCATGACTTAAGTTCCCCACACAGACATCTTAGGCTTGCGGGGAAAACTCAAACTACAAGCCGAGATTAACTTTGATGTAGTCCGGCCGAGAGTTTGTTAATGAGATTATCAATGTGGGAGCTGTGGCCTTTTCGGATCTGCTCCATCCGAAGGATTGCCAACTCACTAACTCTCACCAGCTCTCACCAAATTTGAACTCTCACGGCTCACTAGATTTACAATGAAAGTGCTCAACGTGCTAGCACTGTACATCTACCAGTTTTAGCCATAGTCACCGTCTCTTTCATGAGGGCCAAAGTGCTTTAACAGATGCCGAAATAATGAGTTAAAGACTTTGTGGCCAATGGAAACACTGAATTTTACTTACGATTAGCCCGATGACCCTTTAGTCTCGCTAGAATGAATCCAATTCATCCTATGCGCGCCTAACTGAATTTTATATCTTTCCTGTTTATTCTTTCCTGTCTATTCATAGCCAGCTAATTTTGTCCTTTTTTGGGAGGGCATTACTAAAAGTCCAGACCTTATTCGAAACCCTTCCATAGAAAACCGAGCCTTGTTTCCAGGACAATAATGTGAACGGTAGTGGCTAAGGCTTACGAGCTAAGTTCTTGTGATCGCCACCCCCTCGCAGGATTGCAGCGCTACTATCCCATAGATCACACCCTGAATACGAATAGCACTAGGTGGACTAATCGAACCCCACGCGCGAACTTAGACAGACAAAGATACGGGGTGCGATGTAGATCCTAGCGGCGATCCACGGGACAGTATACCATGGAGGTTCTACTTATGGCGCAGAACAGAGATTAAAAGGATTTGCAAATATCCGGACATGGTCCATAAGTCCAAATCTGATAGCCGTCGGTGTCCGATAGAACGAAATTTTGTTGCTGAGGAGGTACGGTTGAGGTGCGGTCGAGGAGGGGAGTATTTACGCAAATTTTGGAGACAGAGTCGTAGGCTAAAGCCCGATCCGTGGTTGTGTTCTCCTGGTTGCCGTTATAAGCGAGTGTGCTCTCCCATCAAGTGGCAAGCTGCCCTTATGTCTATCTAGTGTGTAGAACGTTGTAAAACTTGGTCTTCTGTCCTGCACTTTCCTTGATCGAAATACGCTCACTAAGCCCGACCCATCCTCTCTATCCACCTAATTCGATCGCCATTCTGATATCTCTACAGTAGTAAATGGCTTGTTGAAACTGCGTCACCACAAGAGCTTACGTAAGGGTGTCTCCGGTTTTTGTACCAAAAAGCAGGGAACCGATTGGCTCTTAGCGTTATGAGCCCTGCTGCGGCCCCTAAATTTATTTTAAGCACTCTGCGTATCTTGATCACGACGCTGAATAGAGACTTCTACTGCCTAAGTAGTGTGATTTCCTATAAGCGGTACTGTATATGAAGAGAATGAGATTGGGGTGAACTTACCCTAGTTCTCGGACCCTCTCTTTTGGCTGCAAGGCTGAACCACAGCAACCAAGGAAGCAAGTGGGGCAACAGCCCAATCTTGAATTCTCGGTTTTTTCGCCGAGCGAGCGTTTCCATGGTTTATCGAATCACGATTGGAGCGACCGCGATTGATCGATGATCCCGCTCATGTTCCACAGCATTTGTCAATGGATGTTTCAATTTCAAGGAATGTTAAAATCTCGTACATATTTTTAGTATGCATAAAGTCCTAAATACAGCCCGTTCGATGTTCATTATGCTGCAGCTCCATTGCTTAGCCGCTATAGTCTCCTTTTATAGCAATATCCAGTAACTGATTTATCGAGATAGTTAATCTCTGTTCTTTCGGTATGACGATAGGAAGCGTTGTTGATCGACTGGTGCTACTATAGAGGCTCTGTTCACCGGTGTCTCAGTTTTCTCGCTGCAAAGGCACGATGTATATATTCCAAAATCTATAATGGTGATTGGATCTCTTTACGTCGTCAATGACGAAGTAGAGACATCGCGCAGCCTGTGATGGATGATTAGCTTATAGTAAACGGTGCAACAAGGTGAATCATACCTCGTCTCCGAAATTTCGTCTTGGCTGATTCAATGCTGTCGTTTTGGCTGGGCTCGGCTGTGATGATTGTTTGAAACCATGTTATTTTGGCACCTTGGGCAGGCCTTTCATTTCGACGAACCGCTAGTGAAGCTATAGGGCCGACCGAGCGACGAACTGTCCCTGCTAAATTTCGATTTCCTGGATGCTGAAAAGATCTGGCACTAGTGCGACGTTGCTTACGCAGAATATGGTACTTTTTCCCTCGTAAAGACTTAACGCTTCGGTCTATCTGATATTGTTCATAGTATGCGTGAGAGCGGGCCTTCCACGACAGCGCCTAATGGGCGGCCAGCCAGGGGATAAGGTTCGTTTCCTCCTATTCTGACCAGACTACCTCGCTCCGGGAGGATATAGCGCTTGTATAAAGTGAAGGTAATAAGAAGAAACCGTTTTACATAAATGGCACGACCTAAACTCCGTATATATGAGAAAGAGTAGCCTAAATATCTTACGGGCCTATTTAGAAACGAAGATAGTATCCTTGGGTATCGAAATCTTATAAAGGAACAATATATGACCCATGGAATATTCTAGTTACTCGATTCGGTTAGTCTGAGTTTGTAATACATCGACTCCGTATTTTATAATCAATCAGACCCCTGGCGTTTAACGAATCCTGCTCTATCAAGACGAGTAGATTCTAGTTTCATACTTCCAACGAGTTGATTTTTAATATGTTGACTGTATGTCGAAATGAAGATAGAAATTCTTAGACCGAGCCCTACCGAGTACTGAGCAATGTAACGTCAAATAGACTTTATAGACAAATACTTCGCCTCCCGACAAAGTCCTTCCCCTGGATTTTAATGTCTTTTGTGACTGAATGGCTAATATCATTCTAAATCAAGTGAAAAAAACGGTAATTACGGATATAAGATCTTGGGCCTATAAATTCGATCGTAAAGTCCCGTTTATAGAATAAACTCTTTATGAAAGTCTATGAAACTTCTCTAGCATCCCACTAGGAGCACTGGTTATCTCGCCTTGAAACTGAATCAAGTATAGGTGAAATTCGAAAACTTCCTTTCACCGATCAACCGCAAAGCTTTCGGAGACGATTACAGCATATACTGTCCCTATCATCTTCCGAATCCGAGAATATCTAGAGTCCGCCTAGATCTACGGCGGGGGATAGGACGGAGGACGAGTAGATTAGACCGGCTTCCGTATCGTATAAAAATCTAGGACCCCGTACCTTTAGGCCACCAATACAGTACTTTAGCGGAGTTTAACTAGCGCTATTACTTTCTCGTTCTCGCTTATAGTGCATTAAGTCCTATCGGCTCACCGCCATGGGCCTCAACGTCCAATACCTCACGAGAAGATTTGCCATCGAAAAATTGACGTGCCGAGCTAGGCTGACCATTGTCGCTATAGTGAGTAAAGCCAGTATCTGGCACGGGAATCGGATTTCGTGTCTGGCTTATTTCCTCGGCCAAGGCTTGGCTGAGAATCGAGATCTCGGGAAGGAAGTGCCTTCGCGTGAAATGCCTGTGAATATTGAGAGTCTCATTGAAAGATGACCAAAACTCATTTGCCGCGTCACGCCAGGAAGTGCACGTGTAGGTATAGAGAATATCTGATACCTCATTGATAAAACAAAAGGAAATACGTCTTTGTGACAGACAAACCCCAATATTTGGACGTTTCACCACAACACTGTAACTTCCAGTCGCAAGCCATGAAGTACACGAGAAAGCTTGAGCAGTCTGCGGGCTCTACCGTGTTTGGACCTCACCGAGCATCATTTATCGTATCTTTGCGAGGGTTGAAAAAGGAAAAAAGACGACTTTTACAACAGCTCAAGCGAATTCGCGTGGAAGTCGGAATTTAAGAAGCAAAGTACAGGGGCTTGTGTTACCAGGTCATTCAAGTCATGACTCTCGGTATTTTGCTTGTTTCTCAGAGAAAGATGTCTATTAGGGTGTCTGATGGTATCTCGTGAGATGCTCGCACTTTGCGGAATCGATGTAAGGTTGACTCCACTCAAAGCGCTACAGTTCTAGCCTTAGATGGGCTGTCCACTGTTGCATTAGTGAGAGTGACAGCCACAAAATGTGTCATGATCCTTTCAGTCCTCATGGAAAAAAAGAGACTAGCCAGCCACTCTGAAAAGAGTGTGTCCCTGGTACTGTAACTCCCAGCTAATGGAAGCAATGCGCACGTATCTCGAATCGTGACTATTCGTCGTTCGTTTGCCCATATTGATCATGTCGGCTTCTTCGGTCTACCTCGGATCAATTTAAACTAAATTAGTGATCCAGTTCTCGCTAGACCACTTACAGAAGAGTTTAAAGCTTTTTACAGCCCGATAATTCTCAATATGAAGCATGCTTTCCTTGATCTTTGACGGCTTTTTCGGTACTGGCACTATACTGTCTCACGACATATTAAACCCAGCTCATGTAGCTCTTTAATCGACGAACAGTCGAACCCTTCATGATTTCTGCATGCATGAGGATGAGCTAAGCCGACATCGAGGTGCCAAACCGCGCACTCACTTTGTACTCTCTTGCGCAAATTAGCCTGTTCAATTTATGTTATCATAAAAAATTCAGTCTGATGCTGAATAAACACGCAAAATGTGTCAATTTTACTTTTATTTCCATGTTTCTCAAAACGGTTCAGATTATTTCATCATCTTTATTAATTAATTTAATATATTAGAGAAGAAACTGAGTAATGTAAACCATCTAATATAGGAGCAGCCGAGGAACATTACCTTCATATCCGCAGAATTGCTTTTACGGAGCAATCTGACCTTATACTCTTCCGGCTTCAGATTTGTCAGGTGAGCTTTGTGCTGCGCAATGACATTTCCATCCTCAATGGTGACGAAATTACCAGGTCTATATGGCCGATTTGATGGATGATTCGCTGCTCTAAAATTTCATAGACGAAGTTGCGTTTCCTCATGAAGTTATATACATAGCGGCTTGTTCCACTATTCCGGTACACGGAAAGGCGTCCAAATTGACCCTCGAGTGTACTGGAAGTCGCCTTAGGTGAGGCAGAGCCTTTGTTCATTTCAAACCCATCCTCATCCACCTCCCTCGGCTGATGACTTACTCCATCGAGAGGACTATGCCTGGCTAGCCATGAGCGCACTGTGCGGCTCTCCTGCGGGCCGTCGTCATTGTCCTGTTCTAACCGGGTAACGGGAGAGACCTCTTCAACATCTTCAGCCAAACCTTTGCTACCAAGCTTCTTGACTTGATCTTCCAAGTGGCTCAATCTGGAAATCAACTCGGTCTTTTGGTTATTTTCCGAGGTTTACGGCCAGGTGGTGATACGAGCACTCGACTCCCAAACGCACGCAATTATCGCAAGGCCAGGACTTATCACACCGGACTTTTCTGCGGTTGGAATCATGACAGCTCCGTTGGAGCAATTTTGAAGCCCCTTCACTCGGCAAAGATGTATTCGTACTCGCTGGAACTTGCGCCATCTTGAGGCATGAAGTTGAGGAATCCGGAACGAGGGTAAAATTGTACTTAGAGTGAAAGGCGGTGATGATCGGGGTCTAGCGGGGTTAGACCATAAAGTGCCTCTTCTCTCCTTTTCCCCTATATTTTAGGCACATTCAGTTACTTTCCCTTGCAAAGCTAGGGCCACCATCGATTGCCTTCATCTATTCCTGAAACTTTGAGTGAATATATAGGGGAGAGAAGGTAAAACAGGGAGGCAAGAAGGTTTAAGTTGGAGAATTACCTTTCATTTCTTCAGGCAGAAAAACATTCCTCACATACTGCAGAACCCTCCCTCATGTGACGTTAGTCATGAGTTTGAGTGCGCTTTCTCCTGATAAGTACTAGTACTGTAATTTACAGCACTACTAAGTTCATTACAATATTGTGATATACACACTGCTGAGGGCTGCCTTAGTTTGAACGACCTCTTATTGAAAAGAAAGTCAACTGAACTGCACTTGAAATACAATGCGAAGGGGAGATGGCAATAGTGAGAGAGGCTATCTGCTAACTATAGATGGGATAGCATAAGCAAGGTACTAAAAATGCTTATAAGCGCGACAAAATTGATTCCGTCTCGGCTGTCCATTCTCCGTACCTAGAAGTTGGATGCAACGGCCTTGAAAACTGACTGGCCCCGTGACAATTTCATCTTTCTGGCCACTTGCCTCATACAGTTCATGGACTAACTCTCGCATTGGCTTGTCCAGATTGGGCATGTCCTGCCACTTCCACTCGAGTGTACCCCCATACTCCACAGGGAGATTTGATGCATCTATGTAAGACAGCAAGGTAGACTTGGCTTCAGATGAACTCAACAAGAAGAGTTTTGACCTAGTGGCCGGGTCGAACCAATGGCTCATGACATCCCAAATAGATCGGAAGAAATACGGAGCTCCAACCACCTACAGAACAGTTAGTTTCCTAGTGAAATAAGAAAATCAATGTCAACTCACAAAAACTCGACCGAGGGTTTCAGGATAGTGCTTGGTAGCCATTTCACTTGATTCTTGCAGGTATTTTCTGATTGCGAAGAACTGTTTCAAGCTGACTCCTGAAATATCGATGATATGTGTTGACGCAGACACAGGTATGTTTTCGTTTGGCCTTGTGAGTTCCGAGACCAAAGGGGTTACAAATCTTATCAGATTATCGAATAGGGCGTGGAAATGGAGAACATAGCCGGGGGCACTCGGCTTGCAGTATTCCTTTGTTGATTCGCAAGAGGAAATCTTTCCAAGATACTCATCCAGATTTTTCTTGGTGAAGTTCTTGACAGCAAATACATAGACCGGGCGACCATCATGATCTCGTCTACCAATCCATTGCGGGTACTTCGAGAGGAATTAGCCACAGGAATGTGAACAGAAAATAGAAAAATTGGCCGACCATACCATCTTTCGTGATTCTTCGTAGCTTTGGACTTCCAAGTTATTATAAAACTCTTCAATTCCATTTTCCTTGCGCCATTCCATGCCGAAATCAAACTGCTCAAATGCAGCCGCAACATCAAAGCCCCTCGCTCTCAGATATCGCCTAAGTAATTAATTAGATACTGAAGAGCATATTTTCGATGGTCCAAAGCTCACAGTAATGCAGCATCGTCCGTGTAATGGTCAGGGTTAGAAAGGTCATAATTATGGTCCAGACATAATTTCTTCAGTTGGCTTAAACTTCCTTTCTGATCCGAGGTCAAAATGCATCCAATATGGGCTTGACCAGGAGATGGCATTCCACAGACATCGTCAAGTGTTTGCAGGTGATCCAGCGATTCTGGCGTCTGCTTCTGAGGATTGACAAGTGCTTCCATTTTCGGAATTCAAAGCCAGGATCATCGACATGAGTTTTGGGAACAAAGCGTACGAAAAAAAAAAGTTTGTCCGGTGGAAACGAGAGCATCTTTATAATAATCTTAACACGTCCGGGAAATCGTGATGTGACTAAGTCCGAAACCCAAAATACTGAATACTCTTTTGCCTCTTCCTCCCGGATCGTGGATGACTTATTTGCCACCGGCCTTCGGGGTTGCTTTTGCCTGCCCTAGTGACTAAGCCCAAAAGTCCCGACTGACGAGATCTGTGTCAGTCACTACGTCAATATGAAGCTACTTTAAAACCTAATTGTTTTTTCTTTACCATGGATTGGTTATCTCTTATTAACCATAGGTTTGCTTTGTTAAGAGAAAAAGTCGATGATAAAAATTATCAATGTTCAATTTTATCAGTTTTGCTCGATGCTTTTGGGACCAAAGAAAACCTTCACAAGAAGCTAATTTTACTTTCGCTGGAAAAGATAAAAGTTTTGACCAGTCATCCTTTGTTCGTTGAAGAATAATAGTTTCCGAGGCCAGCTATTTCATTTCTATATAGTACGAATGGTGGTGTAGGATATTCATGTAGTTTTATATCCAGTTTGTAATCACAACACCCAAAGAATCCGAAATTTTATAGCATTAAGACTCTCTAGCCTCTAGTACACCCAAGGGAATAGACGGTAAAAAACGCGAGACTTGATGTCAGTCCAAGAATTTCCATACTAAAAAGCCAGAATAGTTAGCATTCATTCGATAACGAGGGAGCAGAAAAAGGCCGGGGATAAATCTCACCCTATCAGTACAGTATTGGTTGAGGACTGGCACTCCACGAGTTGCAAAATCATAAAAGAAGAAAGAAAAAGTGAAGAGATCCCAGGCCCAACCTCCACTGGTCAGGGCGAATGTTCCGCGCCACAATGTATAAGCACCATAGTTGATATTGGTCGCCAGGGAGAAGAGACCACCACCGTATGGCTTCCCCTTGTTAGCAGGGTCCTTTTTGAATTTCTGTCGCTGCAACTCGGAGGCCAACTCAGACACAATCCCGATGGCGTAGGCAGTGGCCCCAACGGCGACCGCCGGGGAAGAGAGAACACCCAACCAGGTATCAAAGCCAGGAGCTTGTGACGAGGAAGACCAAATTGCGAACAGGATGTTGGTAGAGTTGATGATAGTGTTGAAGAAGCCTATACCAAAGCCCAATTGCGGAGAAAGCTCTTGCTAAGAAATAAGTGCCATGTGGGTCGCCTGCTTGAGCCAACTACCAAGGACCATAACCACAAGAAGCTGATAGTAAGGATCCAACCGACCGCTGACTGCATCGAGCACAGGTAAAGGTGTTCCACGGAGGTATGAGACAATCCGAGAGCCCCATCCACGCTGGAGGAACGCAAGTTGCCAAATCGGATCCGTCAAACGAAGCCCAACAAAGATGGATTTCCCAATTGGTGAAGGGGCCTTGATGCGTGACAGATTGTCGTGGAGCTTTTTATCGCTCACCATGGCTAAGGGCAAGATCGGAGTTTTTGGAGAAGGTATGTTGAGTCTTGTGAGAAAGATCAGCCGAAATTTAGGGAGTTTGACTCGGTGGTTGTCTGTAAGAAGGAGACCCTTGACAAGTAAAGGCTTAGTTTACAGAGAAATATGATTGAAGAAAAGGAAATGACGATTCAGGGTCTGTAAAAAAAGAACAGACAATAGTTACGCGGTACCGAACACCCCAGGGCGTGTATCAGTGGAAGGATCGATAGGCTATTTCTGTGATTGTGTACAAAGCAAGGTCGTTTAATAAGAAAAAGTAGCGACCGACGAGCTCGGGGTTGAAAATCAAAACCGAATGCCGAGCACCGGCCAATTCGTAATATGAGACTCATGAATTACACCGAGGAGATCAGGTTATTAACTAGACGTTGGGAGAAATGCGAAGAAAAGAAATGAAAAAATTGTTACTTGAATGTATTGGTCACATGGTCGAGTAAATGAAGGTAGTTCAGCTCTGCGAGGCAATGCGCTGCCAACCGCCTATATTTAGATAGACTGAATGTTCTTTAAGCGCCATGGAGTTTATTGCTCTGCTTCGGCCCTCTCCGCAGAAGATCATCAATGCTTTATAGTGACACTCTTACACGATACGCCCGCACCCACAGGCATTCAACTTCGCAGCCTTTCCCTAGCATTCCGGGAGCGGACTTCGCGAATCACACACAGACTCGGTCGACGACATAACCCAGACCGCCCCTGCGACTCTTTTGCCACAGCTGCCAGCCCAAAATGGTTCAAAAAGTATGGCTTCTTTCGTCGATCCAAATTTGAATGACGAGCATCAATTTTCATCGCATGCTGGCGAGCCCGGCGTGTCTGACGGCCAGTTGTCTCCTTCGCTGAATGATTCAGGAAGGATCTGAATTAACAGCTCCACCCGCCGCCCCCAGAAGCAGCATTTCCTTCGGTGGATTTTCTAGTAAGCCACCCGTCCTCTCTCCACGGTACCAACTCACTATGTGTAATAGAACCTTTGTCTTCGAATGTATCTCAGTTGATTCAACCCTATCTTTCCCATAATCCACGTTCCCACCTTCCGTCTCTCAAAAAGGAACAACCTGCTACTCATGGCAATGTGTACGGTAGGAAGCCTTTTCGTGCAGACCGCCCAATCCAAAACCATGGGACAGGCGATATTCGACCAGTTGAACAAAGCAGCTCTAGCTTCGATGCGTATTTCAACCGCTCATATAAATCAATTCGCGAAAACTTTAAGTCTGATGGAAAATATCAGTGGGAAAATTACATCTCACGAGGGTCTGATGCCGGTCTCGCTATCATCCAGGCGGCTCTCATCGGTCACACATATGCAATGCTATCAGGTGTGAGTAGTAATCGATTACCGGCTCAGATGTACATTTCTAACCGAAATTACTGCCACGACACCTGAAAAACTATTGACGATACAGTCATTTCATGGGACTATACTTGCGGTAGGTCATTCATCGACCGCCCATTAACCTTTCAAAACCGATGTCTAACCATGTGCAATCAGTGGGCGAAGAGAGGTGGCATATTTAATCGGGTCCAAACCCTAGATGGGATCTTAAACGTGTGCAACCAAGACATGGAAAGCAGGTGGAAGTCTTGGGCCAAAGGCAAAGAACAAACAAGGCCAGTCATCAAGACAATTAAACTATATACACCGGCTCATACTCCATCAATCTAGGGCTACCATAGCCCTCTATATCCTAGTCTCCGAATACTCCACTCTGTTGAACGAAGAACCGATTCTGCGACACACCAAGGTATCTAAATATGCTGTAAAAAGTCCGGGGGTGCAATGACCGCTTCGGAATGAAGAAGCACCGTATCGAATATTCAAAGCGAGGCAGGTTCCAGGAAAAGTACTATATCGACCGGATCGGATTTTTTGACTCTCGATCGTCAAGACCCAATCGTTCTAGACTCGTTCTGCATATACTCGTAATTGGCAAGTATATCGGCGTCAATGTGCCAAAGCAAGAAGCTGGAGACTTGGGACACCGTATCCTCTGATATAGAGAAGACTTTAATTCAATTCCACGGATCCAAAATTCAAGAAAATCAGGGATTTTCAGATGACCCATACAGCCTGGAAATACTGTGGCACTCAGAATTCATTTAAATGTTTGCAGACTTGAACCGGCCTGAGATTTGTTCCAGACGAGATGGGCTGGAAGCTTCGCATGAAAATCCTCAGTATGCCAGGGACTGGGTACAGTCCGAAAACGCAGTAAGGTGTGCGATACATGGCGTCTTGATGCTCCGCAAGTCACAAACAATGCCTCTAGGGGGTATCATCGCGATACATGTGCCTCGGGTGTTATACTGGGCCGCCCTTGCTTGGTATTGCTTTCTGCAATTCGGTGAAGGCCAAACGGATCACTTATTCAATTATGGATTTGAATTTCCAGAGCTTCTGGCGTTAGGGGTGGATCCCAGAGGGCTCCTGCTTGAAGAGGAAAACCTCGCAAATCAGCAATCCATGTCCATTTTGACATCAAAAATGCTAGGCCGACTGGTAGATCTGCTTGGGCGTCTAGGGAATTGGGAAATTTCGCGGAAACTGGCGTCTTTGATGACTACGCTCGTTCTTGGAGATTTAGAATAGCGAGACGGATACAGTAGCTGCTAGCCCTTGTTTCAAGGCAATCAACCGAACTTTGGTGATATAGAAAATATGATGATATAGCAGACAATCTACTCACCAGCTCCCAAGGCTGTCCTCCATTTAAACATAGAAGATATAAACCGTATTTCCATCAAAGGAATCCGATCCTCCCCAATGATAGGGTTGCCACTAATCTTGCGGGTTTGCGGGGTGAATTGCGGGGAACGTGGCATGCTATGGACCCCGTGGTCTTCGTTAGCCATTTATTTAAGCCACTTTCTACGCCATAGAGAAATGTTACGAAATTTTGAAATAGGCAGAATCTTTCAACGATACTTTTTTCTTCGCACAATCTAAATACCACTCAAAATGGCTTCCAACCAACCCAGGACCTTGCTGCTTTACTGGCTTCAAGCACGACGGGAAGCCATCAGGAGAGACCATTTCCATCGGAAAAGGTGAGCCAAGAATTGAATAAAGTAGTAATTGAGCAGAGAGAACTAGCTGACTCTTTTTGACAGGCCTTGCATACATTGCCAAACCGAATGGCGACATCAAGGTTAACCAGGCTGTTCTGGTTCTGAGCGATGTATTTGGTCTTTTCAACAACAGTAAGCTTCTTTCTGATGATTTCGCTACCAACGGATACCTAGTAGTCCTACCTGACCTTCTCTCTGGAGATCAGATGGACGTTGGCGACTTTGAAGCCGGCAAGACTGATATTCCGGATTGGATCTCACGACACGGCACCGATGCTGCTGACCCTATCGTACAGTCAACCCTGGATCACATGAGAGAGAATCTGGGTATTCCAAAGATAGCGGCTGCAGGTTATTGCTTTGATGGCAATGTCTGTCTTCATAATCAATCAACAGAAGATCGATTACGATCTGACCAAACTTACCATAACTATCTAATATGTCACTTGCTTCCTCAAGAGTGGCAAAATCGATATCGGTTACAGTGCTCATCGATCATTTGTATCTGACGAGGAGCTCGCTGCCATTGAGAACCCGTTCTCCATTTCTGCTGCAGGTAGGTGGTTCTTATATTCCTGGCCAACCCCTCTCAGCTAACAATGCACAACAGAGGTCGATGGGATTTTCACCCGCGAGCATCGTTACAAGTCCGAAAAGATCCTGAACAAAACTGGTAAGCCATACCAGCTAAAAATTTTCTCGGGTGTTAAACACGGATTTGGTATTCGCGCTGATCTGAGTAAGCCACACAACAAGTATGCCAAAGAGCAGGCTTTCCTGCAGGCTCTTGCATGGTTTGAGTTGGAACTGTGATCCGCAAGCGCAGCTATTTTGGGAGGTTCAACTTGGGAAATTTGTCGATGTAGTTCAGGAAGCTAGATGAATATATAGAAAAGTTCTGAAAGGTCATGACTCTCCTTATTTTGCCACGAATTTTCGTAGCTCTTCATGTTTTTATGAACTCCCCGCATAGATAATTAGCCATGTAAGGGGCCTTAGAAAGATTTTGTAATCATTCTACACTGTCAACCAATTTAAACATGCCAGTTTAAGTAAGATTGTGTTTCTAACAACTCCGGAATCTTTTTAGGCGACAGCAACAAGACACAAAGAGCCTACGGATTTAACTCCTTTTCTCTTGAACTAATTTCAAATTATGCATAAGTCCTTTTCCAATTGTAAATAGACCATCTCATAAGGATATCAAGTTTTCCAAGGTTGATATACACTTTAGATCAAAGCTTCTTAGGAGGTGCAGACTTCGCACCCAAACCTGTGATGACAGAAGGACGAGATTTCAAAGTCTCTAACCATTGAGAAACGTTTGGAAAGTCCTTCTCTAAGTCGACCTCGCCCTCAGTAGCCCACGGAACGACTTCGAACCAAGAAACAAATACCAAATCAGCGTAGCTGCATTTATCGTTGACTAGGTAATTATGCCCCTCGAGAACACTGTTCAACACACCCGAGACACGGCGGATCTCGTTGATGTATCGATCGATAGCAGTTTGGACCTCCTCTTTATGGTGAACCTTGAACCACACAGCTTGGCCAAAGTATGGGCCTTGACCAGAAGCTTGAAAATGGAGCCATTGCTTCGCGTGGTAGGAACTGGCAGTGCCAGGCTGGAAACTGATCACTCGATCCTGGTCAAATTTGTCGACCAGGTATTCGATGATGGCTCCTGACTCCCATAGAGTAAGTCCGGTGTTGGGGTCCTCGATTGCGGGAACGCGTCCGTTGGGATTGATCTTTTCGTAGGCGGGCTGCTTCATTTCGGGAAACTCGAGAAGCTTGATTTCATATGGGATTTTCAATTCTTCAAGAACCATGACCACCTTCTTTGGATTGGGACCGGCATGGTGGCCGTATAGAATGATTGGCTGCATAATGGTCGCGTTGGAGAGAAGGGATAGACAGTTGAAGTTGGCGACTTGAAGTTTAGAGAAGAGCAACTTTTCTATTATCCTACATCGCGCTTCTTAAATAGTAAAATACTGATGTCAATTAAATCGCCTACCTGAGGTAAACGGATCTCGCGACAATTGATTACGCAAGACAGCGAAGCTGACTTGGGAAATCCTAGGTCCGGGATGAACCAAGGTACGATTTCAAGTTGTTCAATTAAGTCTAGGGAGTCATGCGGTTGGGCATTGCCATCGCTCGCTGCTCGGCCGTGACATCTAATGCCGAAGTAACGTAGTTACGTCATCAATACTGCCGTAAATAGAAAGGATTCGCGCTTCACTGCAGATCACACGGTTTTTTCTCTTACTCCTTGCAGATTATTTTCTACCTTCCCCAATAAGATAACATGGCTACCAACAATATCGCATTCACTGCTCCGCTCAACCCCGACGGGGTTAGCCCAATTCTGAATGAAGATCAAGTTTGGGCTGGCTTGCTTCTTAAAATCAAATCGGCAGAAACATTTGTTCCAAAAGCCATTCAGTCAACCAAAGTCATCTCTGAGCACTCTGATCCCGTAACCGGAAACGCCGTCACGGTGCGCGACATCGTCTTCGTCGAAAACAACCGTAAAGTCACAGAAACAGTCACCGCATACAAGCCTTCAAGGGCCATTTTTGTCCAGCCAGATGGAAGCACTATTGCCAATGTGATCAGCAAGGGATCAAATGGCGAGCTGTACATGACATATACTTTTGAATGGAGACACCCTGGTGCCTCTCCCTCGGAGCTGGAAGCCTTCTTATACAAGGAGAAGCAGATGATGAAGTTGGCTGTGGAGGGAACTATTACTGTGTTGCGCCAGTTAGCAGAAGATGGCAGGATTTGAACTTTTGCTTCAATATAGTCTTCAACGGCTATTTCAGGCGGCTGCACATGTATCAGTATAATATATGTATCTATATAAAATCTAAAGGCAACGTCGAGTTATAGAGAAGTCACGAGAATCTTGAACATTTTTGATAGGTCGATGTTTTCAATACATGACTGTAACTCCCCGTATGGTTACATACTTTAGGAATGCTTGCCTGGGGTATCCCGATTTAGGTGCCTCCTTCGTCTTCCGTTCTTTGTTCATATTCCGTCTCCATGCTTGGTTATTTTCAAATTTACATGTTGATGCTTGATTGTCTTCAGTTTCCAGAGCCGTTAAACTGATAGAGTACTAGTAAAGTTTCGATGTGGACATGAATATCATGAATAGCATCCCTTGAAACTAATATTAGAGGAAACAGCCACTATGCGACTGGAAATACTAGAGCATATATTCTTAGTCATACAAAAGCCTTCCGTCGTGATCGTGTGAAAATAAAAGAGAATATGATCTGATGCTATGTATAATCCATGTTGCATTAGAAGCACTAATTACCCACCACATGATACCAGGATTCTTTTTATTGGTTGCTTAATCATCGAATGCTTTTTTTAATAAGAGCTCGGCATTAAAATCATGGGAATGCATAATCTCGGTATTGAGAATGGGCCCGAAGACACCGAGCTGTCAGCGTTGGTCGGCGTGGTCGGCGGACGGGGCCCGTATTTTCCGATCCGCACACAGATTATATAGTGGTATTCACCTTTTTTGAGGTGGTGACATACAGCGACAAGTTAGAATCAAGCAGATTCCGATTATCAAAATGAGCTCTATCACAGTTGGAGTTGCCGGTATCACGGGAAAGTTTGCTCGTTGTGTCGTGGGTCACCTCTTGAAGAATCCAAACATTATCATTAAGGGTTACTGCCGCGACCCAACAAAACTTTCGCCTTCTCTACTTGCCTCCAGAAGAGTCACCATCATCCAAGGCCAGTCAGATGATCAAGATGCTCTACGTGTATTTGCTAAGGGTAGCGATGTGGTAATTTGCGGCTATTTGGGCGACCACAATCTCATGATCAATGGCCAAAAGGCATTGATCGATGCATGTGAAGCGGAGGCAGTTCCCCGCTATATCGCCAGTGACTATAGCCTAGACTTTACCCAGCTGGAATTTGGGCAGCTTCCCGCCAAGGACCCAATGAAGCACATCCAGGAATATCTCAAAACAAAGAAAGTCCAAGGAGTTCACGTGCTAATTGGCATTTTCATGGAAACTTTCTTTACGAACTTCTTTGGTGTCTGGAAAGCCGAGCAGAATTCCTTCGACTATTGGGGATCCGGCCAGGAGACATGGGAGTCTACTACTTATGACAACGCTGCCCAATTCGTCGCAGCTGTTGCCCAAGACCCGACTACAGTCGGCGTGCAGAGATGTTAGTACCCTTAGCCTTCTTTGTGGTCTGAAAAGCTGACCATAATAGTCCTTGGGGATCGCAGAAATATTCGACAAATTGCTGCCGCATTCGAAGAGCAGTATAAGGTGAAGCCTTGGCTACACAATCTTGGATCTCTTGAAGAGCTCAACACAAAGATGCACAAGGTCAAGAATGACGACCCCAGCAACTTCATGGCCTGGATTCCTCTGTAAGTTCACACTAATTGAAGGAACACCTCATAAAAATCTAACACATGACAATCTTTAAGGTTCTATCAATACTACTGCAACAATGGCCAGACCTATCTTACACCTAAGATGGATGCCACTCGATACCCCGAGATCCCACGTTTCACATTCAAGGATTTCTTCCAAAAGCATTCCAAGGAATCACTCGCGACCGCTGCTTGGGCGGTTGGTTCAAATGTCTCTCAATGAAAACCCCATCTTCGGCGCAGGGTACTAGCTCAGAAATATCAAATGACTAGTTTCTTACGTCTGGGCGTTGGAACTTGGGGTGTCTATGTTAGGTCCTATTAGCTAATTAGACAGCTCTAAATGTTTATACTCGGCACTTGAAAAATTCAGATCACAGCATAAGGGGCGCCCGTCAACCCTCAGTAGTCCTAAGTTGGCACCCGCGCTGAGTACTATTAGGGTTATCAGCAACGGTGTATCGTTTTGAAAAGATGTTATTCCTAGTATAGCATGCCAGCATTCTTGTTATGCTTGGTGGCTGTCGCCAAATATTTTTATATACAAACCTAAAAAGCCCAATACTAGTACTTTTTCGTTGTAGATATCAAGTAAGTTTCCTTCACAATAGTGGTCGATCACGATTGTTTAATTGGAAAATTCCAGATCCGTTTCCGTGAAAGCAAAGGCCGTGCATGACCTCAGCATTTGGTCTCAAGAGCTTCTCAAGCGAACTGTTTGGGCTGGAGAATGCCGAAGCTGGTACAAGAATAACAATGTGAACGGAAAGATCACGGCTCTCCATGCTGGAAGTGTTATTCACTACAGAGGTAAGCCAAATTTTCTTCCCAACCTCAACCCCCCAGCCCTGGAATATGCTGACTCGAATGATGAGAAATGCTTCAAGATATCCGGGGAGAAGACTTTGAAATTGAATATCGATCACGAAATGAGTTCCGCTTTCTTGGAAATGGATTGACCCAACGAGAGGAAGCCGGAGGTGATATCTCCTATTATCTTAAAAAATAGCATACATTTAAAGCTATTTCTTGTATTGCTACTTGTCGGTTTGAATTCATTTGTTTTGCGAAACCTTGAATTGAAAACTGGCGCTAGTAGTGTGTATGCTAGATTGAAGTTAGTGTCTATTAATCATACTTGATATAAGAGTTGTCTCCTTTCTTCTTTCCCATCTACTGCATATCATTGGGGTTTTTAGGCTGACGTCGCTTCGTTGCGAAGATCGACGCGTAGAAAAACGGCCATTGTATATCCAATCTAGCATTTCACAACGGTTCCTCTGGTTTTCTACTGTTGAGATTTATGGTAGCCGGCCATGGTTTATGCCATGAATGAGCCATGACGGCAACCGTAGTGATTCATCACTTGGGAAATCTAATTAGGACTAGCTGAAGGCAGAGTTTTCTGGTATAAGAGGAGATTCTCACACAAATGAGAATCTCCAGACTTAAACACCTCGGTAATCTATTGTTAGATTATCTATATTGTACGGTCGTACCTGTCATCATCCCTACTTGCATCGTAGCCTTTTTCAACATCTACTACATAGCATGATAATGTACTGATGGGGTGATCCTATCTCCAAACATCAAAGACGTATTTTTTCTAATCAACATATAATAGAATATGCAATGTTTTTGAAAAGAGCTAGGCGCGTGGGACCTGGTAGAATATTTTATGGAATGATTTGATTCAACGGAAGACTGACTGTCTATACCGATGTCTTCTTGTTCTACATTTTGGATGACAATTTTTGCGCTTTATATTCGGCTGCGAGTGATCTACAACGGACAAATTATATGCTGTGTGTTCAAAATAACATCAAGAATAAAAATAAGCACTTGAAAGGAATAGATTAGAATGTTAAGGAAAGGAATACGAAGGATCTGACGGCGGTGAAAGGAAGGGAATATGCACAAACAGACAGAGGGGATAAGGGAGTTCAACACTGCAAGTAGTCCTTCACTCTGCCTTCTTCGAAGCTTTGGTTCGAAACTTCAGCATCGAGAAGACCATAACGTAAGAAATGAGAGATGAAGATGAAAGTGATTTCAATATTGCGCCATCCATCGATGTGCTTCAGATTGAGTGTAAGATTGTCCCATTGCAATCCAAGCTCACGTCTCTTCAAGCCTGTATCCAACAATTGCTGGTTGAGTTCCTTGACAATGGACGTAAGACTCCATTCGGTGTCGGGACTCTCCTCTTCTTATGTCTTTTCGGACATGTTGATGGTCGAGGCGATATAGGACTAGCGAGGATATCCGGAAGCTGGTAGCGGCGTCTCTAACGTCGACGGAGGGTCCATAGAAGGGGAGCTGGCGCCAGTGAGGAGACCTCAAGTAAAAGAAAGTAGCTCTCTCTCGAATATGGAAAATTTCCAGGATCTTCCTTTTAGTTTTATATATTGAATAGCCTTACCCCTTCGGGATCAACGGTAAAGCATCCGACGGAAGCAAAGGCCAAAAGCATCCAGCTTCGATGAGTCTGTTTTGCAATATTCTCCTTGATCCTCTCAACCCGAAATCGGCAGATGACCTAGATCTCATTAGTCGAGCTCCTGCATCCATCTTACAACTGTCCACGAAAATGCTTTCGCAGAGGGAGATGAACCAATATCACTCACTCATTCGCTTTATTTCCGAACTGAGTCGACTCGCCGGTAAAACTATTCAGAATGCATATAGCGGAATTTAGAAGCCCGCGAGTCAAATTCCCGGGTACCACCCGTCACGCGCTTCACTTTAGCATGGGCAAATCCTATATCTTTTTCTCGAAGGTTCATATAGAGGACTACATCTGAAGTAGCATGCAATGGACCCATTGGCCTTTTCTAGTAATTTTGCGTACCTTTCATTTTTCAACGGATAAAAGCAGCCTAAAGCTCTGTTCTGTTTCATTTCCTACCATACTAGAACCATGGCGGGAGAAAAATCTATACCTACATAAGAGCTCGTGATCTCAATGAGCTCCTGGCGGTAATTTTGAGAAATGGTTCAAGACATTCGGAAAGAGTGCTCTAAAATTGAATACTGCAAAAGTGTGAAGGTATACAGTGCATAAATGATTTTGAAAACTACTGTAAGCAGATCACCTGTGCAAGATAGGGCGGAGACTTCGCAGCTTGGCACAGTATGATAATGATAATGATTTCATCTACCCTGACCCTTTGCCTCAACAGTTCAAATCGGGACACAAGGTACAGGTGTGATAACTATTCTCAGTCTATGGAATCATATATTTGAACCTGCAGGAGCTCAGCAGGCTACTGATGATGCGCGCTACGCACGCTGTGGCCCTGACACGAAATTGAAGGTCAAGAAAACCAGGAAAACGGGAGGTTGATTTGCAACATCGACAGTGCAAAATGAGCGTTGACAAATGAGAGAGCACTTATGACTAATACCCGCTAGACCCTATAAAACAGAAAACCCAGGAATGTACATCATCAACCATCGTATTCGATTGTGCGAATATATCGATGTATGAGGTTTTTCGTTGTCTCGAGAACGCCTCGTTAAGGAGGCGGTGAGCTAGCCCCTGCTAATGCTCGGTTTCGTCGGCGGTTTCTGGTGGGAGAAATCTTCACCAGAGCCCAGAGATAAATGCTCTTCGGTATTCAGGAGTGAAAACGAGTTGAGCTGTACGGTGATGAGTAAATGCAGTCAAACTTCAAGAAAGAAAGAAAATGGAAATTGCTAGAATTCAACTATGACAATATGATGATGATGAGAGATTATTAACAAACCAGAATATTGTATGTGACTTTTGCCCGACCATTGCGTTGAAACGGGAAACTTTTCGCTTTCGACAATCTCATCACTTGCGACTCCACTTTGCCCCCACCCTCTCTTTTCACCACTCCTCTATCGCAGAAGCATCTATGGATACAATGCATTAAGATAATCAGACAGACTGATTATTACATAGTGAGCCGTTGAGTAAATTAAATCTTTTCTAGAAAACAGGGGGAAATAGATTAGTGAAACATTGAAAATTTGAAACTTGATCACTGGAAGTCGTTGACAATTTCGTAAAAAGATATCGTTGAAAGAGACTAATAATAGCGAGCCGTTAAGATAATTGATTCTCGGGCCGAGGTTGTTCAACGAAGTCGCTAGTAGTAGTAATAAAGGTTGACCTATCGTAGTAGATAAAGCCGTTGTTGAGAAATGGCAATCCTCAATAATGCCTTTCAACGATTCTTAGATTCTTCCTCTAGCTTCCTCATAGAATCGTGCCTTCACTGGCAGCCTTGTTCACTTCAACTTCCCCCATAACGATCACGATAAACAGAATGGTACAACGATTTCTGGACTGATCTCTTCGCCTAGATATTATATCAAAAAAGTTCTAATAGTCTTCTAACGCTAATTTTGCTAACAAATTCCTCCAACAATCTAACACCTACTCTGGATGCCAATATTTCAACAACTCATAACTTGATGATACTCTTGAATTGATCCCCCGCCCAAACGACTTTTTTCTTACGACCCCTGCGACAAATTTTAAAGTTGGATCCTCCAGCAATTCATTCAACTTTTTATTCAAAATTTCTGCCAAAGCAAAATCTACTAACAAGCCCTTCCACTGATAACTTCAACGACCACCGAAATCATGTAAAATATCCCTTCAACTATCCCCTCCAGATTATTCTTATCAAATTCTTAAGTTGAATGCTCCGGTATTAACTGAAGTAATCCTTTGACGCACCTCAGATAACCATTTTGCTACCAGATTTATATAAAAACACACCTCAAGTACTGGGGGATAACCTCATTGGTTAATGCTAGTACTGGCGCATACTGCATCTCTCCGAACCGTTAGACCCATAAACTGGGAGAACTAGGGGTAATAGAAATACAGAGTCATGAACATTTCTCATTGGTCGAGCACAGTACGGAGTCAGACATAATGTTCCGGAAGAAATTATTTTCCGAGAGACGGGATCTGCTGGCAGAACGCTGATCGGAGCGGCAAAGTGGCAAAATTTCACAGGTTGAGTCTCTGAGGCGGAAGACTACCACCAATAGCCTAAATCCCTACGGGTATTACATAACACGGATGACCCGAGAGACGTGTCTGACGACACAAGACAAAAAGAGACATAGGCCTCCTTTTCCTAGTTGTTCACATATGTGAATCCATAGGAAACAGCCAGAGGACTTTGTTTGAGATTGTCTTACCGCAGGTACAATGCCTATCGATACTGCCAACGGTTAATGTCGAATCCGTCACTATGACCTCAGCCGCCACGAATACCTTCGTCGTCGAGGGTTTTGCCTTACTAGGCGTGTCAGTTTTGCTGGTTGCGCTGCGAATTAAAGCGCGATGGATTATGGTAGGATGGAAGGATTTCCAGCTAGATGATTATCTGATGGTTCTAGCTGCTGTCAGTACCCCTTGCAAGACCAAAAAGGTTGCGTTTATTGATATTAGTGCAGGTGGTTTACGGTTTAGAAACCGGTGCCGCATATATGGTGGCCGAGTGGTTTCATGGACTTGCCAACAATTGCATGACTGACAGGCAACGGGCAAATCTGTCGCCTGATTCCGACGAATACCGCTGGCGCGTCGGCGGTTCGAAGGTCCAAGTGGTCGGTTGGTCACTATATGTGACGACTCTATGGCTGCTAAAGGCATGTATGGCAATCTTCTATGCTCGAATAACGTGAGTACCTCTGTACATAGTGCCTGCACTGTACTCGTCGCTTATATCGATTTCATAGGGGTGGTTTACTGTATATACGAACACGGATTCTCATATCCTATGCTTCGATCGCAGTGACCTATGTTGTTGTGCTAATTGTTATTCTTGCTGGCTGCCATCCCATTCACAAGAACTGGCAGATATATCCCGACCCAGGAAGTGCGTTGCCCCTTATCCTCGTGTTTTCCACGATTCCTTTTTTAGGGGATACAACTTATCAATTCGTTCCAGATCATTGCCAGCCAGCCGTGGCTAAGATTCACATCTATTTCACAGTTTTGCTGAATGTGACTACAGACATTTATCTCATGAGCGTTCCTATTCCAGTAAGCCTTGTTTGACATGTTGGATGCAGCTTGCTCCTAATTTCTATGCTAGATAATTATAACATCCCGAATGAAGTGGCGAGAGAAGGCCCCACTCATAGTCCTTTTTAGTGGCGGTCTGTTTGTTATCACGGCTGGAATCCTGCGCTGTGTTGTGATTCTAACAGCAAGTGCTTTCCACTACACCTGTATTCCATGTCCAGGCTAACCTCACAGGGTGGTGCCAATAGTGCTGAAGAAGGTGCTAGTTGGGGTCGTCGCGAGTCATTTGTAGCGGTTGCTATCGGAAATCTTCCTATGATCTATCCTCTGGTCCGTCGGATCGCCCGCAAGGCCAGGTCCTGCGTCAGACAGAATATTTCCCAAAGCTATCCTCGATACCCGCTATCGGACAGCGCTAGTCAGTATCACAACCATCCTGTAACACAATCACGAGATACTGAACGGAGGCACAATGTCCAGGAGCTCGACCCTTGAGATTGAGTGCACGCACGGAGAGGATCCTATACCGGAGAAATTGTCGTGTACCGAACGGAAGGGATGGCGGAGCGCGAAGATTGTGGTGCTACGGAAACCTAAGAAATTCGACTACTCAGTACCTGGGGCCTATCGCCCGATCTCGCTGCTTAACACTCTGGGCAAACTTCTTGAAGCGGTGATGGCGCGACGACTGTCGTACCTCGCCGAAAAACACGGCCTGCTACCGGACACCCAGTTTGGAGGACGACCAGGCAGAACGACTGAACAGGCCCTGTTGGTCCTCTCTAATGCGATTGACCGCGCGTGGTATAAACACAAAGTGATTACGCTAGTGGCTTTTGACCTGAAAGGTGCCTTTAACGGAGTCAACAAAGTGAGCCTAGACGCCTGCCTCCGGGCAAGAAGAATACCAACCGTGGCGAGAAAATGGATTGCGAGCTTCATGAGCGACCGCCACGCTAGCATAGAATTTGATGACTTCCGGACCGAGGCCACACCACTGGCGAACGCGGGACTAGCACAGGGATCGCCTCTCTCCCCCATTCTGTTCGCATTCTTCAACTCCGACCTGGTCGACCAACCTGTCAACTCTCAAGGCGGCGCATCCGCCTTTATCGATGACTACTTCCGGTGGCGAGTGGGACGCTCAGCCGAAGAGAAACTAACCAAGATCCAATCGGATGCCATTACCCGCATTGAAGCATGGGCCCGTCGTACTGGGTCTTGTTTCGCAGCCGAGAAAACCGAACTGATTCACATCACCAGGAAAAGACACGAACAGCTTCAAGGTCAAGTAGTTATGAATAGGAAGACGATCGAACCGTCGCCCACGGCCAAGCTTCTAGGGGTGGTGTTCGACCAGGAGCTTTGCTGGAAAGAACACGTCCAGCAAACGATCAAACGGGCAATCAAGGTCAGTATTGCTCTGGGCGGGCTGCGGCATCTACCCCCAGAACAGATGCGACAGCTCTACCAAGCCTGCGTGACGCAGGTCATAGACTACGCGTCGACGGTCTGGCACTACCCTTTGCGAGACAAGTCCCACCTATGACACTTTAAAACAGTCCAGAGAGCCGCATTGATCAGCATCTTATCAGCTTTCAGGGCAGTGGCCACCACGACTCTGGAAGTGGAGGCACACATTCTGCCAACGCGCCTCCGCCTCCGCCACCGACCGCAGAACATCATCACAAGCCTCCATACTCTAGAGGGAATCGATTCCCAGCAGATCCAGGTGGGACCCATGGACCGGTGGTCGGTTCACATAGCAGAGCTCATAGGCGTTTTCTACGCTGTCAGTACATTGTTCATAATCAGCCACCAGCGGCCATGAGCGGAACATAATGGCACAACAACGGCAACGATCCTCTGCGACAGCGCTGCAAGCAATCCAGAACCCAGGTAAAAAATCAGGACAGCGCATTATCCACGCGATCATTCAAGCAGCCACATGTTCAAGAACAGGGAATCGCGCTTCGTCTCCAATGGATACCCGGACTCTGCGACAACCCAGGAAACGACACAGCAGATCGGCTGGCCAAGGACGCGGCAAGCCCTGGCAAAATATACCCCTTCCGCCCTTTGCTGTATATGACGAAAGCGCTTATGCGCGACAACATCCGCGCTTAGTGGAGGCGGCAGTGGGAATCATTCACCAGAGGCGGTCACCTGCGGAAAATTGATAACACGCTGCCGGCGGCCTACACTAGGAAGCTTTACGGGAATCTACCCAGGGCCCTGGCTATTAGGATGTTCGTGTGACATCTACCAGCCACAGACTGCTTTCAGCAAATGGTAGATTTACACAAACAATAGACCAGCAAAATACGTATGAAGACAATGTATTACTGGAGCTTTCGGATGAAAGTATAGTGCTGTAGCACGCAGGTCTCGCGTAACTGACCACGAGATAGAGTCCATTCAAGCTGCATGAGCTTTAATGAGTCGTGCCAAACATCTTTCAAGCCAGGAAGCAAGTCGGAGTTTCCCGGGGTGAGATATTCGTCAGAGAATGACATACTATGAACCGTTGCCCGATCAGGAACAAATGAGATATCCAAGGGATGCGAAGCAGATTGAAGATATTGGGGGTAGTGACAACTAGAATGTTGTCTCGGGGTTAAGCAGCTAAGAGATGTGTAGGCTGGTGGCCCAGTCAGCGTATCTTGGGCTTTTTATTTGCACCAGATCTCCCTGTGAACGTGTCGGTCTGGTATGTCGGATGGTGTTCGGTAGTGTAGATAGGCCCTGATCGGAAAGTACATACTTTTGTAGGTTTTGGCTGGAGGTGTGTCTAGACTGCTGTGCCCATTTGCGTTCGACCTACGCTAATTTTGGAAACGACTCTTTGGGGAGTTGTGGTTGGGTCTTAGCTACATTGGAAACTCTATCCCACGCTCAATATTCTCGTGGTGGCCTTCCATTGCCCTGCACAACGAAAAGGGCTGCTGACTTCGAACAGTATTATCGTATTGGCTGCCAGAAGCGGGCGAAAAAGGACGATGACGTGCCAGCAGTGGCATTGAGCTCTGCATATACTCTGTCGGTGGGGTATAGGGTTGCTTAATTCATCGGAAAATCATCGGCATTGGGCAACGAAGGGATGTGAGCTGCTTGTAGGGTCCCGGTGAGTCCCGTTGTAGCAGTCCAGTGATACACAGACTAGAGTAGTTCAAAATCTTTCTACCCCCATACACACGCGCGTTTTTTCCCGGCCCATATTCGAAATGGCGATTAGTCGTATGGAGTTACTGTTGAAACAAACTTTACGTGACAGTTTAATGTACTGTAGACTGTGGTCCTGTGGGTCCTTATAAATGAGTAAATTCATTCTCGCGTAGAACATTCCGGGGAGAGAAATAGCTAGCTGATCCACGCCCACAACTTCTTCCTTTTTATTATATCTGTCATCTTCATCAGATATCCGAATTCAGTTCAGGTCTGCCTCAACCAAGTCCAGCTTTCTGCCTTGCTCTTGGACCTCTGCCCGGGGCTCAAGTAGAAGCGAAGGGTTTGCTGTTGGTAGCAGTGTGAGCACTGCGGACGAGTGTGATCGCAGAGGGCATTCAACTCGCGGCATAGTTTACAGTCTGGCAAATTGCCCCGAAGGGGTTGCACGCGCGAGTCGGAAGGGGATTCCGGCGACAGGGAGATGTCATGTGGGATTGCGGACCGCCACAGGGGAATCCGCCAAGGCGCTTCCGGTGAGGTCGTGGACGGCTCGACCGACCATCTAGGGACGGCCGCGCTAACTTTGGCAGGGATATCTGTCTGAGCAGTGCACCGTCGCGAATCACTTTTGGATTGGGAGTGCTTTCTTTTATTTGTCAGTTTTCCTGGTACTTTTAAATGAGCTTCTTTTGACTGGTCGTGGCGCCCAACAAGGCATGTTTCAGGAAAAGGTGGAGGTGTGCATGAATGAGAATTGTTGTGCCGCTAGTAAATCGAGGGAAGATCTGGGCAGAAATTTGAGAAAAATGGCTATCCAGCTCTTCCTAGAGCTTCCGGAAGTTATCATCTGCTTTGCGGTGAGCAAAAATCAAATATTAGTTAAAGCCTCCATCCGGGTGCCCATTAACGAAAAACCCTCGCGCTGAGCGCCGAGGGGAAACTTCATGGTCGGTCGCGGCGATGGTATAGGAGTGTTACATGTGAGTGCGCCTTGTAACCCAAGCCGCTCGAGCCGCCCGCGCTACCGTATAATTAGTCTAATTGGCGGGCATATATCCCGGCAATGGACGGCAGGAGAGAAAAAGAAGACTCGCAGTATTGAGGCCATTGCTCTCTCTGTGTGACTTTATTATTGGCGATCGGTACCATACTTGCACTAAAGCATAAAATGCAATTCTTTTCGCGTTACGAATGGGCAGAGACTAACTTGGCGTCCTGTGAGAGATATCAGTCGTGATAACTATGTTCGATCCTACCAAGAGCGATTATTCAATAGCCAGGCATTCTCAAATAACCAGAAACCATTATACCAGGGCTCAAAGCTTGCACTCATCGCGCAGGTCGGTTCGAACCGAAAACCAGTACCTCGCCACAGTAATTAGGTTGAAAATTATCTCGAGAGTGGTATGTCTCAATGCGGTTTGATTCTATAGTGAATGTGGCTAGAATGGTTCTTTTAGGAACTACTTCAATTGACCTATGTTCCATCTGGAAAGGCTATCAGCATCAATTTCCGATGCTCGCAAGTGTTGCATGAGATGTTTTTTCTACCCCAACAACAGGTACGGGTGTTAAACGACTGTTAAACTCTGATCTTGATATCTGTCAAAATTGCTGAGGGTTATTGAAGCCTAAAACAATACAGGATCTGGTGACGTATATGTGTGTAACTTAATATGACTTCGGGAAACCTTGAGGTAATCCAATGGAGAGAGGAGAGAGAGACAGCGAATGAAGAGAAGGATGCCCATAATCTCCAAGAGAACCTTGACTTTATCAGTGCTGATGAGGAGGACTCACAGATTGAATCTAGGGAGGCTGAAATCAATCCCGATATAGCAATTCTGCTTACCTCTAGCCGGGAGCATTTGGATTCTTACGTGGCCTCTGCTAGCGAGGGAGAAGAAGTTTCACAAATTACCAGAGAATCAGGTGACGATGATGATGATGAGGAGCACCCCTCACCAAGGAATCACTCCCTAAGCGCTCATCTGGGAGGGTCTGTAGACTTTATTATCTAAAACCAATACAGTATGATGTATATGAAGAGACAGTTTCACAAGCTAGAATACACAAAGGAATACGTACACAGCCATAATGGCTGCTACAAGAAGTTATCTGCAGTCGTAACCTAGATTCAACTGAATATAGCAAAATCTACATCGCGTGCGCTGCGTGCCTCGTTGACCAATAGCTCCAAAGAACGCGTTTGACTGCGAACGTGTAATAAATTGATCTAGTGATGCAGAACTACCAGTATGATAGTGAAAACCATATAATTTAGCTTCTGGTTTACTTTGTGTATATCATAAGTTACATCAATAAGTTTGGCCTGCCTGGATTATCTCGATGGACCCTGACGCCACTTGTCACTTTTGGCCCCAGTACGGGGGCTCCACTAGCAGCAAATTTCCAGATTATCTGACCGCATCAAGTTGCTAACGCTGCAAAAGGCTGCAAATTTTGTGCCAACGGTGCGGATTGGTCCGTCGGGCAAGATTATTAATAGGGTAGGTTTAATACCTGTTGGGAGGAGCTTTCTTTGCCACGTTCACTGCGTTGTTTCTGAACGGTGGCTATCTTAACTCGGAAGGGCCAATTTCGATTCGTGAAATCTTAGAGCTGGAGAGCATGTAGTCGGATTCACTATGAATAGATAGTGATAATCCGAGACGTTTATTGTGGAAGTCGCGGTCCCTTTAGTCGCTATAACAGGGTCTCTAGCCGATGTTCTGAAGCGGCTTTGGCAATCATCAAGATTTTTCTTGAAATTAACTTTTGGCCATCAACTGTATCTTGCGAAATATGAGCTACTACAGTAGCATTGCAGATTTGCTTGTGAGAATTTATCACGCCATGTACAGTATGCCGGTTCAGTCTCTCGCATCCGCCAGTGGCTTTCGTGTCCAGGCTGGAATATCAGAAAATGATGTTAATGGGTATGGTTCACTCCCAGACAAAACTATGGGTTTAGAGGACAAATACGCTTTCATAACTTTCATATGAAAGCAATACCTCCCTCCAGCTGAACACCAAATTTTCCATTCTCGATGCACTATGGGATCCATAACCACGTGAGTGAGGTAGATTGTTCTAAGACATCGGCAGAGGTGGACAGATGATTCACGCAGAGTTCACGACTTCCACAATTTGATCGAATGCAACAAATACACAATATTGCGCTTTTTGGATCCTGATAATGGATCACGATCGGCAGTAAGGACTATCTACACGCATATCACCGCTGCAGTACCTGCCGATATATTATGCGTAGAAAGTATCAATATGAACAAATACCCAGCCATCTCCTTGAATGCCAACGTTACAGAGGAATCGCTATTGGTATTCAAGAACGGAAAGGAAGCAGGAAGACATCACGGCACTACACCTGATCAGTTGGAATACGTTGTATCCAAGATTTTATGCGGTCTGGGAGAGGCTAGTGAAGACTTTTCAGAAATTGCTTGCTTGCTAGATTGATGGGCGTCAGACTTCCATTACAGCAACAGCGAAAATGACATGTTTCACAGAATTGAAGAAACAGTGCATGATGGAAGCCAGTCCCACTGGTAGTGAGTTGCCACTCATCAAAAATATAGAAGATGACGTAACTTTGAGTCACAGAAATGGATCAGAGGTTCGTTGCCCATCCGATGAGCACGCATCACGACGAGTGCCATTGACGACCTCACCTAGCCCTGGCAATCTCCCAATTCGTCATCCTCCTTCAACTACACCCTGTCATCTCTATCAATAATTGAAATTTTAGAATTCAGCAATACTTTGTTCCATTGTCGTTGTCTTCTGCTCAAATATGTTTTCTCGATTCATTATTGAATTTATAATCATGACTTTAAACTAATTTATAGCCTCCTCTAGAATAACTCTCGACGGCACAAGTCTGCATGTCAGTTTGAGCAAATAGGGGATATCTATTTTCGATCTGAATAATGAGGTAATTCTTGGCCTCCTGGAAAGTAGTGCTCAACTCCTTGCCTGCCGTCAGCTAACTGCATTGACGCAATTCTGTAACTAAAGGGTGCTGATTAGGATCGCTTCGATAATTAATGCTGTTGTCGAGACTGACACTTATATAAGGAAAGTACTCAATTAGGATTTTGTTTGCAACTTATGTACAGTACCAGTGACGATTAGCAGGACAGAAGCCCCCCCCCTCTTTTGATTATTCATCTAAGCTGGTCAGCGTAAGTAATCTAATTATATCTGTATCCTATAATCTAAAGCGTTAAAATCAGAGCTTACCTCAAGAAAATCCCTAACCCACAGAATCATGCAAACGATCGTCTTCTGATAAGGCGCACTTGGTCAAAATAACGTTCGTACTCCTTCAGTACTAGTTGATTCTCAATTGAAATCATCGTGCTCGATGCGCAGAATCGGCCACATTGGCACGAATCCACTGATATTGGGAACAATGTGGTCCGGATATTGTTCCGGCATACCAGCTTGTCCCCATTCGAAATCGTGGGCGTAGCCTTCGAATCAAGTCCCGGTACGATAGGGTGAGTATTTGAGCTAGGGGGCGCCGACATGGATGGAGAAGGATGCATCAAGAAATACCGGCATACCTCTGAGCAGAAAAAATATTGCCTTGCTGGTCGATCGCAGGCTAAACAAGATCTTGATGCCATGGCCAGCCATCCCTCAATGAAAGCCCGAAGTTGATGTAGTACAATACCACATTTGTACTACCAAAATTATTTGTCTACGAATTTAGCTACCTCGGCGCAAAATCTCACCCCATTGTGTGGACGGTTTTCGAGAAGTCAATGATGAGGACATGCATGTCGATTGTGTAAGCAATTGGTTTCCTGCGATCGGACACCCCACTTCCTAGATCCAATTGGCTTCTTTTGGCACGTGACAAGGTTATCCTATGTCGGCGCTATCGATACGAAATTGTAATGGAGTCGGATAATCTATTATTCCGCGTGCTTCTTTTTGACCAGAGCAAAGAAAATCCAGGGAACCAGCTTTCCACTCCCAGGCCCCGAGCAGCTTCTAGCGCCTCGTTAAATTAGACCCGGATTGGCTCAAGATCTGCTCAGCAAGCCCAGGCTTGTAAGAGCATGAGTGGCTCATCCAGGAGTGAAGCGCTCACCGCGTGCTCATTGAAACTTTGTAAAGTTCTGTCGGAACGTGGTTTTTACAATACGGACTAGTACGGGCATAGCCAATGAAGTACTTGAAAGTGTGATTTCAATATTCTAATGAAAGTGCAGAATAAATAGAGGATGAGCTTAGTAAGGTCGTTGAGAGCCTCGCGATTGTCAGGCAGATGGAGATGCAGAATGTTCCTCGGGCGCACTAATAAATGGCCACCCTCTTTATCGACAGAACAGCCTTTTTCTACCAGCACGGTTCAAAGGTTGCTCATTTTTCGAAGTATGCGAAGCAGTCAATAGCTTTTGGCTAAGATGCAATGGTGTGAGGCATTTACAAAGACGGTCGCGTTTTACTTTAGACTCCTGAGTTTAACAGTTGAAATTTCATTACTTACTACGCGACAGGAGCCAAGAAGGCAATAAGTACGTCCTCTCCTCCAAACAATTTGTTCTACAACACAATCACTTGGCTATGCAAAGTCGAGCAGGACTTCGATTTGAGGCATCTGATGATTTCTTACCTTGTACCTACTGGAGTTCCGCTGTACTGACTTCTATAGTTACATTGTGGACCGAAAACCTAGAAATTGGTGTGAGATGTGATCTATTTCCCACCAGGTCCATCATGGCACTTCTGTCAGCTAACTAGAGAAAAAGACTTAGGTCAGCTGGTCAAAGTATCTATCTAGGGTTCCAATCAATGGAAACAGGAGTCCACATCATCGTCATGGTAGACATCAGTACCAGGGAGTAATTTCACGCACAAACCGCATATAGAACTCTGTACCAGATAAATAGAATTGACCATAAGAAGATTCTATAAAAGAATCTTTAGAATAGGATCTGTTGGAGAGCAACGGAAATTATATCTTTATGTCTGGCAACAGAAGCTCGTACAGTATATGAAATCAGATTGTACAATCTGAAATCGAAATAAATGAGGGCATTTAGGCAGAGAGCATGTAAGGACGGTGTACTGACTTGTGTCGCCTGGAAGATCTGAAAATAGTTGCTTGATACATTGGAGTCGATGAAGTACACGATAATGGAAATTGTCACTTACTGCATGGTGGAATATGCGCGACTGTACATGCTGCCCCATGGATGATCGACTGTTACTGGGTCTTGACTAGTTTTGATTGACTCTCCGAAGGGGCGCTCGGTCCGAAGTTGATTCTCTCTGTCGGCTGGTACTCCCTCGGTTTTGATCTGCATGGAGGCAGCGTGTTCGGATTGGCGTTCATTCCCAGTCCGCTAGCGAAGATTCTGTTCTTCCAACATTTTCACAACTTGTGCGGTATGTTTTCAACGCTGGTGCTGCGGGCTTCGATGATCTGGAGGCAGCAAGCCGCTGGGAGTTTGTCAGAGTTTGCAAGAGAATAAAAACTTTTCATAGGTGGATGAACTTTGACAGAAAGCCAAATTTGATTGTATTTCAAGCTCGTTAGAGAGTTCATTGAAAGAATTGCTAGGCGAAAGAGACGTTGCCTTTGTGCCACTGTCAGCCTGACAATTGCGGGCAGCGTTTGAACACAGAAGACGAATCCCACATATGTACGTCCATTGGAAACAAGGGTGTTACTTCATGGCGAAACAAGCCCACCACGGGTACGATCAAGCATGAGCATCGGTCACAAAGTACAAAACATTGCTTTACCGTTATCGAAATTTTCAATTATCTTCAACGAGACTCTGACTCATAAGTGGACTAGGTGGCACCCGGTTGAGCGATTTAATTGCAAATTCAACGATGTGTAAAAATCATATTCTTGCGGCGTGGCTCTCTTCTCAACAGTTGATGAACGTTGTTCACCTCACTGAACGCAGAATTTTGAGAGAAATGATTCCAGGACAAGTCTTGACTCTGTAGGCCACAAAGTCTCGAAACACCGTTTCAACGTGGTTCTAATTGCGTCAACGCCTATCAAATATGCAATTCTCGCTACCATCTGCGCATGTAGTTCCTTGGAAGAGACGTAGCCGAAAAGGTATGAAAGAGGCCCAATTCCCAGCCCAAAAAAATCAGAACTTCGATCCTCACACTCTGATACATCATAGTGTCCCTCTTTTCCTGCAAGCTTGAGTACTTCCGTGACTAAGGCTTTCGCTGCCATGAGCCCAGTGATGTAAGACTTGCGCTCCCCCACAGCGAATGAGCCCTGTGATTGTGGAAATTTGCTTCGCAGGATGGGCTCTGCGTTATCAACAGTGTCTCGCAGGAAAGGTCTGCGTTATCAATATGCCTCGCAGGGGGGTGCTGCGTCAACAAGTCTACCTCGCAGGATAGGTCTGCGTCAACAACAATCCTCGCAGGGGGGTGCTGTGTCAACAAGACTACCTCACAGGCTAGGTCTGCGTCAACAACAATCCTCGCAGGGGCGTGCTGCGTCAACAGTATGCCTCGCAGGGGGGTGCTGCGAAAACAAGACTACCCCGCAGGATAGGTCTGCGTTATCAATATGCCTCGCAGGGGAGCGCTGCGTGAACAAGGACCTCCGCAGGAGACCGCTGCGATACCAAGTTCTCCCTCACAGCCTTGAGCCATGTGACTGTAAAATGTGCTCCCTCACAGCCAATGAGCCCTGTGATTGTAAACATGTGCTCCCTCACAGCCAATGAGCCCTGTGACTGTAAAACGTGCTCCCTCACAGCCAATGAGCCCTGTGACTGTAAAACGTGCTTCCTCACAGCCAATGAGCCCTGTGATTGTATAAATATGCTCCCTCGCTGCCCTGAGCCCCGCGAGTGTAAAAATATGCTTCTTCGCTGCCCTGAGCCCCGCGAGTGTGAGACTGTGCTTCGCAGGATAGGCTCTGCGTTACCAACTGTGCCTCCCAGGAGACCGCTGCGATACCAAACTTTCACTCACAGCCTTGAGCCCTGTGATTGTATAATCTTGAGCTTCCATGCAGCCTTGAGCCCTGCGTTATCAAATTTGTGCTTGATTAGGCGTCCCGTGGCGCCGCGGTGCCAGTCCTGATCTTCTGACGATGTGCAGGCACCTCTTCGTGGTGTCAGAGACTAGTATTCGAATTTGCAACAGCATTCGATGAAGCCAAGACCTGCCCAACATCTTCATAATCTGTATCGTGTTGCAAAGCACCTTAGCATAGACAAAATGAATATAGATTGTCCCAGCTTCAATCAACAGCTCAATCCAAGCTGGGATTCTTCTTTAGCGATCCGTATTCCCACTCTGTATGCCTTTTCCGCAGTCGATGATCCGTTTCCTGCAACGTAAAATCGATTTGGGTGTAGAACACATAGCGATATTGCGTTGTGATGCTGTTTCGGTAGGATGTTTGTTATGCCAGTGTGAAGTGAAAGTAGAGATTTAGAGCTGGCGTGTTGACGTGTTGACGTGTTGATGTTGATGCCGGTGTGGTGAAATGTGCAGTAATCGGGTGGTGAAGGGACTGGTGATCAAACGCGCATGCAAGTTCGTCACCCTCCGCTTGTTCGAGAAAGCCACACTGGTGCGCAGGCCAAGTTCGCAAGACGGAAACCGCGGGCGATGAGACCTATCTGTTTTAGGATTGTACAATCGTATTGGAGGACTCCGTCGTTCAGTGTGCGAAGGCGGTGAGGTTTCTCATGAATGAATAGTTTATTATATCATAATTGAGGCCTGTTGAAACCCATCTCTACTATTTACTGCAAGTATTCGAAGCGAAACTTTTGTACTGTGCATTCGCTTTACATATGCCATTCTCAGGTCTCATATATATTTTCTGGGCGTCGTTCTATGATTTATGGGCTACTAGTAAGGAGCCAGGGTAGAGGCGGATATATATCGTTGATGTCTTTTTGAGACTACCCATGTATGACATGAACGAAGTCAATCAGCCTCGTCAATAGTCGGACTGTGACGCGTGGGGCCGCTGCAACGCCTTTCACAAACGACGGGGTCTGTCCCCACAGCCTTGAGAATTTTATGGCCGCTACATAGAGCAAAATGTGAGCTTTCCGAACGGGATGAGCAGTCATATGCTCTATCTCTCGAACTTGAGGGTCGGATATTCCGATTTCCATGCGTCGACGGAGTATGGAGACAGCGTCTACTGCAGTAGATATCCATACCATCAGGCGGAACAAATAACCACCCACAAGGCTATCGACTATTCCCTATAGGTCTTCAAACTCCGAGAGACAGACTGCTATACACTCCTTCGGGTCTAGATCAGATAGGCATAACAACTGACCTGACGGATCAATCGACTTGAAGGTCAAGATGGCGACTCGTTTGTGCCAGGATTGGTCTTGTAGAAGACACAGGCCAAACAGACACGCAATTTCCTCGCTTCGAATTCGAGTCATGGGAATCCGAGGGTTGCCTGTAATGAGACCAGAGTGAGCAAGTGTTCGATTTGACGGGGTATTGTACTTTACATTGTTGATAAAGACTTCCCTGGTGGTCGATGGTATGCTTCAGACAGTCGAACAACTAGGATCGTCGTCATACCAGCCTACCAGCGAGACCACCATGTCTCTTCTGCAACGCTGTCATCAATATACCGTGTCTTATCCATGTTCGTGATCATACGCTTGTGCGATAAAGCCACACTGGTGCGCAGAGCAGGTTCACATGGCAGAAAAGCTGGCGACGAACGTATCTGCGTAATAGTTGTACAGTCATATTGGAGGACTCCTTGTAGAGACACGACGTCTTTCAGGGTGCGAAGGCGATGAGGTAGAGACAATAGAGCGCGTCGGCCCGCAATTTTATCTGACTTGGCGGGAATAGCTTTTCTTGCGACAAGAGCATCCGCAGTTGGTGATGGGCTGCTACAGTACAATGGCATTATAATGTCAGTGTTTCGTGTCTGTGGCACGAACTTGGCACAAGGCATCGGAGTTGACGCGGCAAGCGGCGCAATATTCCACTCACCTCAGCGTGGACGAACGTCTGCAATTAATGCATCATGTTCTTGGCCCGCGACCTTGGTTGGCAGTTTCTCATGCAGCACTCACTACATGGTTTGGGGTGAGAGGGCCAGGAATGGCGCCTAAGTCATGACCCTTCGCGGACCACTGACGGAATACTACTTCGAACTCAATTTTGTGTGCTATGACGGTTTCCTGTCCATCATTAGCTTTTGATCGGCGGGACAATGCATGACTCACATCGTCTGCATAAAGGCACGGGGAAGCGCTTTGTGGCTGTCGTTCTTTGGAAAAATGCACGTAGTATTGTTTCGCATCGTCTATGGGGTCAGCTGAATTTGGGCCGTATCGTGCTGGGACTTGCCTGTATGAAAATCGCTCTTTTAAATCGATGTATTCAGCGGACAGTGGTCGGCTGTCATGTAATATGTTCTCCTTTTGACCAGCAAACTAAATCTTGCCCCTGATCGGCTGGCATGGGTACTGTAGCAAGTGGACTTGGTGGGAATCACATTCTCACTCGCACTCCCTTGGCGGTCCACAACGTAACCATATATGTCAGTGCATTGAAAGTCCAATATGGTCAGAGGGAAGAACTTATCTGGTGCCTCAAAAGGAAGTCCTGCTCGACTCTGGAAGCCAAGGGAAAATTGCAGAACAAAATGCTTGGGGGGAGGAGGACGTATTTATAGGCACCTCAGCTCCAGTCGCGTAAGTACTCTGCGGGAGGCAAACGTTGAAGGACACGATTCATATCCTAAGTGAGGTTGTTCTAATACCGTACCTTTTGAAGCGACATGCTCGGCTCCATTCCGCCGAGCAGAAATGCCGGTCATGTTGAGAATAAGTGAAACTGAGTCGGTTAAGAAATGTTGGTTCACTGTTGAACCTTCAATCTTCTATTTTGAGGCAATGAAAGCTATTCATTTTAAATTATATCAATAGCTGGAAATTTTGATCACTACGCATCATGAAGTGTGTGTTTTCCGGGCCTCGCTTGAATGTTGATTGTCTGAGTCGTGTGTAGTGTTCCGTCCGTCAGGACTCTCTGGATTGCGGAATACTCAGGCGACGTTCGCGCGAGCGGGTGCTCGAACCGTCGTTGACCGGTGTCAACTTTCGAACTTATGGCCGGTGTTGTGATAGGTTGTTCGTTGATTTCCCTCAATTATCTACATTTTATCCTATCTATAGTAAGAGTGCATAAATTGTTCAACGAATATTAAAAAATATTATGCTCAATATATATCATTTTGCACGTTCATTCCAGCGAGAATTAAAAAATGAGGTGTATTCACCATACATAAACACCACAAGACACAAGGTTCACACCAGGATCACCACGACCGGACTTTTAACAGAGCGCTAAGAATTCTCGGATTCTAGGCAAAGTTCGACTGCGTTGAATAACTTTTATGTTGATAGCTAGGCTGAATACTTTATCTAATCCCCTTTATCTGTCTAATGCCATGAAGGGGCCCATAATCCTTGGGAAGCTTGATCTGATCCCTGGGGAGCCGTGCATCTTGTAGTTGTCAGCTTGAGTCTGGAAATCAGAGCGAAAAGCGTTTCTAGGAGCTTTTCATTCCCTAGGAAATGCTGTTTAGCTTCTAGGGCTATTCTAGGCTCCAGGAAGACGAGATGTTCTCCCAGGATCTTTACTCTATGGTCCTGACTGAATGAAAAGTGGCTCTGGGAATACACCATCCAGATCCAGGAGCTGCAAAGCCCCCGGGAGCATAGTTTGGGAAAGGCGGGATATGGTCGGATCATTCACACCAGCTCGACTACCACCCAGGAGCCAGAGAAAGGCCAGGTTGCATACGTCACATCGAAAGCAGCGGTGGTCGGACTAGTCCGGGCGACTTCCCAATGAGGCCGGAGCCGGAGTGACGGTGAACGCTGTCATGCCCGGACTGATCAAAACTAAGGTGGTCTGGAACTATGCCGTTCAACCTGATGGTTCTCACCCACTGTTTGACGGTGTGATACAGAAGCAAAATGTCAAGCGGTGCGGATTGCCCGCAGATGTCGCCCATGCATTCTGTTTCGTCGCCAGCCCAGAAGCTTCTTTTATCACGGGACAAATTTTCGATGTTGGTGGCGGCGAGACCTTCCATTAGCTCTTGTGGTATTCCAAAACAAAGGGAAACAAGAACAGATTACAGATACGACCAATCTACTTCGATGCATCAGAAATTGATCTCCACTAGTTACACGTAGGCCTGCGAAACAAGGCAACCATAGGGACAACAGCAGGATCCCAGGGCTTTTACTGCGTGCTGCTAAAAGGGCATCAGTACTTGGGCAACCTTTTGCCTGCCATCTGTTTCATAGAGTCGCATTCCTCCCTATCACACTATTTATAACTCCTGCGGTTCCGATTTCCTCTCTGGGTAGTACTATACCACCCTACTATAAGGTCGTATGTTACTCTTGCAATAGCAGACATTGTACTGTTAAGATCTGACTCAGCCTAATAGCTAGATATAATAGAAGATGAGCTCGCAAAGCGCGAGAGAAAAGGCAGTTTGACTACATTTCATCATAGACTCGGGCCACACAAGGAGATCAGCCGTCGAGACGTAGCCGAAGACCCTTGCTCTCTCTTATTAGCCAGGGGGGTAACCATACTTGGTATTGCGCTGGGCTGACAGACATGATGGAATCCAGCCCGACGAAAAAATACATTTGCCTTGGAAGTTCGATGGACTTGATGTCATTAAATAGATTCCTTAGTGACCTCTCATTTGCCGATCCATAGAAACACTCTTCAATGAGGAGACTCCCCGGAGTTTCATCCCGCATGCGCTATCCATGGACATCGGCTAATCGGTTAACCGGTTAATCGAGGTGGGGAAATTCTTTCCGCATTTTCGGATAAGTAAACTGGGGTGGGGAAATAACAAGCTTCCCCGAGGTTCAAGCTACTGCCGAGATCGATTTGGATTTCGTGAAGGATGTGATGAAATATTGGGGTGGGGTGGCTGTGGCTGTTCGGATATGCCCATCTTTCGAGAGAGGATGATCAGGGCTATCTAGCCGTCTCTCCATCACCTTCTATAAAGCCCTCCGAACATTCTACCCGCTTTGTTTTCTCCATCGGATCATCTGAATTCCCCTGTCTTGATTCTATCGGCTGGTCTACTTCTGAATTCATCCAAAATGATCCCTGCATATGCTGAGCGATCAATTGATCACCGACGTCCACTGAAGGTGATCGTGATGGGCGCTGGGATTTCCGGAATCATTGCCAATATTCGTTTCCCTCGGCTGATTCCTAATCTGGAAATTGTGACATACGAGAAGAATCCCGAAATTGGAGGAACGTGGTTCGAGAATCGCTACCCGGGAGTGGCATGTGGTATGAACAATACTGTATCTCTGTTCGTGTCCATTTTGGCTCATAGTATATGAATGAAGATTTACCAGCGCACTCTTATCAATTGACGTTCGAGCCAAACCCTAACTGGAAAGAGTTCTATGCCAAGGGCGAGGATATTCTGGCTTACTGGAAAGAGATAGTCAGGAAGTATGATCTGTATAAGAAAATACAGCTCAACAGCAAAGTCATTCATGCACGGTACGACGAGACCTCATGCAAATGGAACGTGAAAGTTGAGAATATCCTCACGGGAGAGATTCTTGAGGATTTAGCCGATGTCTTCTATGCTTGTCCGGGAGCTTTGAACCATTGGGAGTGGCCTGATATCACTGGACTGCATGATTTTCAGGGTAACTTGACTCACAGTGCCGATTGGAATGAGAACTGGGACGCTACAGTTCGTTATTATTATCCGCTCAGAAGGCTCACTGGCCAGAAATTAATAAACCTTGTGTCTAGGACAAAACTGTGGCTGTGATTGGTGCAGGTTCTAGCGCTACTCAAATCCTTCCAGCTATTCAGGGCAAGGTGAAGAACCTCTTCAATTTCATCCGTGGTGAAATCTGGATTGCACCACCCTTTGCCAGCACTGAGGTGGAAAGGCATCAGGCTGAGATCAATTGTAAGTCATTTAGTGATATTTACATAACATGACATCAACTAACAGGTAATCAGTCACTTTTAGCGATGAGGAAATCGAAGCATTCCAAGAACCGAAAGTTCTTTACGAGTACAGAAAGGGTAAGTCGACCTGCACAAGCAACCATAACCGTTTTTAATGAGCGGTTCGCAGCCATTGAAAACGAGCTCCAATCATTCCACCAAGTCACGCACCAAGGAGAAGCTTCAAAGGTAGCACAGGGGCATTTCCAGAAGAACATGGAGAACAAGCTTCATTCAAGAGCAGATATCCTGGAGAAGATATTGCCAAGCTTCCCACCGGGATGCAGAAGATTAACGCCTGTAAGGCCTGATTGACGCTGACGGGTTGCTCATTCGGCTAACATCTCATTTCGTCCAAGGGTCCTGGATATCTGAAGTCTCTCACCCAGCCTAATGTAAGACTTGTCAAGGGCGACATTAGCCACGTGTCATTAGAGGGCGTTCATCTCAAGGATGGATCATTCTACAAGGTTGACACGATCATTTGCGCAACAGGGTTTGTTACTAATTGGATTCCTCGATTCCCCATTATCGGTCGAAGCGGCGTCAGTCTACAAGAAAAATGGGCCGAATACCCGAATTCATATCTTAGCGTTGCAACTGACGGATTCCCCAATATGTTCATCTCCCACGGTCCCAACTCGGCCATCAGCACCGGTAACCTCGTCATTGTTCTGGAGCAGGTGGCTGAGTATGTTGGCACAGCCATTGCAAAGATGCAAAGGGATGCGGTCAAGTCAATTGAGGTGAAGGAAAGCGCTGTAAAGATTTTCTCCGATTATTGCACATCATATTTCCCCACCACCGTTTTCGCGGGGAACTGTCGATCGTGGTATAAGACTGGTAGTCAAGATGGAAGAATTTCGGCGCTGTGGCCTGGTATGTTTCGAGACGTCCTCGCCATTTTACGTGTCATGTGAACAGTGTTTGAACAGAGACAATACTAATCAATAATTTACACAGGCTCCTCGCTGCATGCCATGGAAGCCCTTTCCCACCCTCGTTGGGAGGATTATGACTACCAGTATCTAGACAACAATCCTCTTTCATGGCTAGGCGATGGCTGGACTGAGGTTGGAAGGACAGAAGGTTCAAATCGGAGCTTCTACTTGGATGACGAGAGAATCAGTCGCCTCGTCAACAAGCCCTACTACAATGGAGTAAGTGGGGCTTCAAATGGAATGGCCCTTTAATTTTAAAAGGCATTTTGATCTCAACAATCTGTTTGGATAGACTCCATTCCAGTATTTGTCGTCTGCGTATAGCAGCTAAACAAACCGGCCGGTTTATACTACTCTGAAGTCGGAAACTGTTGTTCTTTTCGGAAGTTTTAGGCACATATCGTCAATGTTAAAAACTATATCTAAATTTCAGTTCTGAGACGATATTCATTTGGTATTACTTGAAAGTTCACCGTTTTTGATCAATACACAGCAGTAACATCGCAAGCGGGGATCTCTAAATGGAATAGGAATCGGCTGGAAAAACTCCAGATTTTGCTGCCTGGACTTCAATTTTTGAAGTGAGCTCAGACAGAAGGTGAAAAAGTAGTTGTTTCATTCTAACATTTTTTTTCTTATTTCTGTTCCGTGTACCATTGGTTTTTTGTATGAACATATACCGTGACTAAATTTGTAAGTGGGTCGAAAATATATACCAAGTCGCTCTATGCAAAGGGGTTTCCTTCACGACGTGATAAGTTACTGTTGACTACTAATCTGTGATCATTGAGTCTGTCTATTGTGGAATGGTGTGAAAATATTCCGGGAGTCAATTCATATTTCAAGCTGTTCTCATTGCTTCATAACGCTTCATTGTATCTTTTCTGATTCGTGAAATTAGTGTCAGGCCGAGTGGATTTCACGAAGCTGCAGTTCTGGATGTTTGAGATCAGATACCTGATCCTTCTCAATAGACAGATCATCTGGCTGCCCATGTGGGAGAAGCCTCGCCACTTTCAACACAACAAACATGCTTCGAGAGAGGGCGGAAATATTGACCATTTCCTCGAGGCTTCGTCCCGCAGTCTCTGGAAACATGTAGTAAATGATCGGTACCATAGCCGCATTGAACCCTGCAAATATTACAAAGTAGGTTTGTCCCGTGGTATTGAAAGCGAGTGGCGTGACATTAGTGATCAAAATGCTGACGACCCAGAAAATACTGATGCTGAAGCTGTTGATAGTTGTTCGTAGATACAAAGGAGCAATTTCTGTGGCATAGAGATATGGTATCGCGCCGAACCCGATGATATAACTGAAATGAAAGAGGAATATGAAGAAGACGGCGCATCGCATTGCGAGCGGGTTCTCACTTTGACTTCCAAGGCCAACTACCAGGGCTAAGCATAGAGCATTTCCAGCCGCGCTACCTAGAAGTAAAACCCTTCGACCAAAGCTCTCGATCTTCAGAACGCAAAAAGTTCCTCCAATAGGACCGACAAGTTGATAGACTGCCGCAAGAACTGTGGATGTCGAGTTGCCGAGTCCGAGGTTCTTCTCGAAGATTGCAGTTGCTAAAGGTACATAGAGTCAATGATCCTGCTGGTTTTATACACACTGACAGAGAACTCAACATACTGTAAAATGTGGTGACAGTAGAACCTGTAAGCTGTAGGCAGAGCATAACCAAACAAGCAAGTATGGCCCGATTAAAGGTCCTTTGAGGACCCATGTCGAAGAATTGTCCAAGCGAGGGTTTTCCAGAAAGCTCAAGGGACATCTGAACATCCTTGATTTTCGTTTCAACAGATATATCATCCACACAGGTATCCTCAAAGGCCACTAGAACTTCACTCGCCTCGGAGATTCGGCCTTCGCGAATCAACCAACGTGGAGACTCGGGGAGGAGAATGATGAATCCAAGAATGGCAATGGAAAGCAACACCACAAAGGCAGAAGGGAATCTCCAAGCAACACTCGCACGGGTAAAAGACATTCCAAACTCCAGAAAAAAGGCAAGAGCGCATCCAAGCCCAGTAAAAATTCCTTTCATGCCGACATGTGCACCGCGCTTTTCAGCAGGCGATATCTCAGATTGCCAGAGAGGAATAGTGGCAAGAATAATACCCGTCCCGAAGCCCAGTGTGATCCGGGATATATTAAAGGGGGCTAATGACCATGCAGCAGCCATGAGAATAGATCCAATCACTTGCACACTTGCTCCAATCATAATTGTGCGGTGATGGCCAAACTTGTCACCGACCCAAATACATGATAGTGTGCCCAGAAATCCTCCAATGGTGTGGGCTCCAACGACAAAGCCTTGAAGCATTGATGCTTTGGATTGATTCTTGGCATGGTCAACGTCAATCTCCGGGAATTGGGTCTCGAAGTTGATCTGCGTCAAGACACCTCCAAACGATGAGGCATTGTAGCCAACTATGAGAATTCCAGGCATGAGGACGCCCAGAATTGCTGCGACGCTGAGGCTGTTGCCCCTAAGGCCAAGGAACGGTGTCATTTGTACGTCTGAATGATAGAAAGTACGCGTCAATAGATTGACAGGTGTAAGATTGGCGTGACCGACAATGATCCACAATATGGGGAAGATTTCTCTGAAAGTCAAGGTATGAAATGCTGCCGGGTTGTTGAAATCTCCGATATTCAAGACATCGCAAAGCACAACGAATATCGCTCTACTAAGTCGACTAGATTCCAGCTTCGTATTGCTAATAATTTGATTTGGAACATGATGACTGTACCAATGAAGATAGTAATTCTTAGACCGAGCCCCACCGGCTACTCAGCAATAAAACATCAAATAGACTTTGTAGACAAACAACTCGCCTCTCGAAAAAGTCATTTCCCTTCGAGTTTCATTTCTTTCGTGATTAATTGGCTAAAATTATTCTAAATCAAGCGAAAATTACGATACGTGCGAACATAACATCTTAGGCTTTGAAAATCCGATCGCAAATTCCGTATTAGAGAACAAAATCCTCATGAAAGTCTATGAAACTTCTATAATAGACGACCACGAACATTTTTCATCTCAACTTTAGATTGACTCCAGCATGGATGGAATTCGAAAACTTCCTTTCATTGATCAACCAAAAAGCTTTCGGAAACGATTACAACGTGCGCTGTCCCTGTCATCCACCGAATCAGAAGATATCTGGAGTCTGCCCAGATCTGCGGCGGGGGATACGACGGAGGACGAGTGTTCTCAGGAGGATGAATCTCCTCACAATCACCATACAGTCGTTCTCGAAATCGGCTTGACAGATGCACTCTTCGTCACTCTTTTCTGGCCCCACCGCCAAGGCCTTAGCGCAGATTAATCATTGAGCGGGCCTCATCAAATTGATGGACATCGAAAAAGGTGCGCAGTATGGTACTGTATTTTGGTATGTAAATTACGAAAGGCTTACGAGATATGGAAGGAATTCCGTAGAAATCTATTGTGGGACTTTGCAAACCATACGAGATGGTCGCCTAGCAACCGGTTCCTGGTCTTCTGCTAGGTGACTTCAGATTTCCTCCATGTGCAGCATAGGTTGATTCCCTTTGCCGGTGATTGATCTTGACAGGTGTTTCTTTGCCGTAGTGAATCTCAGCGATTATCGTGGGCAATACATTCTCTCGACCAGGACCCTGTCGCGGACGAACAACAACCTTTTTGGCAGCCAATGGCGTAGGCCGCAACTAATAGTCACTCACCATAAGTCTTTCGCTACAGTTTGCTCAGAGATATGAGGCGAAGTTCTCTCTTTAGCAATGATGATTGTGACGTCCAACGAGGTGTAACGTTAGATCCCTGGGACAATACATCGCAATATGCACCAACACCTGGCCCCAATACACACTCACAGGTCCCTCGACCGATCTTCCAATTCACTCAAGTGTCCCTTGCTCGTAATATTTCATTGAATGCCATTTTGAGCTGAGTTGTTCCGGGCGTGGTTAATCGTTGGATGGTTTTCCTCTTGGGCAGAAATGAACGGCCCCTTGTGGTAGGCACGTGGCTCATCCGATCGGGCAAGCGCCAATCAGGGTCCAGTTTTGCTCTCAGCCTCCCATTGACGCCTTCCCCTCGAAGAGGGGCATAAGCTCCATTTTGTTTGTCATCCCTTGCGGCGTCTTTTTACTTTTGATATTATTCATACTGTGGAAGGCTTTTTTACCATGGAACCTCTTTCGGGTGCAGCAAGTGTTATCGCAGTTATCCAGTTAACCGGAGCTATCGTGCAAATATGTGGGAAATATCTCAACAACGTCAAGAACGCGACGCAGGATATTCAGCGCTTCCAAGAGAAGATCACCGCCCTTGCCCAAGTGCTTCAATCTCTCGATGGGCTGATCCGTGGATCTGATGGCAATGAACTTACTGCTACGCAAGACCTGGTCGACAATATTGTCAAATGCTCCTCAGCACTTACATATTTAAAAGAGAAAATTAATCCGGAAACGACGCAAAGACGGATGAGGAAATGGGGCCTTCGAGCCTTGAAATGGCCGCTCGCACGGTCGGAGGTAGATTCTGCTATCATGGAGCTTGAGTGGTATAAAACAACGTTTGCTTTGTCCTTGCAGGTTGATCAAACGTAGGCTGCGGACCATAATCCGGTCTCTTAATTATTCATATCAAAGGCCAACTCTGACGCTGACTCAGGAGATCTACCAATTCGATCCACAAAAAGATAGACCTCAGCAGACTACAGACTGCAAAACAAGCAGCATTCGACTCTTACGACAATCAACACAGTGAATGTCTTCCAGGGACCCGAATTGACCTGCTTCGAGAAATCGACGAGTGGGCAAAATCGCCACACGGAAAATGTATATTTTGGTTGAGCGGCATGGCAGGGACAGGGAAATCAACAATATCCCAAACAGTTGCAAGCCGTCTTCAAGCGCAGCAGCTTCTCGGGGCGAGCTTTTTCTTTCGGAGAGGCGAAGAGGACAGAGAAACAGCAAAAAAGCTTTTTCCAACATTGACCGAGCAACTGGTCATCGGCATACCTCAAATGCTGCCTCGAGTTCAGAGGGCAATTGAGGATGACCCGAATATTTCGGAAAAGGTGTTGAGGGAACAATTTGAACGGCTTCTACTGGATTCACTATCTGGAATTGAGCAGCGAGAAGAGACCACAAGAAGAGTGATCGTGATTGATGCTCTAGATGAATGCGATTCAGAAGACGACATAGGGATTATTCTCCGGCTCTTGCCACGAGTTCAAAAGTCAACTTCCGTACAAGTACGGTTTTTATTGACAAGCAGACCTGAGTTGCCGATCAGGCTGGGCTTCGAAGGGATCACCGATGCCCATCAGGATTTGGTCCTACATGAGATCGAAGAGCCAGTGATAGCGCATGACATATCCTTGTATTTTGAGGATCAGTTCCTGCGCCTAAAGCAGAGGCGCTCATTGCCACCAGATTGGCCCGGAGTCCCAGCTACCAAGATATTGGTTGATAGGGCCGTCCCTTTGTTCATTGCAGCTGCTACCGTATGTCGTTTTATCGGTGATGCAAAATGGAACCCTCAAAAGCGACTGGAAGCGATATTGACAGACCAATCAACCTATGTGTCCAAGATGGACAGCACATATATTCCCGTGCTAAAGCAACTTCTCACTGGACAGAATGAAACAGAGTCACGGGAATTACTTAAAGAGTTCAAGGAGGTAGTTGGGGTGATCATTATTCTTGCCACTCCGCTCTCGATCAACTCCCTAAGCCACCTAATAGACAGAGAGTCAGTTGATGTCAAATGCCGATTAGACCAGCTCCACTCGGTGCTCAGTGTACCAAACAATTTCGACACACCAGTCAGGCTCCTCCATCTGTCATTCCGAGATTTTCTTTTGGATCACCACAAAGACAAAAGCAAATTCTGGATCGATGGAAACTATACAAACCAGTGTCTTGCAGAACGATGCCGTCAGATCATGCAGGACAGCCTGGAGAAAAACATCTGCAAACTGCCAAGCGAAGGCACGCAAAGGAATGAAATTAGCGATGACTCGATTCAGCTTTATATACCTCCCCCACTGAAATACGCGTGTCGATACTGGGCGCATCATCTGTTACAATGCACGGACTTGTCTGGCATGATGCACAATGCTTATTTATTTCTCCAGGTACACTTTTTGCACTGGGTGGAAGCAATGAGTCTACTGGGCCTTACGTCAGAAGTATCAGGTATTCTTGATCGCCTCCAAACGTCCACATCGGTAAGTTCCGAGGATAATCATACATGGTATGCACTGACAGCTTTAGGGTAACGACTCTTCCCTGATTTCGGATTTCCTTCACGATGCAAAGCGCTTTATTCTGAAAAATCACCAGATAGTTGATCAGGCCCCCCTTCAAGTTTATTGTGCAGGACTTATATTTGCACCCCGAACGGGGATAATCCGTAGAGAGTTCAAGCGGTCGCTTCCTACTTGGATAGATCAGTTACCACAAGTTGAGGAAGGATGGAGCGCGCTCATCCAGACCCTCGAAGGCCATTCCGGTTCGGTTCGATCGGTGGCCTTCTCGCCCGACGGCCGCCTGCTGGCGTCCGGCTCTTACGATCAGACAGTGCGGCTCTGGGACCCGGCGACGGGCGCGCTCACCCAGACCCTCAAAGGCCATTCCGATTGGGTTCGATCGGTGGCCTTCTCGCCCGACGGCCGCCTGCTGGCGTCCGGCTCTGACGATCAGACAGTGCGGCCCTGGGACCCGGCGACGGGCGCGCTCACCCAGACCCTCGAAGGCCATTCCGGTTCGGTTCGATCGGTGGCCTTCTCGCCCGACGGCCGCCTGCTGGCGTCCGGCTCTTACGATCAGACAGTGCGGCTCTGGAACGCGGCGACGGGCGCGCTCACCCAGACCCTCGAAGGCCATTCCAGTTCGGTTCGATCGGTGGCCTTCTCGCCCGACGGCCGCCTGCTGGCGTCCGGCTCGGACGATCAGACAGTGCGGCTCTGGGACCCTGCGACGGGCGCGCTCACCCAGACCTTCGAAGTTAAAGGGGTAGTCACGACGCTCGAATTTTCCCATAGCGGTTTATATCTCCACACCGACGTAGGCGCCCTTTACATCCAATCTAGGTGTGTCATTCCTACGTCTGATCCACGTCATGCAACTCCAGACATCTCTATTGAGCACCGCCAATGGATAGCATTGAATGGTAGAAGGGTCCTGTGGCTTCCGATCGAGTCTCGGCCCAGCTGTTTCAAGATAAACGGCAATGTACTTGCCCTGGGACACTTATCAGGGCGGATTTCCTTTGTTGGGTTTTGTATGTAGTACTTAATGATTTTTGGTTTCCCCTCTTCCTCTATTTTCTAATCCCTTTATAAAGGAAGGGCCTGGGAGAAGAGGATAATTTATACGGCCCTATCCTGCTTGCGGAAAATTCCATAAAGTTCCATAAAGTTCCAGTAGTAACTAACATAGTCGCCAATCCATGTGATTGACTAGCTTTTGCCACAGAGGCTGCTTAGTCAAGAAATCGCTACGTGCGGTAACCAGAGAAGACTTCCCTACGCAGCATTCTGATATCATCTAGGTCAATGTCAAGTCTGAATCTGGGCCTAAGGTTTTATATTTTCGGTGATATAGCTCGTATTAATCTATCCAATTACAGCCATGGAAATTTTGCCCAATTTTCGACACACTAGCACCCTAGACTTAGTGCAGCTGGATGTTAAACGTTGTAAGGCTAGGTGTTAATATTAGTTATCCGTGGGTAGTATTTACAAGGACATAAGACGAAACGCGCTGGACGGACTAATATGGCAATAACTATACCCTCGTTATCTGCAGTCCGCATGATGCTGTTGCTGCAAGAGCAAGCCCTGTCTGCTCATCCATTTGTAATTGAAGTCCACGTAGCACCAGTCATCTAGCAGATCGTCCAGGAACCAGGTGGGAGGCGGCCACCTCTGGATGATTTTCAGAGGACCACATCGGCTTCCATGGAATTCCACTGAATTCTCGTACTCATTGTGTAATCTTACGAGCAAAATACAATACCATACTCAGGGCATCTTACGGTATTCCTCAATTTCTTGCGGCCCGCTCAATGATTGATCTGCGCTAAGGCCTTGGCGGTGGGGCCAGAAAGAGTGACGAAGAGTGTATCTGTCAAGCCGATTTCGAGAACGACTGTAACGAAACCACAGCGGATGATAGACAGGAAAGTCCTCTGCACACCTGGAAGACGGACCCGACACCAGAAGAAGAACTAGAACAGCCCGGACAGGGACTCTCCGAGGACTCTGACCTGATCGCCTTCCAATGTCTCGCAGAGTGAGTCATCATCCGCTTCCCTGAAATGCTACTCGTGATATGTCTGCTCACACCGTTTAGACTAGATGCCCGAACAAAGTCAGTCGTGCGATCTACTAGATACGCAACAAACGCTGATTATTTCCAGATCCATGCAGAACTCATTGAATAACCAGAACAGTTGGATTGCAACCATTCGCAGTGACCTAGAGGATACCATCCGTCGATTGGCGGTTGTGGAGATGGCTATTGGAATGAGGGCCAAAGAAGGAGAGAAGCAGGCCACGGAGGGTGATACAACTAGACGAACACTTCGGTCACAGCAGTAATTCCTACTTGAATATGATGAAATTAAGTCTATTGCCTAGAGTGACATGTCAGCCCTCGTTGGCTGAAGTATTATTATGCCGTTGTGCTTTGCGAGTAATTATATTTTACCCCTGCAGAGTCGTAACTTGATATAGTTTAACATATTAAGATTTTCGAAAGTTAAATGGCCTGGCGATCATTTCCAGTCGTACCGGCCGATCATGGCCCACCAGGGCTGTGGGTCCTGCTGGTAACCAAATTTAGCGCCCCGCGCATTCTTTTCCAACCGGCAGAGCAAAAGTCTGAACAGCTAATTTTGTTCTTGAACTAAAATTCGCTCTACTGTAGCAATATCAATGTATGGATCTGTTTTCGATTGGAATGGCGGTGGTGTTGCTAAAGATTATCCACTGAGCTATCTGTCTGCGTGGTGGTTATCTGAATTGACTATCCAGTTCCGCCGCAGCCAAGACTGTCCAAGCCATTCATCTACCATGATTCACACAATAGATTCATACTGGTTGGCTGGTATTGCCACTTGCTGAGTAAATGGGTAGTTACTCGATGTGGAGAACCCAGGTAGAGCATTGTGCCCCAAATTCTCAAGCGTGGCGTTCTGGTTGGGCCAAGTTACGTGCATTACTTCAGAGCTAGGCAACAAAGGCACCGGTCTTCCACTCTGCAGAGCATCGATGGTGTTCCAGAGCTGTGTGGTGGCCGATAGCAGCTCACCATGCGTCTGACGCAGGACCGGCTGAATATCGTTCCACGAGACCTGATCCTGTCTGGTGGCCTCAAGCGACTCCTGCTGCTGCTTCATTCGGCAGAGTTCTTTTTCAAGCCTCTGATTGTCCTCCAAGACTTTGTCTTTTGCCGTGATAGCCTGCTGCAGTTTTGAAGTCTCCCGAGCTTTTTCTTCATGTAGACGCTGCATTGCCTGGAACTCATGGGCTCTCTCGTCGTCCATCTTCTGGAGAGCTTGTTCAAACTCTTTTTGAACTTGGTCCATCACATCCAAACATTGGCCATGCGTCGCCACGTGATCTTTCTTACGGGTGGTTTTCGTCATAAATTGTCCCTGGAAAGCTTGTCAGCTAAAAGAACATGATGCAAGACAGATCGCATAGTTTCCGTGCAAAAAGATACAAAACAAGCAATAGAAGAATGACACACCTGGGCTTTGTGTAGCTTCGCTACTGGGCTGACTGGGCTACGGCCCAGCTTGGACGTGGTAGTTGTCGACCGAACAGAGCCGGGCGAGCCAACGCGCGAACCGACAACACGAGGCTTTGCTTTGGTAGCACCACGACCTGCACCACGACCAGTACCCCGAGAAGATTTCGAGTCATTTGTCATGATAAGTTCTTGTGTTTGAGGGATTATTGTAACCTGAAGCAAAATTCGGGCAGATTGAAGAACCTAAATGTTCGCAGTAATGTTTACAGAATGGGGAACAAAGACTTTAAAGGTTTTGGTGGAACCAAAAGCAAAAGATCTGAAACAAGATGAAAATGCTGTGCCCTTGGGGAAACTTTGTTTGCCAGCATCTGGACCCTGAGCAGGGAAGGCCAGGTGATCATTGTTCACACCGGACCCCACGGGATCCTAGCGCGATCCTAGCGTGAAGTGAAGAAAAGAAATAAAGATTCGGAAGACGAGAAAAGGGACAAGAGAAACCACTGCCAGTCCATTGTGGATATGTGATCGGCCGGCCCGCATTACCCTATGCAATCAGTGGTGTTTCAATACCGGCTTGGAGTCTCGTTGCACTTTAATGTACTTTCATTAACATGTCTTGCACAAATTTACATCAACCTCGTTGTCTGATTGATAGAAGCAATCCTGTGTCTTGATGGCCCTGATTGATATACGCTGTAATAGCAGAGGGGGTCAAGTTCTAGCAGTTCCAACGTCGACAGAACCAAAGCCTGATCTACAGGATACTCATATAATCTATTTGAGCTACAGCGACTCACGATTGGCCCCGTTGTCCATCGCCACCCGTCCAGGAGATTGCAACGCTATTATCATGTTCCCGAGGAGACCATGGACAAAAGAAACACTCATGGGGCCAATCAAACAATTGGGATCGATTTAGACTGATGCTGGTACATTTGAGAAATAAAAAAAAAATGGAGTGAACCATGGATTAGTAAATTAAGGGGGTGCTAACTGTGGCTTTCTGAAAAGATTCGAAGGACCTGCAAAAGTCCAGACACGATCCACAGGCCCCGAAATTGATGGGCTGCTGCCGTGCGGGTGAAGGCCATTGTTGCTTAAGAGGTATGATTTGGGTAGATGAGGTACTCGCAGTATTACACGGTATTTCCAGAAGGGAAGTATATGCCAAAGAATATGTGGTCATAGTTTCCTTGAACCCTTCGATCATCTATCGATTGCCAAGCTTCCACCCCGTCGTCTGTCTGATCTCTCAAGTATTCCAGCAAATACTTCTTTCTGTCGGCACCGGCCATCCCAAATACGTATATTCCTCACTGCTGGGTAGATCCTCTCCTACCATGGACCCAATTTCCTGGCTGATCCAGTAGCAGTAATAGAGCTTAGACGTGGTTATGCAATACAAGACGGACCAGAAACGTCTATGTAAACATATCGTCCGGGTTTTGTTGTAAAAGCCGATGATACGATAGACTTTAGAACTGGCACCAGTCGGCGTTGTGGGCCCGAACTTCATATGGTCCGAAAGCTTACTTTTGAGCATCCTTCTTATCGTCCCTTGCGCATGATTGTGCGGCCAACAATATTCAAAAAAAAAAACATTTGTGGTCCTTCAACGGCAGAGTTCGTGATTATAGCCGAAGTTTTAAAAAGCAGGGCTCATATTTTTCAGTGAATCCATTTAGACTGTGGTGGCAGCCATATTCATAATAGATCTGGAAAGTGGAGCAGAAGAAAAGAGACAATCTGACTAGGAGGAAGCTTAAATCCCAAATTCCATTAATTATTGCTGTCTACCACCGAACGCACCGTTCAATGATTCACTCAAAGAATTTGTCACGATATTTGACATTCGCTACTGACCGTGGATCCTGCTCTGCGTTCTACGGTCGTCATAGAACTAACCTTCGGTATCACTTGAATGGAAAGGAACCTTTGTTCCAGCTGCGCGAGATCTTGCCATTATAGTACTGGCTGGAACAAATACTCTCCCATCAAAACGACTGGACGAGGATCGAGGATCAATCATGCCTGGAGCTACGGCATAGATAACTCTGCTGTGGACCTACCCATCCAATTCAACGTACCTAGGGGTGTAGAGTTATAACTCATACTGTGCGGGTTCTAAGAACTTTAGAACTTTCCAGGATATGACTTGCAACAGTGTGATGATTTCATTGCAAGGTTATTCACATGCCGGGTTTAAATGAAGCTATTTAAGCCCGCCACAGGTCCCATCCATAACATTTCCTACAGTATACTCTTTGTACACTGAGAAGACCATGGACACAGTCATAACCAGCCTGCCTCCAACAGTGGGCACCATCCTGATGGATAATATCTCAATCATTCAGATCGTGTCCATGTTCTCAATCGGCGCGTACAATGGTCTAGAAACAGGAATCGTCGCGTTTGATGTGTTCAAAGGCTACCGCAGCCTGTATTTCTGGAGTATCCAGGTCGCATCCTGGGGGATCGTTCTGCATGCTCTTCCTGCCATGGCTCGCTTTCTAACACAAGCATCCAACATCGCGACGTCAGTCCCCTTCGTGATCGGATGGTATGCTATGGTCACCGGCCAAGCCATTGTACTGTACTCGCGTCTGCACTTTGTTGTCTCCAACGTGAGGACGCGGCGTTGCGTTTTGTGGATGATCATTATCAACGCCTGCATCCTACACATTCCAATGACCGTTCTCTTCTTCGGCCTCAACAACGGCGACGCACGTCTCGCTCGCCCTGCCGCAATCTTCGACCGAATCCAGCTGACGGCTTTTTGTGTGCAAGATTCCATCATCTGCAGCATTTATGTATACGAATCAGCTCTTACTTTCAAGAAGATCAGCACCATTCGTGGTCAGAACAGTCGCAGTGCCATCATTCATTACTTTGGATCAACATTCTTGTCGTGTTTCTCAATGTCCTGCTCCTCGTCACAGAATACAAGCTTCACTACATTCAAGTGAGCTTCAAGACGGTGGTATACAGCATCAAGCTGAAGTTAGAGTTTTCTGTACTCAACCGTCTTACTTCACTGCTTCGCTCCTGTACCTGTCAGCGTGAATCCGGGGAGCGGCGGCGATCGAGTGGACGGAACCTGTTTAATAAGCTTCTTCCGCAGTCAGCTACGGCATCGACGACGGAATTGCGGCCTGCAGCCCAGGGAGAGGTACCAGATCGTCGTATATTCCCGACTTGCTTCAAAAGAAAGCAGGGAGCGCGACGCGAGACGTCCAGCGAGTGTATGACACCCCCAGGAGACACGTCATACTCACGACGTATTTCTGAGTGCCAGACAGACACACATCAAGCTGGATCATCCGAAACTTTGCCGGCGCTAGAATTGACTTTATCTGAGTTTTCCACAAAGTTTGACGTTTGAGCATTCCGACAACGAAGAATGCCAGGTCAATGTGACCTCATCGACGATGGAGCAGCGAGCTTGGATTTCGTGACGGACAGGTATGATCGCAACTACCAAGCTAGCCAGTTGATGACAGGTCTACCGTGGTTATTATCCTCAGATAATGTTGGAGGGTGTGTTTGTTGAAATATGATATGGGAATTATGGTTGAACGCCTATTAAGCGAATGCCATACATGTAGAACTATAGTACATATTGCAAGATTGAGACACTGCAATATCAACAGTACAGCATAGTACAGAAGGTATTTACATGATGTCTTTTCACGAATTGTAGACCATTGACACAAGTCTGCCATCAAAAGACACCTTCTGGTTTCATTCACCCCATTATCGTGATTGGTATTTGTTGACAACTTGATGAAGTCCTACACCTTCGATTCTGAGTCACCCAGGACGTGTTGAACTGGTGTAGGATGATGAGAATCCTTGATCGAGTTAACACCTTCCTGGCGATGAAAGGGACGATTAATTGAACAGGAACTTACTAGCTGATCTTGGGACAGAGGCCATTGCTTCGAAACCGAATTCGAGATGAAGATCTTTCCCGATCCCCTAATTCGTATAATGAGGTAGATGTCGGCATCGCATTCCACGCTGTACTCAGACACATTCTTAAAAAGGGTCTTTCGCCTTCTGCGGGCTTTTTGGTGGACCATGTTTACCACCATGGGTTTGGGATTTGGCCGAAGGCTCAAATTGACCATGGCTGCTTGTATGAGAGGTAGAAAAGAAGGCAGTGGGAGTTCAAGTAACCAGGAAATCGAATGGGAAACAAACTTCCGATATGAGAGCTACGTTTTGATAATGGAGTTCCCGTCCTCAGTGAGTCTGACATTTCTGTGACAGAGGAAATTCAGTACAAGGGTATAAACTAGGACTGTTGATCTGAGCAAAACGTGTTAATCAACAGTACCGCCCGGTGAGTCTGATGGTTGGGTTGAATTTCGAGCGAATATTTTGATTCGAACGCACTGTGCTATCCAAATGAATCCATATACTCAGACAGCCTCAGTGTTCTGAACGATCTTTCAGATGTGTACCCTGGAGTTGTAGAGCAGTTGGAAATCCAGTCATTTGGCGATGCGGTATACAAACGTTTGAAATTTTCTACTGCATGGTTGAAGTCACCCAATAATACTTGGCACAATAGTACTGACATGTTCCTTCGACTATCAAGGTACTAACTTCGATAATATGACATGATTCCGAACTGATTTTCAAGATCATTTCCGCTCCATGCAAATTAACTGCCGAGACAAAGTCTGCACCACCAGGGGATCTGCAACAAACTTTTGTATCTCACTAGTTCAATCATAATGATCTTGACCATAGCGCTCACGTTTCTTGACACTGGCGATGCCAAGATACGAAAACACTTTCACCTATTACTGAGATAGAGCGAAATCAAATATGGAATTCATTTGAAACATGAGGTCCAACTAACGCAATATGCATTGACTGATAATATTGAAGCACAGATAATCTACTCGAGAATCGACGAAGAAAGGACAATAAATGAAGTCAGAGCGAGCTATTGGCAATCAGTGTGAACAGCTGCTTAAAACAGTTCCCAAGCCTGCTCCGCATGTACAGTATGGATGGATGGATGGATGATATCATTTACCCTGACCTCTCGCTTTTGGTGATATACAGGATACAGCAACTACATATATCTTGGTATGTTCAAGTGTAATGTCCCACTTCCTGAAAACGAACTTGGAGCCTCGTCAAGGCCTATTATGGCCCAGGTGCCGTTCAAGTAATTAGGCTGCCCTCATGGCGCGCGACTTTGGAATCTTTGTGACGCCTCAGCGAAGTCTAGTACGGCTTTGACCGTCCTAGCCCGCGAGACGGTGTCTGGTTTACCTCTCTCACCTTCAGTTGAGCCTCCCAGCAGACTCGATACGCTGTTAAACGCGTCCCCAACTTCAATCCTTAGCTTCCGTCGGATTTCCCTCAGATTTGGGCAGTCCACCAGCACGTGGGTAATTGTTTCTTGCGCGCCGCACACGCACTGATTGTTGTCGCGGAAGCCGAAGGTCTTGGCATAGGTGGATAACCAATTGTGGCCCGTGCGTAGCTGCGCCAGCAGGTACGCCCGCCCCCAGGGCAGGTTCCCATACAACTTTCTGGTGTAGGCCGCCGGTAGGGTGCTGTCAATTTTACGCAGGTGACCGCCTTTGGTTGATGCTTTCCATTCCCGCTCCCATTGAGCGCGGATATTGTCTCGGATAAGCGCTCTCTTTCTTGTTAGCAAAGGGCGGAAGGGGTGTGTTTTGCCCGGGCTTGCCGCGTCTTTGGCCAACCGATCTGCTGCGTCGTTCCCTGGATCGTCGCAGTGTCCGGGTATCCATTAGAGATAAAGCGCAGTTCCCTTTGCTTGGACCTCTGCAGCCGCCTGGAGGATCGCGTGGATGATGCGTTGTCCTGACTTTTTTCCTGGGTTCTCGATCGTCTGCAACGCTGACTTGCTGTCGCAGAGGATCGTTGCCGTTGTTGTTCCATTATGTTCCGTTCTTGGCCGCTGATGGCTGATCTTGAACACTATACTGACAGCGTAGAAAATGCCTATCAGCTCTGCTACGTGAACCGACCACCGGTCCATCGGTCCCACTTGGGCCTGTTTCGATTCGACAACTTGTAGGTCATTGTCGAGTGCTACGGCAGCGGCGCCCAGGTGGCCTTCGCGTCCCGAGGCATCAGAGTAGACCACGATAGCGGATGTGGACCGCACGGACTCCGCCCGCTCTCTTGCCGTCTCTCGGTCTGACCCGATCTCGATCTCTGTGAAGGACTCGGTTCGCCACGGTGGTAGCGGACGTGGGTCGATCGTCTCTAGCTCATCTAATCTTTCTAGGTTCATGGTCTTCAGGGCTTCCGCCAGTGGGAAGCGAGCGTATGACCCGACATTGTTCCTACGTTTCTGGGCTCGCCGTAGTGTATCCCAGATAGGATGATCGCGCGGCAGAGCTCCTGGTCGAACACCACCCCTAGAAGCTTGGCCGTGGGCGACGGTTCGATCGTCCTCCCATTCATAACTACTCGACCCTGAAGCTGTTCGTGTCTTTTCCTGGTGATGTGAATCAGTTCTGTTTTCTCGGCTGCGAAACAAGACCCAGTTCGACGGGCCCATGCTTCAATTCGGGGAATGTCTTCCGATTGAATCTTGGCTAGGTTCTCTTCGGCTGAGCGTTCCACTCGCCAGCGGAAGTAGTCATCGATAAAGGCGGATGCACCGCCGTGAGAGTCGACAGGTTGGTCGACCAGGTCGGAGTTGAAGAATGCGAACAGAATGGGGGAGAGAGGCGATCCCTGTGCTAGTCCCGCGTTCGCTAGTGGTGTGGCCTCGGTGTGGAAGTCGTCAAATCCTATGCTGGCGTGGCGGTCGCTCATAAAGCTCACAATCCATTTTCTCGCCACGGTTGGGATTCTTCTTGCCCGGAGGCAGGCGTCTAAGCTCACTTTGTTGACTCCGTTAAAGGCACCTTTCAGGTCGAAAGCCACTAGCGTAATCACTTTGTGTTTATACCACGCGCGGTCAATCGCATTAGAGAGGACCAACAGGGCCTGTTCGGTCGTTCTGCCTGGTCGTCCTCCAAACTGGGTGTCAGGTAGCAGGCCGTGCTTTTCGGCGAGGTACGACAGTCGTCGTGCCATCACCGCTTCAAGGAGTTTGCCGAGAGTGTTAAGCAGCGAGATCGGGCGATAGGCCCCAGGTACTGAATAGTCAGATTTTTTAGGTTTTCGCAGCACCACAATCTTCGCGCTTCGCCATCGCTTTGGGTGGTATCCTAGATTGACTGACGCGGTGAAGATCCCTGTGATGTAGACCTTGAGGTGTCTCCACAGCTGTTTCCATACTAGCGTCGGCAGGCCGTCTTCCCCGGGTGCGGTAGATCCTTTTGCGGCTTTGAGAGAACGTTGAATCTCAAGCTCAGTGATAGGTTGCCATGGAAGTGCTAGAGGTGCTTGGGCGGGCAAGTCCTCGTGAGGTTCGTCCATCTGCGGGAAGAAAGTATCTAAGAAGGCCTGCGCTTTGTCCTCGTTTTCTATGAGCTCGTTGGTGCCGATGTGCAATGCCGGCACACATCCCCAGGCTTCTCGTGGTTTCATGTAGCTGGCAGCTTTCCAGAGTTTCCCTTCCCCAGCTTCGTCAAGGAACTATTTCAAATGTGACGCCTTCACCTTCTCGATAGTCCGGGTCCATAACCGTCGTTTGCGCTGCATCTCTTGAAAATGCGTTATGGAGCGGGCGTCGTGTCGCCCAAGTTCCGCACAGCTCTCTTGCCATATCCGACGTAGTTGATTGACTTCGCTTTGCTGTATTTTGAGGGCTGGGGTAAACCAGCGTTTGGAGTGTGGTGTTGGTCGCAGGTCGGGAGTGTGCCTATCCGCCGCTGTTGCGGTTGCCTCTGTGAGCCTTCTAACTACTTCATCTAGCGCCGGTCTCGTTTTCACTTCCTTCCATGGGCCCATTTGTTGAAGCACGTCTTCGGCTATCTTGCTCCAGTTCGCACGGTCGTAGGCTTTCTTTGCCTTAGCGACGGGTTGGCGCTGAGCTCTGAGGTTCCATTCGGAGAACGTTGCACGGTGGTCCGATCCGTAATTTTCGTGGTAGATATGGCATTTGATAAGCAGATCCGGTCGATTCGTTACCGTCTGGTCAATAGTAGAGTGTCTCCCCGGGTCGTTCAGAGATTCGGGTACGGGCCGACAAAGAGAGTCCGAGTGTATGAGGGGGTAAACTGTTTTCGAAAATCGCTGTATAGAAGGAACATAACGTAAGTCAATCAGGAAAGTGAAAGGTCTTTTGTAGGCAGATTCATCTCTGCATGTTGGTCGCTTGCCGGTTCCCAACTAATTGCTAATGCACACTTACCCTGACGTAATTTAGTCATGGGCCTTACATAGGAACACCTGGCTATCTCGCACCTGTACAGTAAGGGGTTGTGCCTTCGGGTAATGTTTGCTTCTCCAATTCCCAAAACAAAACCTCCCCAAGATCTGGTCTCTTGGGTTTTTCTTTCTTGAATTCTTCGCTTTGAGGCATTTTCATTTTTATTTGTTGTAGAATCACGGGAAGCTCCCCTTTCTGCTACGCTTCATGACCAACCTGACGTGGGCATGGCTGCTCTTGATCTCGGTGTTCCAGGTGGCTCAAAGTGCGCCAACTCGAACTGTATGGAGAACGCCTAGCGGAAACAATAAAGACTTCGTCACTACTTATTACATTGGGTCTACCGTGACCATTGACTGGTCTGGTTGGGATTCTTCTGTATTGAATCGCGACATGAACGGTGTGAGCAAAGCCGACCTGTGGGTAAATGCATGGAACACCGATTTCTCCACATGGTCCAAAAAGATTTCGAGTATGCGATCCCCCAACATAAATCATGAGATGCTAGACTGACAATATTACGGATTAGCTAGCACGATAGACGTTTCGTACTCGGGAACTTTCAATTGGAAAGTCACCATTGATGAGAAAGCGCTATCAGATACTAAAGAGTACGGGTTCACTTTTAAACCAACCGGGGAGAGTTTTGCTCCGTCTAACCCTCGTTTGTACTCGCCGGGGTTTCACCTTAATTCTAATGAGACAACATCCACGTCTACCTCTGCGAACTCGTCTATCCAAACGTCCTTGTCTACCGCGACGATTACTCAAACCCCGGAAGCTGCCTCATCGGATACGGGTGGACTCCCCACCGGCGCGAAAGCAGGAATCGGCGTCGGCGCAAGCGTCGCCGGACTGGTGCTGTCTGCGTTTGGGTTCCTCCTTTTTCGACGGCGGCAACAGTCATTACCGCAGGAGATGACTGGAAATCAGGATCAAGCAACGGACGGTAGCTCCTACATGAAGGCCAAGCCAGCACCGCAGGAGCTTTTGGCGCCACCGCCTGAAATGGAACCCACGACCAACACCCGAAGGGAGATGATGTGACGGTATACTGTTGGCATTGTATTTTGCGAGTACCTACTGCCTGAACCCCCCCCCCCCTCTTCCCCGAAACGGGTGTGTAAAGCAGGTGCAGATTGTTTTGGGAAGCCGTGGTTGACCAATGCTTTCCGAACTTTTCAGATAGCTAAATAGGCTTAATGGAATTGATAAGCTCCTATTCGACACTCTTTCCTGTTAGCAGGTGAAGGCGAAATGTATGAGTCTGTCCATGGTTTGCTTGTACCCTAAGAAAGATGCTTTGTCACTAGCGCCCTACGCTTGGGTGCCTCGAATTAAACGGTAAAAGGTGGGGGTTTGATTGGAGATTCTTCCGGATCTCTGTTGGGTCCGGGTGCGACCGTATCTCATCCCGTCGGCCAATGAGATACCCCTAGAACACCTAAATTATTTGCGAGGCAAATCAAACAAATCACCGAAACTCCTGACAATTTACGCTAATTGCAAAGTCACAATGTGATTCCTCGCATCACTGTGTATTCTGTCATACCTTCGTCTTTCGATGCAGTGCTTCTGACAGGTTCAACTCTCTCTTATCACAATCTATCCCGTGGATCCCTATCAACTAATCAGCGAACATAAGTAACATATTCCTCATGTCCAGAGACTCTCAAAAAAGTCTCAACCGTATTTGGGAGAAAATACCAAAAAACACTTCTTTAAACGACTCAGATGATTTAAATTTACGCGGCGGGTAGCGCGTGTTCTTGCCATATTTCAATTGCTTTTTGATTTTGCGAGGCAATCCCGAGTCTTTTAGTCACACCTTCACGTACAGCCTCCAGCTGAATTGAGAGGAACTTATTTACACATTTCTCACAATTCGCATCTTAATCACGGAATATAATATAGCTAAAAACCGTAAGTACGAAGTGTAGCCGTGTGTGTTTCTCGAACTACGAATCCTGGGCTCAATTCAATAGATTCTGTTCCTGGCTAGTCAGTCCCCACATGGTTATTGCGTGTTGCTTGAAACTACCCCATAAGAGATACAGGACCATTTATGGCAAGTCTTTTTGCTCACTGAGTAAAACTGAGCACACCCCTGAGTATTATATGAGCATTGTTTTCGTTAACTTAAGTGAGCATCACCTGACACTTGCGTAAGCCATTTGCCTCGCTCTCTGAGCAATCCGGTCCCACTATCTGGGGAAGTGGAACACAAGGCCGTTTAGAGATCGGGTAGATATTCGAGAATTGGCCGCATTATTCATTGACCGAATTCCTTGCCTACCAGTGTGATACCACTAATGTTGTGATGGGGATCATTATATGACATGTTATTCAGATGGAATCTATCAGATAGTGGCCAGATCTTTAGATACATTTCTAGTCTTGGCTGGCAGCGATCCTTGGGATCGCAGGGGTATTTCCCATACTTAATTTGTAGCCCTGTAAGCGCTCTATGAGCTTATAGTACTCGCTCAGGATCGATTGCCCCGCAAGTGAGGTCTGAAGTAAACCCTGTATGGGCCGGTTTTCTCCATTCGGGTGTTTTAGTTTAATCTGGGAGCGTATTGAATAATGTTTCCAATAAAATGGTTATGAAACAGAACTATATCCACTCAAGATGGCCTTGTTAAGTTTTTCTCGACTGTTATCGAACAATTTATCACGTGATGTACGCGTTGTTAGCTAGGTGTGCGTTGCCTTGGGTGCAACTCAACCCTTTACCCCGCCTAACCACTCGATATTCAAATAACGATCATCCCAACGGCAAGAGTGCCAACAAATTTCATCAAGATTGATATTCCACGACCAAGTTCCAGCGACTCGAAATGGAGTACGAAAAACACTTCATTCCTCTGGAATCCGATCCTCAAATATTCACGAGTTTGATGCACAACATGGGTGTTCCTAAGTTTTACAAATTCATTGATGTTTGGTCTCTGGAAGCAGATCAATTGGATAACATTCGTTTTATTATTCAAAATCCTGTCGAAGCCTTGATCCTTATCCTACCAGATTGTCCTGCATATGCAGAGCAGAGAATCTTACACAGTACTTCCGAAGAAGGCATCCTCTGGCTAAAACAGACTATAAACAATGCCTGCGGACTTTATGCCATAATGCATTGTATTTGTAACACTTTAAACACCAAGGAAATTGGTAGGACATTCCCCTTCACCCCGCGTGGCATATGATATCAGCTGAAGTAAATAGATCCAGGCTCCTTCAGTGATGGTCTTGTGAAGCAAGGATCAGCCGACCGCGCCAATTATCTGCAAAACTCACCTGAACTGGATTCAATCTATCGCAATGCCGCAATGAGTGGCTCTTCAGATCCTCCTGCTGCTGAGACTGAAATCGACCATCACTATATATGCCTGGTCAGGCGCTTAGGTTGTCTCTATGAATTGGATGGAGACAGAACCGGGCCAATATACCGGGGTAGCGTGAAAGATGATGAAGATACACTGTCAGAAAAGGGCTGCAATATTCTCAAAATGTATATGAACAGCTGCCCCAAGGGAAGCTTCAGTCTGCTAGCTCTGGTAAATCCTAACTAGTGCAACATCGGAGAATTGCTCGACTGGAGACAAAGCATCCACAGACATGTTATCATCGGTAAGAACGCTCCAGTCCAAAGCAGGGTGACTGAAAAGATTTTGGAGATCACATGTTCCCCATGACGCTGCAATGTGGAGTGGCGTCCATCCTTCATAATCCTTAGCATTGACATCCACTCACATTTGAAGCAAATGGTCAATGACCTCTAAGAAACCCGCCCTCGAGAACTGAGACCTTGGACCAGCAATTGCAAGGTGCAGTAATGTAGAGCTTCCTCGCTTAGTGGCAGTGGCTTGATGGGGATCGGCACCATAGTCTAATAGGATCTGCGTTGCAGCAGACCAGCCAAACTCGACTGCCCACATGAGCGGTGTTCTACCACGAGTATCAGTACAATTCTTGAGGGTACCGAGATCATCTCGTTTTAATGAGCGAAGATAGTCCTGCAGGAACACTTTCTGGTTTATAGGCAGTAGAACTTGGTGAAGTTCTGTAAACCTCCGGGTATTCAAATACTGCGTCCCACTTTCGCCAATGGTCATATTAAACAGAACCCCAATGATCTCACACAATTTGCCAAATTCCAGCGCGGAACGACCTGTCATCGCGGTGCATATCACAGCAGAATCAAGCATTGATTCCATCTGGGTACTGCAAAAAACAGTGTCAGAATAGTCGCGCTAAAATAGCCGGGAGGAATGCAACCTACTTTCCAATGTCGTCAGTCCACTGAATATTTACCCCAATGGAAACCAGCCAGGAGAGCAAACGTGCGTGGCTCTGCCAGTGCCGTGGGCTTTCCAACAGTAGTATGACGCGTACTGACTATTTTGTTAGCAACAAATTAACGATTTGAATGCAAGGAATAAAAAGGTCTCACGTAGAGCGACCCAAGACCATTTGCACTCTCAGATTCATTCACTTCATATGGAGTCACTAGAATATTCCTAAGGTAGTCGAGGTATTTTCTGCGGACGATCAGTTGACTTCTTTGCCAGCTGCTCTCTCAAAGGCACGAACCAACCCTTGAACCAATCCTCCAACAAGTGGTATATCAGATTTCATGGGGATCAAGGGAAAAGCTATGCAACTAAGTCTGTTCAATCTTATAGCGCTGCGTTACAGTGAAAGGTTGTTGCTAACGAGTATGAGATTTGCGCAGGTCGTGTCGTGAACTAGTCGGTCTGTTACAGCGTATCATACGAAGGAGAACGCGCGAATAATGAATCTGTGAACAACTGAGTTCCTGTGCTCATATGGGAAAGGGATTTGGGGAATGCGGAGTCTACCCAAGGCTTCAATGATGCCTCTGCATCTGTCAGTGTTTAAGGCTGTCTCGGTGGAACCCGCAACCACCAACAACACAATAATGAGCCTGTGGTATGTTTGTTAGACGGTATCAACCTGATGCTTAGGGATGTGCAAGGATATTAATGGAAAAAGCCGCCGGAGGTTTGTACCCAAGGCTTGGGCCCTGTTGAAGGGAATAAGAGCAGTGACATCCCCAACCAGTGAGAAAATCAATCAACTTCTTGTGTACGCATATATGACAAGACATATTCCTTGAAAATGAAACGACGGTTGGACTTTGCATGAAAAATCAATCAATATCCAGGATAATTGAAAGCAACAGAGCTCGCGAGCTCAGGAAGAACAGACTTGATTGAACTCATTATTGAATTTATCCGACCTGAGCCCTTCAATCCATCTACCAACATCTAAATACAATCTCAGATTCCAGAATAAGCGGTACTGCCCCGCGAGAGTCTGTATATAATCAAACAACTCAACCGCGTGGATTCGGATAGTATTGGCTCGCCTGGGGCCTGAAGCAGTAATGAATTTCGCGAGTATGCGATTGAGACTTTCGAAAGAACCAAGAAACGGTATCACGCTATTTGACACGATGAGAATCAATGTTGTACCAACTCCTGTGATCTCTACCATCCGCTTATCAATTGTCGCAATTTCCAGGTTGTATGTGAGGACATTCACAGCAATTAATTCCGAAAATCTTGGCTCTTGTAACACCTGGCTCTGCCGCTGAGAGAACAAGCCTGTAGTTCAGCCAGGGTCTAGCAAATGTCATCTGGAGCAGAATCGAGCTTTCGGGGGCGGTATCCTTGCAAATAGCTTGTAATCTAGGTGGCTGGCAACTGCAGCAGACATCCACTTCAGCCATCCCCCAAACGCAAACAAGACATGAGCACTCAGGCCACTTTCCGATCGTGATATACTGCGTTTATGGCTTCAATCTTTACTTTAGTAGCTCAAAGAACGGCTAACAAACCAATAGAGGCCAAAAGGTGATGTGTCAAGAAGGAGACATCTAAATAGTATAACGTAACAGACCCCCAAGCTGCGCACCCCACCCAAAAACGCGTCAATCAATCAAACCTCTTCTCTTTAACCACCCACCATGCCACCAATTCGTACTCAATCCTCTCAAAATCGTACTGAGCAAGAGGGTAGGCTTTCATTAGCAATTGAAGCTATTCGAAAGCAAGATTTTTCCTCTGTACGTGGAGCAGCGCGCTGTTTTGACGTACCTGAATCGACCCTCCGTAACCGCCTCCATGGGGTTCAAAACCACGCGATATCTCGCGCAGAAAAGCTGAAATTGACTGAAATTGAAGAGGAATCGCTTTAAAAATGGATTATCTCTCTAGATTCTCGTGGAGCAGCTCCCCGCCCGTCAACTGTACGAGAAATGGCAGACATACTACTGGCGGCGCATGGATCTATACCCCTACCTACGGTCGGCGAAAATTGGGTTAAAAAATTCATTAAACGGCATCCCCTACTATCTACTCGATTCTCGAGACGCTACGATTATCGGCGAGCTAAATGCGAGGATCCGAAGCTGTTATCTGAGTGGTTTTCTCTCGTTCAAAAAACAATCCTAACACACGGGATTGATTTTGACGATATCTATAACTTTGACGAGACGGGATTTGCAATGGGTATAATCTCGACTATGAAGGTTATAACGAGAAAGGAATTATACGGTCGGCGATCACTTTTACAGCCTGGAAATCGCGCGTGGGTAACTACAATCGAGTGTATAAGTTCAACGGGGTAGGCGCTTCCTCTATGCGTGATTTTTAAAGGCAACGTTTTTATCGAATCTTGGTTCGATAACCTTCCAAATGACTGGAGGATCGAGATAAGTCCTAATGGATGGACCTCTGATCAAATTGGACTTCGATGGCTTAAAAAGCTCTTCATTCCGTCTACTACTTCTCGTACGAAGGGGAAGTATAGACTCTTGATACTTGATGACCACGGCAGTCATTTGACACCACAATTCGACAAAATTTGCGAGGAGAACAATATTATCGCAGTTTGTATGCCTCCGCATTCATCTCATCTTTCACAGCCTCTCGATATTGGCTGTTTTGCGGTGTTAAAAGCCGCGTACGGTCGGATTATCGCATCGAAAATGCGGGCTAAAATCAGTCATATTGATAAACTTGATTTCCTCGATGCCTACCAAGCCGCGCGAATTGAGGCATTTAAATTGGAGAATATCAAAAATAGCTTCTCCGCCGCCGGTTTAGTGCCTTATAGCCCCGATCGGGTTATCTCAGAGCTTGATATTTGCCTTCGTACGCCGACCCCCCCCCCCCCTCCAGCCGGGGTAGCGAGTGGGAGCCAAAAACGCCCTCCAATTATATTCAATTACAAAAACAAGCTTTTTCGATAAAAGCCTTGTTAAAACAGCGCTCAAAAAGTCCACCGAGTCCATTGAATTCAGCGATAAATCAGGGTTTAAAAGCCTGTCAAATCACAATGCAATCAGCTGCTATTCTCGAGAAAGAAGTAAGCGATTTACGCGCTGAAAACGAGAAAAAAAGGCGCAAAAATGCTAGATCTACAAGGCAAATACATCGCGAGGAAGGCCTTACAGTTAAAGAGGCATCAACCTTGATATCGCAGCTAGTACAACCTGATTTACCGCAAGGATCTAATGAGGTAAATCAGGGTTTAGCCCTTTCTCAGTCACGTACGAGGGCAGTACCAAGATGTTCCGAATGTGGAATTCAGGGCCATAATAAGAGGTCATGTCCCACTAGATCTCGCGTTTAGTTTATTCAATTTAATGGCGTTTGGTTGAGAAAAATCCATTTAAAATAATCAAGTTGGGTGGGGTGCGCAGCTTGGGGGTCTGCGCAGCTTGGGGGTCTGCGCAGCTTGGGGGTCTGCGCAGCTTGGGGATCTGTTACGTTATCGAAAACCCGCAGACCAGATATTGATATATGAAAGCAGTCACTCTCGTAATCCTTAATTGGGAATAGATTAAATGCTACTGCGCAATGAAAAGGGCTCGACAAGAGAGCTTATGGGCTATTCACAAAGCGCTACGAAGAGGACAAGTACAGGAAACCGAGGTAATAAGGCTCTGATCAAAATCTAGGGATATTACTGTTCTGAGAGCGCGAGAACTATAACATTACCTGAAAAGCCGATCGCCAATGTCTTTGCAGAAATAACGAAAAGAGAGGGATTGGCCCATCGATGTCTGACAGGCAATCACAGGTGGTTGACTCGTTTATAGGTTATCCAGGAATGGTCGTCGTTCAAACCATACTCATATTCATTCTGGGAGGGAGGTTGAGCAGTGAGGTGTGGACGTGACAGGACGAGGGGATGTACTGTATGTACCCATGATCGTGTGAAGATGATTGAAGTTGACTTTATCAAATCGGAAATAAGGCGAGCCGATATGGAGCTTCGCACCGATCGGTGCCGGATTCCAGATCCTGACTGTATTATCCTGCGACAACGATACGAGTCGGTTCCCATCTTGCGACCAGGCAACCGAAAGGACCCAATTATTATGCCCCTTGCTACCATAAACTCTTACAAGCTCATTGGCCTTCACTCTACGCAAAAGCTTTCCGCCGAAGGCTTGTGATGTGGCTTCAATTTAGCCGTAGTGAGGAGAGTGCTAGTATTGTCATCGACTCAGCGGATGCAGCACTTATCAAGTCTTGGTCGATGTATGATTGATGGCTCGCTTGCCGTTTCAATATATTCGCTCTCATTTTGAAATTTTGTGTAGTTGTCGAGTCGGATTTCATTGCCAGTTCCAAATTCGGCTCAAGGAATTTGCATAGCTCCATATTTATAAGGTGCATCTTGCTTCCACAGCGATCTGTTCGTAAGCCTCGAGGCATTGCTCACTGCTTATCGGCTGATGAGCAAGCCGAATTCAATACTGTCACAGGCGGAAACAGGTGTGGCGCGACCTTGGCTGATTGCAGAGAGCCACAGGTGAAGATATAGGCCAGTCGAGCTGGGGTAATCCATTCATTGTTTCGGTCGCATCAGACAGTGTTTTCCATTGGGAAGAGGTATCGTCCCTGTGGTCGAGCGAGGGTATTTCGAATTTCAACGGTCGCGAGGGTAGGTATGGATATGATGCAAAAATTCTTCGAAATTCTCAAGTCGGGTGCGTTCCATGTCCCGTCGCCTTTCGTCCTGCGCCTGTATCTCTAGGTCCTCTATCTCCTTTTGACGGGCTTCTGCCTGCTTTTGGCTGGCTTCTGCCTGCTTTTGACTGGCTTCCGCCTGCTTTTGACTGGCTTCCGCCTCCTTCCGCCTCTCCTTTTCCTGCAGGAAGAGAGATTTGTAGTCTGGGGGACTATTTCTTGCCATCGTGTTGTTGGAAGGAAGAAAAGGGAACTTGCGGCAGCCATGACATCATGACTCATCGAAGGCACATCAGTTGTTGTAAGGTTGGCGGAAAGATTGCCCGATTTGGTATAGTGGAAGGCTTCGGTGGGGCTCTGTTGGATCCCCTGTACTGATGGTATTGTCCTGTCACCCTGATACGCACTACTCATGCATTAGGGTTAGACCTGTATCTGTAATACTGGGTCGTGACCCACACAACTCTACTAATAATACAACCATGATACACATGCTATAAGAGGCTCTGGTACATAATATATGAAAGAAGAGAGAAGAAGAGAGGTAAATCTGATTTCGAATATTACTGTACGCCATTGAAAGGAATCTTCTGTCAACTGCATCACTTCTACTCGAATCTAATCCATGTCTGAATAAAGTGGATATCAAAAAACGGTCGGCTATCTGGTACGCTATCGATCTCTGCGATGAGAGCCTGGTGCAGTCCCTTTTAAAAAGGGGTAGCGACAAACGAACGCCAGATTACAAAGATGTCTCGCCCTTCTGCCTGGCAGTGACGAAGACACCCCCGAAAATCGCCCGGCTGATACTCCTCAATTCAGATCCCGATTCAAAAAAGATCCTACTAGAGGATGTCGCTCTCAGAAACCGTCTGCTGTGTCGGGCTGTACAAGCAAGCCTCCGAGATGTCATCGCGCTACTGGTTGCCCATGGCGCAGATACAAACTCTAGAAATAGAGATGGCCAGAGCTTATTGCATCAAGCCACGAAAAAGGGTGACAGGGAGGTAGTCCAACAACTGCTCACGTATGAAGACATATCTATCAATGCAACGTACAGGACTCTTCACATCGCAGCAGAGTATGAATGCACGTCGGTAGCCAAGTGCCTGCTGGCCAAATGCGGTATAGAATCCAACGCAAGAGACTGTCACGGTCGCACTGCCGTTCACATCGCAGCAGAGTATGGCAACAAGTTGATCACAAGGCTTCTCCTAGCCTATGGTGCTGTGGATATCAATGCCCGAGATGCTAATGGGGCAACAGCACTCTGCTTGGCTGTAAAGGAAAAGCACACAGCTGCAGCCCTGCAAATTCTCGCTGAAGACCATGCAGACCTCAATGTGGCTGGTCAAAATGGCTGGACAGCTCTTCACCATGCGGTCTCGGTGGGAAACATACCGGTTGCGTGTGTGCTTCTCGACAATGATCATCTAAATCCGAACCTTCGTGATGATGAAGGATGGCCCCCTCTCACCCACGCTGCTTCCAATGGCGATTTACGCATGGTGGAGCTCCTTCTCGCGAGGACAGACGTACAAGTGAACGTGCATCAGGCCCCACCCCTCTTCCATGCTGCCAAACAGGGTCATGTGGAAGTTGTACGCCGATTGCTCTCCTTTGATACCATCGACATCAATCAGCAATTTTGGAACAGCTCGCCTCTCTGCGTTGCCTCTGAGATAGGCTACCCGGAAGTTACAAAGCTACTCCTTCAGCACACAGCACCCCCCGACACTAATCTCAAGACTTACATGGGCGACACTGCGCTTTCTTTGGCCGCTTACCATGGTAATTTGGTGATTATAAAACTTTTACAGGAAGTAAATGGATTCGATGTTGCTACTGCTGATAATTTTGGGGACACGGCGCTATGCAAAGCAGCTCGGAATGGACACGAACAGATTGTCAAGCGTCTCTACAGGGATGCTCGGGCAAAATGTGCGAGTGATGTCAAAGGGCCATTGAAGCAGCTCTCACCTCTAGAATTGCACTGTATCTTGAAAGACACTTGGATGAGCAAGGCAACTTTTGCACTTGGCCTTGAACTACAGATCGCCCGTGATTGCTTCGTTAGATAACTGTTTACCTCGTAGGGTACAATGCAACGCCTTTCAAATGAGCTCCTCTTACACCATGTTTTTTCAGGCATGATTTGCCATGCACCGTATCATCTCATACCTTAAACCACCGCGAATCCCATATCGTGTCTTCGATGGTGAGGAAGTCCGGGGCTACCCAAAGATTGCACAATCAACACATATTTCACGTGAACATAGTGGCTAACGTGCTCGGCGGAATTCACATACTTTAGTGTCTCGAGATGAGCCATAAATATGCTGAACACATGGTTGACTCAAGATAAAATCCGCAGCACGACGAGTAAAGAGACGGGCGTCCTCGCCTTCCGAGCAATCCAGATGCCCAAAGTGCGTCATGCAGGTCAAGTCTTCATCTATCCCTAACAGAATGTCACGGATAATCCTAGGAGCAACGTTCTATCCCAGAGGCCGAGAGCCTTCTGCGACGCTGGTTGCCAAGATGAGTAGAAATCTTATGAAAAGCGTAATTCGTGAATGGATCTATGTAGATTGCCACTTAGGCAGCGGGCAATGCAATGAGCATTTGGCGCAGCTCCGGGTGTGCCATGTCATTGATCGTATAGGCAATCTTAGTCTACTAAGGCGTACAGAAAATTGACTGGGAAGTACAAGTAAACTGCGTTCGGAGTTACTGACCACTTGTCTTTTGTTTCCACTCTCAGATTGTTGAAAGCTTGTCTCAATAAGACCCACCTCGACTTATCAAAATCAAAACTATCATTTCTGGAACAATGCCCTCATTTTTCACCAGAAGCAGGATGCGGATGCGACTGGTCGTCTCTTTTCTTACAATATGTTGGCTGGAACTTGCGACTCTCAGCTCAGCGTCTGCACGTCCAGCAGACGTCCTGCAAACTCGCGCAAAGTCTGACTTTGTCCACGCTGACAATTTGATGCTGGACATCACATTTCAGAAGCTCATGAGCAACATTCTCGTTAGCATGGTTATAACAGCCCTCATCTCAGCGGTGCTTTTTATTTTCAGAATACTTCTTTTGGTCCACTCAAGGTGGCTATACGAAGATTGCAATGCTCAAATCTACAGTGGCTGCCTGACTTTTCTCCTGAGCATATATGTTTTCTCCATAGGAGGTTATGCCGCCGGCTATATTCATGGGTTTCAATCTTCATTTGAGCTGTTTAGTGGAGAGAGTTCGTTTCCATACTACGCCGTCATATACTATGGCGCGGTTGGCCAGGCCACCTTTGCGTCTGCACTATTCATCTTGATTTTGGTACATGTTGTTGCAGCTGCATAATTTGATATTTGAGAGACACGAGATGACGGAACCTTGGAGATGATACTGAGGCATCCTGCTTGAACCCAGTATTGTGTGAAGGAAGGAGCAGGGGGTATTACGAAGGAGAGAAGATCCGAACTGGCTGTTATGGCATATCCGAAGATAGAGCAAGCTAGAAACCCTTGAGTGTCAGAAATAAATCGGTGGATGGTGTCCAATTAGGGAAAACATGGGTTCTGTGATAAAACTCATTCACAAGTTACAACAATATTGAGGAAGCTCCAGATACAGCAACGGTAGACAACAGAGCACTGCCATGGATGCTCTCGGAAATGACCGGTACTCCATTTACATTATTACTGTATCATTCTGACCCAGAAGCATATCATCATATTCTGATACAGCTTGCGAAGTAATATTCTATGTATAAAGATGCCTGGAAACCAGACCAGGGGGTTCTTTTTAAGAACTTGATACAGTAACATGATGTTCGTATTTCTAAGGAAGCTCTGGAATTTCTAGACACTAGTCTGCTCGAGGCCTACCTGGTTGGAAGGCTGGGCCGAAAGCAGTGTGATCAAGTAATGCAGCTGATCGGCAAGTTTGATCTGGCTAGGGTTCAGACTTTTTTGACTCAGTATACAGCAATATTGTATACCCTTCCACCCAAAGCATGGAAACGCTCGGTCTGGGAGAATGCGGCATGAAGCCTGGACTTCGCGGAAGGCTTTTTCACCTTACGAGACGCTGAATAGACTCACTTACTTATCCTGAAATCTGGACTTGAGTTCCGATTCTGGCTTGACAACAAGGACGAGAAATTTTGATTTTGCGTAAAAGGAAAGCGACAAACACCCTGGACTTCTTTGCGGGTTCGAATGTGTGCCTACGAGTACAGTATCACAAGTTCTCGAGTCCTACAGTAGTTGAAACAGTAGTCGCCTGTGTGCAACACAGAAACTCCCCATTCGAGTAGCATGGGACTAGGAGATGCACATAATAAATTTCAATGGGTTCAATGGGACTCACTTTGCGAAACAAAAACCCACCACGTGTACAATCAAGCGTGACTATCTGCCGCAAATTTCAGAACAATTTTCAGCGGGGGAGAAACATTTCAGACTCTGACTCATAGCTGTACTAGGTGGCACCCTGTTGAGCGATTTAATTGCAAATTCAACGATGTGTAAGAATCATATCCTTGCGGTATGGCTGTCTTCTCAACAGTTGATGAACGTTGTTCACCACACCCGACGCAGAATTATGAGAGGAATAATTCCAGGACGATACTAGACATTGTAGGCCGCAGAGGCTCGAAACGCCGTTTTAACGTCGTTCACATTGCGTCAACGCCTATGAAATACGTAATTCTCGCTACCATCTGCGCATGTGGTTCCTTGGTAGAGACATAGCCGAAAAGTTATAAAAGAGGCCCAATTCCCAGCCTGAAAAAAATCAGGACTTCGGTCCTCACACTCCGATGTGTCATGGTGTCCCTCTTGCCTGCGGGCTTGAATCTCCATGGCCAGGGCTTTCGCTGCCACGAGCCCAGCGATGTAAGACTTGTGCTCCCTCACAGCCTTAAGCCCTGTGACTGTAGAAATGTACTTCGCAGGATAGGCTCTGCGATAACAACTGTGTCTCGCAGGATAGGTCTGCGTTATCAATATGCCTCGCAGGGGAGCGTTGCGTGAACAAGGACCTCCGCAGGGGAACGCTGTGATGACAAGTGAGGCCCGCAGGGACATCTGCGACACCAAGAGTCTCCGCAGGGACATCTGCGACAACAAGAGCCTCCGCAAGAGACCGCTGCGATACAGTCGATAGCGAAAACGGCTTCTACCCTGATGACTGATTTTCTTCCCTCGGGCCCCACCGCCAAGGAACCCGTGTGTGGTTTCACTCCACTGATATTACAAAAATAGAAAGACTTCGTTGACATGACAATACAGATACAATATTATACGAATGGCTTACAAACATATCTCGTATCTGCTTATACAGCGTCATTAGAAAGTTGTAAGAATCCCCAGCATAATTGTGATACCAGGACAGATATGTTGATGGACGGAAACAGATCGTAAAATGATTTGAAATACTGTAATCATGCATTTCGTCCACTACTGTTCTGAGAAGCGAACTTTTTCACGTTAACTACTCGGGCTACAGGATGGATCGAAATTAGTTTCACCACTTGCATACGGAGAATCTATCTCGAACCCTCTCTTGAAACACGCTATACTTATTACAGTTACTCTTCCCCTGAACCTCTGTCTTAGCAGTAATTCAATACACGTGTAAATAACACTATGAAAATAGCTTCGTGATTGGCCAAGCAGAGAAGCATAAGTGCTTACCCTAAGATTAGCCAGGACCCAACTCTGTCCCTTAAATGTTAAGGCGGCTCTGTTTTGATATCCCAAGCCGGGAGCCTAGGTACTTGCAACCGGTTTATTGGCTCTCGGTACCAATTAACAGTTGTGTTTCTCAAATAAATGGCGTCTGCAACGTATCATAACACCATAATGCTCTAGGAACAAATTAGAACGGGGTTTCATGCACTTCTTTCACAATTGCGCACCGTGACTGAGATGATCAAGCTAAAGCATCAATTCCCAAATTTCCGAGGTTAACTTAGCGCCGAGCGTCTCATCTTCCTCTGACGTTTTGAGCTTGTATCCCTCTTTCTCATATAAACGACGCGCCGATAAAAGGACGCTATTGGTCCATAGATGAATCCGTGAATAACCCACCTCCCGCGCGAAGTTGGTACATTGTCGGACTAGATCCTGGCCAAGTCCCAATCCTCTAGCAGTCGGCTCCACAAGGAGAAGACGGAGCTTAGCTGCATTGTCCTTAGAGCTTCTGTCTTTGACTAGCATGATAGAGCCAATGATATTGCTATCACGCTCAGCAATCCAACAACGGTCTGATTTTGGATCGTAGTTATCCAGGAAGTCAACGGTGACACGGGCTACAAGTGCCTCAAAGCGCTCATTCCAGCCATATTCAGTGGTATATAAAGCGCCATGCCGATGTACAATCCAACCCATGTCACCAGGCCGATGAGTTCGAAGGATATATGGTGTGATAGTGGTTTCCGAGTCTTGCATATTGAAGGGCTTCCTTAAAGACGTATTCGCTTTCCTCTGATGAACGCCGAATAGATGAGCCTTTGAAAAGAAAAGTCAAGGGTATTGACGGAGAAGACAGAAGATTTGGAGTATTTGAAGTTGTGGTGGCGCCCCGTTCTTATAGCTAGAGATTAAGAGTCATTTTGCCGGCCAAAGTTGTCTTCGAAATGTCTCCACTTTTCGGCCAAGTTTTTCTTAGCCGGTCACCGAATGCACTGGAACGGTCATGATTCGGCTTTCATTAATCCTGATTGATTACAGTATCATACTTCTATGTAGGGGCGGATAGTGCCGTTCCTAGGAGCTAATCGACCCAATCGAAACAGTGAGATCGAATGAGACCCCGTTACCGTAACCAGCCAATATATTCCAGATAAACACTCTAACCACATCACCTAAAGAGGCCACTGATTCCAAAAACTTCAAGCGCACATCAAAAATACTACGATCCAGAGCAGAGATCAAGCTGGGCGTTGTCTTTCTAGCTGCATTGTTTTTTGAGGCCCGCAGATTTGCGCGGGCCACGAAGCTCCCAGGAACTTCCAGATCGCCAAGTCAAAATACATTTGCTAATAGTTAGCATCCCCCAGAACCTTACCCTCAAATCATTTCACCTACTCATTGATCAGAGGGGAAACCAATGGGAGAGGAGAGAGATTACCCACTAGTATTGTCTCTTTACAACTGGCTCATTCGTAGTGGTCACTCTAGGTGGCAAAAGGCTGACGGAGGGAGATTCTACCACGTCTCCAGTCGACACGGGCACCCATCTGTTTGACATGTTTGCAGCATCAAAAGTTCCAGAAACCCGAGAGACCGTACAGTCCTAATACAGCAGCTATTTTTATGCTGTTATTTACAGCTGTAATGCCCTGAAACGAACGAAGTGAGAGTAAGGGTTCTAATCAACATGGATGTACGTGTGCGAGACAGCAAAAAAAGAGAGGCTTAACTATGTAGGGCCCCTACTGCCACGCGCGCTCATGGTTGGTCCTTTGTCTTTCCCTTTCAGGTCTGGTGTATCAGGGCTTTAGGGTTCACCATCTATATCTGCATTGCAACTGCATATTCTCCCTCTGTGATTGCTTCGCTTCCATTCTCCAGAGTTTATTTTACTGCTACGCCCAGCGTCGTATTGCCACCATCCTTATCGAATCAACATAATGTTCAACTTTATTACCTAGTGTGCTAAACCCTTTATGACGTGCTAAATGGTGATTGGATAGAGTGGAGAAGCTCCGGGATTCAAAGCTCAATCACGATAAAGAGTTCCGCCGCATAGAATCAGTCAGACAACCACTTGTTCCGTGATGATCTCAACACTTGAAGGGAAAACACCAGATATAGTCAGGTATTGCTTTTAAAACATTTCTACTGCACGCGCTGCGAAATCAGCTTTAAAACTTTTTTTTTCCAGCCTGCAACATATCTACGATTCTCGATATCATATATCAGCTTCCCACCATTAGATTTTGCGAAAATATTTGAGCTTCGTGAAGCACCTTGGGATTAAGCACAACTTCTGTATCTCCTGCGACATTCAATTTGAAACAGCCAACAAGCTTGCTCAGCACGACGTAGGAGAGCATAATATGTGTGTCACCTAACGGCAAGTCTTGGATTCAGTTTGGTTGACTTTGTATCTGATTACCCGCTAAGGAGCACTAAAGATTATAGTACGTTGTTCTAACACAGGAGTAACCACGTAAAAAAGCCATCTATTGGCCTGAGTGTTCCAGCTGAACCTCCAATGACCATTGCACCTAGAGGTGGCAATGCGTGCGGAGATAAGTTCTTTAGTATGGTTATTGGCCACGATTTCTAGTGATGAAATGGGTTTGACTTTCATAGCAAAGTAAAGCAAATTGCTATGTTACGGTTAATAGTCATCTGTACAGTATTTGAAAACACACAGGGTATCTCCAGTCTCTCTTTATTTCCTGAGGCCCCATCTCAAGCGCCCTAGCCCATGTTAGGATGTCCATGTATCTTTGATAAGTCAGCATAAATCATAGTAAGTTAACGTTAACGTAAGTTATTGGTTTCTCCGAAGTATCCCTGTCGGTAGGGCTGCTATTGATTCTAACAAAAATTTACACGGTCTGCAGCAGGGTGTATTCGCTTGTAACTCCAATATTATAAAGTCATTAGCTTATACATAACAATTTGGTACCGTACAAGTACATAAAGTGCACACCCGAATAAGGAGGGGTTCAGAGGAAGTGAACAAAGAATCCAAGAAAACTGAATCCGATCAGGCCACAAGCGTTGATTGCCCGTAATAGCTGTTTCATATTAGGTCGCCACTGTTGAGATCAAAGAAGGACAAGTTCGTTCTGGAAGATGCTCAGCTTATGGAAATCAGTATTACCTCTCTCGGACCAAAAAGTCCAATTTGTATAGGTAATGACGGTTTCCTTGCCACTGGCCGTTGTGATCATGGTGAGCGTGTTCGGGTGCTGTTTGCTCGCTTGTGAACTCGCCAGTGTATCGATATTTTAGACCGTGTGGTTTAAGCTCGCCCGACGCAAGGTCCTCGATGTCAACAACAGAGACATCTGGGTCCTTGCACAACTTATCAAAGAGCAGTGCTTTGCCGCGGTTCCAACCATCTATATCCACTGCGGCCCAATTGTCTTCGACTGAACCCGAATAAAAACCATCCGTCCTGATCGGCAGTGGTTCATGCCAGGGGGCTGTGGCCATTCTAGCGAGTGTTTCCTTTTTTCACCAAAAAAAGTTGCTATTCGTCTTCCAAGTTAGCACGGACAGATAACTTGAGAACTAATAAAAAGACGTACTGTACACTATGAAGTTGAATCTTATATCAATCTGAAACTGGGAGGTAAAGGAGATTTGTTTCGTACTTGCTCATGAATCTGGGCAAAACATAGTTTAAATAAATACCACTTTTTGCCACTCCAACGCAGTAAAATGAAGTCAAGCGCTAATGCATATTTCATACTTGTGTCATTGCCTTTATCTTCTGCTGGCGTGAGGGTGGCAAGACTTGGCGGGAGATCGAAGGCGGCTATATCATACTGGATTGCGTGACCAGGTTGCAACTATGAACGCGCAAACCATATATGGCGACACCTAAGAAGATGAGTGAATGCCTACGTATACGACCCAGAAGGCGGGGGCAGAAGGAGGGATTTACGGCTTGCATTGACCAGTCCTTCGCCCGCTTTTCCCCGCGGGCAGTCTGGTACACGTCGAGTACAATGGCCGCCGTGTTCGTGTTTATTTCTCTACTTACTAATGGTATTTCTATAGAGGCAATGCTTGATAGATTGGTTATATACGAGCTGAGTGTGACGTTCATAGTGACGAGGAACCGCGTGTGGCCGAACCACGGATCATTTCAGCATAAGGTTTCGAGCTTAGATGATCGACATGCTTCATGTGGCGTACCTAAGAATAGCGGAGGCGACTGTTGGATCCAGTCTTGAAAGAATTGTTAAGAGATGAGGTAATGTACTAGCGTGGCTTAGTCATTAGGTTTTGAGAATCAATCGAAGAAAGAAAGTGGTGACACCAATTCCGAGACGTACTGTAACATATGCAACTGAAATTGAAGCTGATTTAGCCTTCTACTGTACAGACGCACGAGAGACCTACTGTAACAGCAAGGGGTATCCCGCTGCGAGTTTCGAGACGCACTATAAATCCCGAGTTCTGAAAACACCGATCTGCTGTTGCGCGACGCGACATTAATCGAGCGAAAATGACGGGACGGGCCGAGACGCGAACCCCTGAACCGCCCGACCGCGACGAACACGAAAAATCACCACCTCGGTTGTTGAGGCCGAGACGCGCCACCAGACCACCCAACAATTATGTCCAAGAGCAAGAACTCGATATCGAACAAACCAACGCACGTGCCCAGCAGAAAAAGAAGGCCCAGAGCAAGGCAGTAGCCCAACGTGAAGCGGTCGCCTCGGAATCATCAACAGAGAGCGAGGACCCGAACGCGTCGGAACTGTTAAAAGAACTTGTCAAACTTAGGAAGGAGATCAGAAAGCGAGACCAATCACACAAGGAAGAGCTTCAAAAAGTCAAAGAAGAATTTATCGCCCTCAAAGAAGAGTTTAGCGCCGCCCTTGCAGAAGTTCGACACGAGCTACAGACCCTGGCCGATAGACCGGCGACACCGCAACCCCACCCCGAGTCGTACTCTCCGAACAACCATGATGCAATTCTCCGCGAGATCCAATCCCTACGTGAGGAAATCAGCGTCCCCGCCCCCACGAGTTCCACGTCCTATGCAGATGTCGCCCGTACTCCTCCGACCAGTTCCCCGAGTAACATACGGACTCTTTCAACGCTGAACACAACACCAACTACTTTCACTGACACGCTATACTGCACGATAGACACTTCAAATATGACCGAAAGTGAGGGTGAGAGGGTATCCGCAGGCTCAATCAGAGCCACAATCGAGAGAGAGATCCAGACGATGGATGATCGCACTCACTGGCGCTGCCGCGCGGTCACTGTGAGCCCAAGAAATACCAACCGGATCAGAATCGCGTGTCGCGATGAAGCCGAACACCAGCTAGTGAAGAAAGTGGTGGAAGCAAAGATCGATGCGGGAGCCCGAGTGCTCCGGGATGAGCTCTACCCGATCAAGGTCGACAGCGTTAAGAGGACTGCAGTACTGGATGAGAACCATGAAATCCTAACAGGAGCGGCGGGAGCCGTGGGTGAGGAGAACGCGGCTACTGTAGCTAAATTGACATGGCTGAGCAGCAAGGAAGCCGCAAAACCTTATGGATCGATGGTCGTGTACCTAACCAAAGGGAGCGACGCGCGGAGGCTCCTGGCCGATGGATACTTCCATGTCGGAGGAGAATCCGGGACCACTAGCGTCTTTGAGTATCGGCCACGACCGGTGCAATGTTATAACTGCCAGGGGATTGGCCATAAGGGATTCCAGTGCAAGAACGCCCAGAAGTGCGCGAAATGCGCCACGGAAGGCCATCGTCACAGTGACTGCGATCGCACGGTTCCAAAGTGCGTACCATGCGGAGGCCCTCACGAATCCTACAGCAAGAACTGCCGGAAGCTCTATCCATCACGTTATGAATAATTCTCTTCGAATAATTCAGCTGAATGTGAGGAAACAGGGTGCAGTGCACGAGAGTTTAATGAACGATGAAGACACTCGGAACGCAGTGGCGCTAGCGATTCAGGAACCCCAAGCGAGGAGGATTCAAGGCCAGCTGTTGACCACCCCGATGGGGCATCACAAGTGGACAAAGATGGTGCCCTGCATGTGGAGGGAAGGGAGATGGGCAATCCGGAGCATGTTATGGGTCAACAAAGAAGTCGAAGCGGAGCAAGTCCCAGTGGAGTCCCCGGACCTCACAGCAGCGCTGATCAGGCTCCCCGAGCGACTGATTTTCATGGCATCAGTCTACGTAGAAGGAGGCAATGTCTCAGCCCTGGAAGATGCGTGCAATCGCTTACGCGACGCGATCACAAAGGTACGACGAGAGGCGGGCGCTGTGGCGGAGGTTCTGATTGTGGGGGACTTCAACCGACACGATCAACTTTGGGGTGGAGACGAGGTGTCGCTGGGAAGACAAGGAGAAGCGGATCCGATCATCGACCTCATGAATGAATTTGCACTCAGTAGCTTGCTCAAACGCGGCACCAAGACATGGCACGGCGGCGGACAAAGTGGAGACTGCGAGTCCACCATTGACCTCGTCCTAGCTTCGGAAAATTTGACGGAATCCATGGCGAAATGTGCTTTACTCGACACAGACCACGGCTCGGACCACTGCGCAATTGAGTCCGTATTCGACACGCAGTGGTCGGGCCCAAGGCATCAAGAACGGCTTTTGCTGAAGAATGCACCGTGGAAGGAGATTAATGCTAGAATCACGAGTGCTCTAGCCATCCTTCCGTCAGAGGGTACAGTGCAGCAGAAAACCGACCGACTCATGTCAGCAGTGTCCGAAGCGGTGCACGCTTTAACGCCGAGGGCGAAACCTTCACCACATGCGAAGCGATGGTGGACAGATGACCTCACTCAGCTCCGTCATATATACACGTACTGGAGAAACTGTGCTCGCTCCGAGCGACGGGCGGGTCGGAAAGTGCCTCGGCTTGAAAAAACGGCTCAAGATGCGGCCAAACAGTACCACGATGCCATCCGCAAACAAAAGAAGAAGCACTGGAATGAGTTTCTCGCAGACAATGACAACATCTGGAAGGCCGCCAAGTACCTCAAGTCGGGAGACGATGCAGCGTTCGGGAAGATCCCGCAGCTCTTAAGAGCGGATGGAACTACTACCAACGATCACAAGGAGCAAGCGGAGGAATTGCTATCCAAATTCTTCCCACCTTTACCAGGGGACATCGATGAGGAGGGAATGAGACCACAAAGAGCGGCCGTGGACATGCCAGCCATCACTATGGAAGAGATAGAACGACAGTTATTTGCAGCGAAATCGTGGAAGGCTTCGGGAGAAGACGGCCTACCGGCGATCGTTTGGAAGATGACCTGGCCCACAGCCAAGCACAGGGTCCTCGATCTTTTTCAAGCCTCGCTGCAGGAGGGCACACTGCCAAGACAGTGGAGACACGCGAAGATTATACCGCTCAAGAAACCGAACAAAGATGACTACACCATGGCAAAGGCATGGAGGCCTATCTCACTCCTTGCGACACTCGGAAAGATATTCGAGTCGGTGGTCGCAGAGAGGATCTCGCACGCGGTGGAGACTCACGGACTGCTCCCGACGAGCCATTTTGGAGCGCGAAAGCAGCGGTCCGCAGAGCAAGCACTGGTGTTCCTGCAGGAGCAAATCTATGCGGCATGGCGCGGCCGGCGGGTGCTGAGCCTGATCAGCTTCGATGTTAAAGGAGCCTACAACGGAGTATGCAAAGAACGACTGATCCAGAGGATGAAAGCCCGAGGCATACCGGAGGTCTTGCTTCGTTGGGTAGAGGCCTTCTGCTCGGAACGAACGGCGAACATCCTGATTAACGGGCAACTATCTGAGACTCAAAGCTTGCCACAAGCTGGACTGCCGCAGGGCTCGCCCTTGTCTCCGATTCTATTTCTCTTCTTCAACGCAGACCTTGTGCAAAGGCAGATCGACAGCCAGGGAGGAGCAGTCGCCTTTGTGGATGATTTTACCGCATGGGTGACTGGACCGACTGCGCAGAGCAACCGGGAGGGAATTGAAAACATTGTCAACGAGGCGCTCAATTGGGGAAAGAGAAGCGGAGCGACATTCGAGGCCGACAAGACGGCCATCATACACTTTGCTCCCAAGATGCGCAAATCGGACCATTCACCATTCACCATCAAGGGGCAGACAGTGGTACCAAAAGACCACGTCAAGATCCTGGGTGTCGTGATGGACACAAGACTCAAGTATAAAAAACATATTGCGAGGGCAGCGTCTAAGGGTCTTGAAGCAGCGATGGAGCTTCGGCGACTCCGTGGTCTATCCACGGCAACTGCGCGGCAGCTATTCACGTCGACAGTGGCACCAGTTGTGGACTATGCCTCCAACGTGTGGATGCACTCGTGCAAGGATAAAGCCATGGGGCCGATCAACCGAGTCCAAAGAGTAGGAGCGCAAGCCATTGTGGGGACATTTCTCACGGTCGCGACTAGTGTCGCAGAGGCGGAGGCTTACATAGCTACTGCGCAGCGTCGATTTTGGAAACGAGCCGTGAAGATGTGGACAGACATCCACACTTTGCCGGATACCAATCCTCTCCGCCGGTGCACCGATCAGATCAGAAAGTTCAGAAGATACCACCGCTCACCGTTATATCACGTAGCCGATGCGCTTAAGCAGATCGACATGGAGACTTTGGAAACGATTAACCCCTTCACGCTAGCCCCGTGGGCGGAACGCGTTCAGACTGACATTGATGGACAGCACGAGTCCCAGGCCGAAGCAGGCGGGTACGTGCAGGCCGCGGTTAGCAGCTCGGCACGGAACGAACTGGTGGGGTTTGGAGTGGCCATCGAGAAGCGGCCACCTCGAATTCGAAAGCTCAAGCATAAAGCGCTGTCCATCACCTTGGCTGCAAGAGCGGAGCAGAATCCATTCTCTGCAGAACTGGCAGCCATGGCACACGTATTGGGCACGCTGGCGGGACTGAAAGACCACACGATCACACTGCTCACAAGCAACAAAGCGGCGGTTCTCACGCCGAGGAATCCCCGACAACAATCCGGCCAGGAGTTCGTGTGTCGGATATACAAGTCGATTAAGAAGTTGCAAAGAAACGGGAAATGTGTCAAATTCCGCTGGATTTCCACCAGTGAAGACAACAAGCTGCTAGGTCTGGCTAAAGCACAGGCGCGAGCCGCAACGCAACAAGATGCCCCCTCACAAAAACGCGCCCCGAGAATGAAATCAACCACACTTAATCTCGCACGGTCTCAGGCAGTCCCTGGACATAGCCTGCCAATGAACGTTGGGAAACACGCCAAACGAATAGATGCAGCACTTCCAGGAAAACACACACGACTGCTGTATGATCGCTTATCGTGGAAAGAAGCGACTGTGCTAGCCCAACTCCGGACTGGCATGGCTAGACTCAATGGGTATCTCAATCAAATCAATGTAGCAGAAACGGACCAATGCGATTGCGGACAAGCGAGAGAGACCGTGGAGCACTTCCTCTTCCGATGTCGGAAGTGGACTGCCCACCGGACGGAAATGTTACAATGCACCCAGATTCACCGCGGAAATATTTCCTTCTTCCTAGGAGGGAGACAGCCTTCTAATGATCAGAAGTGGACGCCAAACCTAGAGGCAGTACGGGCCTCTATACGTTTCGCCATTGCGACAGGCCGACTCGAGGCCACTTAAACATATCGACCAACACAACTCCCTCACCCCCTCTTTCGACCCTACTCACCCATCACCTCGTGCTACAAACGGTAGACGCGCTTCAACTGCCGAAGATAGGATGTTGAACACTTGGAGAAGCGCCTTCAAGTCAGCCTACTAACAAACTACTAACCCACGAGAATCCGCTGCGATACGAGCATCTGAGACGACATACTCTGAATGCAATCATGTATGGGCTCTGATGAGACACAGTACTGTATATATTATGACATGTATAGTAGATCAGCGATAGTTGCCCTTTCGGCTTAGCTGCCGGGCGTTAATGAATTGTTTGTTTGTTTGTTTGTATGTAAATCGAATGCACAGTACAACAAAATCGCTTTGAATACTCACAGTAAATAGTAGAGAGGGGTTTCAATAACTTTGGCCTCAAGTAAGATGTGCCTAATAAACTGTTCATTCATTAGAAACCTCACCGCCTTCGCACACTTAACGACAGAGTCCTCCAATATGACTGTACACTCATACCGTAACACGGATAGGTTCATCGCCCGCGTTTTCCTTCTTGCGAACTTGCCCTGCGCACCAGTGTGGCTTTCTCGAACAAGCGGAGGATGACGAACCTGCATGTGCGTTGATCACCAGTCCCTTCACCGCCCGAACACTGCACATTTCACCACACCGACATCAACATTAACATCAACACGTCAACACGTCAACACGTCAACACACCAGCTCTAAATCTCTACTTTCACTTCACACTGGCATAACAAACATCCTACCGAAACATCATCACCACACAATATCGCTATGTGTTCTACACCCAAATCAAGCGATTTTACGTTGCAGCAAACGGATCATCGACTGCGGAAAAGGCATACAGAGTGGGAATACGGATCGCTAAAGATGAATCCAAGCTTAGATTGAGTTGGTGATTGATTTTGGGACAATGTGTTTTCATTTTGTCTATGCTATGGTGCTTTGCGACACGAAACAGATTATGAAGATGCTGAGCAGGTCTTGGCTTCATCGAATGCTGTTGCAAATTCGAATACTAGTCTCTGACACCACGAAGAGGTGCCTGCCCATCGTCAGAGGATCAGGACCGGCACTGCGGCGCTACGGGCCGCCTAAATAAGCACAAATTTGATAACGCAGGGCTGAAGGCTGCATGGAAGCTCAATATTATACAATCACATGGCTCAAGGCTGTGAGGCAGAACTTGGTACAAACAAACAAACAATTCATTAACGCCCGGCGGCTAAGCCGAAAGGGCAACTATCGCTGATCTACTATACATGTCATAATATATACAGTACTGTGTCTCATCAGAGCCCATACATGATTGCATTCAGAGTATGTCGTCTCAGATGCTCGTATCGCAGCGGATTCTCGTGGGTTAGTATTTTGTTAGTAGGCTGACTTGAAGGCGCTTCTCCAAGTGTTCAACATCCTATCTTCGGCAGTTGAAGCGCGTCTACCGTTTGTAGCACGAGGTGATGGGTGAGTAGGGTCGAAAGAGGGGGTGTGGGAGTTGTGTTGGTCGATATGTTTAAGTGGCCTCGACGATTTACATACACGTATACCATTCTCAGCTCTCATATATATTTCTGGGCGTCGTTCTATGATTTATAGGCTACTACAGTACATCCAGAACTTCAGGCCCTCCAGCTCACCGATGACGAATGGTCGACACTTCAGCAAGTAGCCAAGATTCTCAAGTCATTCTGGGACCACAAAAACTCCGTTTCAAAGGCATGCCCAACAATTGTGGAAAGTCTACCAATTTACTAGAGCTTGGATGATTTGTTAAATGACGTTCGGAATGCGGAGGGAGATTTTGAAGACGTGAACTTTGAAATACGCGGTGCGGTGGAAAGAGGCATTCGGAAGATGAACAAGTTTGCTTAAAAAAAAATAGACGACAACCTTCTTTACTATGTGGCTTCCGTGTTGGATCCGCGCATCAAATCGTCTCTGATTGTGTCTCAAATGAGCGAGCAAGATTCGGCGGTTATCGTCTCGCAAGTGCGGGAATTCCTTAAAAGAGAATACCCCCCAGAGCCATTTGTGTCGTGTGAAGTTGACCATCCACGTCCAGCGGGGATGTCGGAAACAATGTGGAGAGTTCTGCGCAAAATCCAGCCATCCAAAGAGGTCTCTTTGTCGGATATTGATAAGTACTTGGATTCCCCGCCGGTCAACTGGTCCCACCACATGATCGGCGATGCGGTCGCAGAATGGGTCCTAAAGTGGTGGAAGGCTAACTAACGCCTTTAATTCTCCACTCATGGCAAAAGCCGCTCGCGATTATCTACCCATCCCTTCGGCAGAGGTCGGGATTGGATGCGAATTCAGCAATGCTCGAGATGTCTTGGGCCTCCGAAGGCACCGTCTGAACGCGGAGACTATGCGATGGCTGATGCTATTGAGAGGAAAGTCTCAGACATAAATCTCCATTAGTGCATGCATGTAATTATTGAAGTATTCGGATGTAATGAAACGAATGGTAATGTATGGTATCTTATTATATGAATAAATATGAATTAATCATATATTCATGAATAATCATATTCTTTTCGGATCCCTACAATTTAGTGTGCTTCGTAGTAGTCGAGAGTCAGGAGAGTTCCACAGATTACTGTAGATGAACCTTAACTTGATACGAAGTTAAGTATCATTGGTTTTCTAGATTTACTCATTACCCATGTATGACGTGATGGCATAAATCATCTCAACCACTTAGTAGCCGGCTGCATTTCCCGCAAATGACGCTCATCTATACGGACATGATTTAAGAGTAGAATATATATCTTACCCAATTTGCCGTCCGCTCTGTTGCACTTTCTAACGTGATCTTCCCATTCATTTTAACCCAAATTCGCGCTCACTTAACAGCCCGTCTAACGAAACTGTTTCACATCTCTTCCGCCGCTCTTTAATCACAGCACAAAATGGGAGATGATTTCTGGGGTTTCGATTGTGATCCAGAATCTTGGTCGAATCCACCACTGGACCACTCCCAGTGCAATAAAACGGATGATTCCTTAAAAGACCTAAGCGGGGACATCCCGGGTTGTCAACTATCTGCTCTACGAACCAAGCGGCCAAATCACATGTGCTTAACATATCGTTAAAAGCCCCGAATTCAGAATACACGATGACCACCCTCCAGTCGCGTGAGAAAAAAGACACAGCTACTCGTAATCTTGACGATTTCTGGGGGTTTGACTCTACCCTGCCGACGCTCCCATCGAGTACAACCTCGACAGATGATGTCATCAAGTTAGCCTCTCAAAAATTGGCCTTACTAAAGCAGGCTCAAGAGGAACATAGATAGTCTCGACTGGCTTAGTCAAAGCAGCAGTTTGACTCAGACCATTAGCATACTGCCCAAAGGACGAGCGAGATTGTAATTGGACTTAACGTGGCTGTCGCACGATTCGCAGGCTTCGAATACAGTGCCTTGTTGATGTTGGCTTGTCAACTCCCGTATTGTTTCCGGCCGATTGGAAATATCTCTTTATCTCATTACCCCTATATCTCGCTATTCTATGAATCAATTCTGGTTACACAAGCTCGAGACACGATTTCATCGCTCTATACCAACCAGCCCGTTTACTTTCACGAATAGCACGCGTCGCTTCAAATCCATTCATGGCTGACATAGAAATGTCCATAAATATCCCTCTGGCTTTTCCTAAACCAGGTCGATGGCTTGCTCGCCATTCCTTGCGGCATGTACGGCCCGGACATTCCGTTTCTGGCCCGGACCTTCCGTTTCTTCATAAAAGTAATTATGAGTCTAAGATTTATATAATTATTATCCACAATCAAGACCCAAGTCTACTTTCATAGACGACACATCAACGCGAACTGGATTGCTCAACGAGGAGGAAGAAGATGAAAGGGCACAATTGTTAGAACCGGTAGATGTGGCACGAGACTGGCCTTCTGTATCTAAACTGGTTCTGAAGCATCATATTCTGTGGAATCTGTAACGCTTTTGCTCGAATCTAGCATTAGGTGGAGCGAATTGACATCTGGTGGTCTTAGAATTTCGGATGACAAGACTGTAGACTCACCAACTAGTGGAGCTGGGCTTGAGACCTTGCGCCGTTCTGGGATGATGAATTCTTGTCCGATTCCTGGCTGACCCCTCATATGAAATACCGGGTTTTGACTTCAGCAGTATAATATGCCCCTAGCCAGTTTGTGTGGACCGTAAGGTCGATGAAGGATCATCAGAGAGCCGCTCGACTCGTTGCAAAAGATGAGTGAGCTTGGCAATGCGGGGAGGAAATCGTGCAACCTTTGAGCAAAAAGATCGCTCTGCTCCGCAAACATAGCATTGATAGACCCGTGGGTAGGTGGCACGAGTTGCAGGTCATACCAATTCGTGACATACCGAGCAATCGAGGACCAACATGGATACTGGTGGCCTACACCAACATCCTTTTACAAACTTGATCCTGTCTAGATATGAGCAGCAGCCATTACCACTATGATAACTTCTTCCAGCCCCAACTTTATATATCATGCAAACCTATTTTCGTTTTCCGACCTACCCCGGAAAACGGTGCTTCCTACTATTACGAATATATGTCAAATCCAGTCTGATGAGGAAGTTTTGGTGGGATGATAGTGTGTTGCCCTCTCCACTGTGTCGCTTACAGATAAATTCAGTTTACTAATTAACAGTACTCTTAATTATGGCTTGGGTATGTTTCAAGAGGCACGCTCACTTCATAGCACTGACTTCTCCGCGACTAGGTACTCGCCTTGGGAAATCAGGCCGTAATTCTCTGTATGAATTCTTGACCAAGCAGGAGCCAAGAGTGAAGTTAACTCAGTCATAGGGGGATATGTCTATGCGGGCTTTGGGGTACACATAGCGAACTTAGACTTGTCTGTCTTGAGCACCTATTAGAAGGTATACCAAAATTAAAAATCAATTTATAATGCCAAAGGAACTCTATAGCTGATACTATTGTGATCCCCTAGACAGTTTTAGCCGCAGCAATTATCTATATTCCCGCCCTTGCGCTCGCAAAACTGTCACTGCTGATGCTATATTATAGGCTTTAGATACCCCTTATCTAGAAAATAGGGGTCATTTATATATTTGGTATCGGCTGCCTATAAGTAATATCTCCTATCTCTATAGGATCTTATGCCTACCTACGATCCTTTTATAAGGTTAATGGCTACCGTGGCTTACTTTTTATTTTAAATTTTCTAGATGGCCGATAAAGCACCGCTTTAAATCTATTCCGTAGGACTAGTATGTTACACCTCGGACGGCAGAAATTCGCACGGCGTTCAAGACAGATCTTCTATACTAGATATACTATTTGCTTCGGGTTGTCGATACATAGAGAGCGGATTTATAGAGTCTCGAGGGCCATTCTGACGTAGTTAATTCAGTGCCCTTCTTGCCTAACGGCCGGTTACTAGCGTCCGGCTCTGAGGATAGTACAGTGCGGCTCTAAAGTCCGGCATCAGGTGCTTTACAAAAGACCATATTAACTGCGAAGTCGTTTCAACCTGTTTGACCACAAAAAAGCAGGTAATAAAACTTCACTTTTGCCCGCGTATAGGTAGGTGCAAGGCCCAGCATCTTGAATTGATCGCTGAGAGGTACTATGATTTTGCTTCTTCTTGCACATCTTATTAGTTTATTAATGCACTTAAGACCTAACCAGGGCGCCACTGAGAATCGCTATCTTCTAACTTCGTTTTTCCTGGAATCCTTCCGTCTGATTCATGATTCATTCTTTCCTTAGTCTTGCCTACATTATGCAGCATTACATTTTTTGGGGACTACAGGCGGTTTGCTTATTCCACAAATGTGGCTGAAAGTCAATATTCAGCTGTAGTTTGAATGGCAAATTTTGAAAAACAGTTCCTTGTTTGGGGGAAAACTAGGGCGTTAGATGAGAAGATCATGATGATTTGACTGAAATTTAAAGTTGTGCGGTTCCTTCCTTCCCTTGCATTGCTCTGTTGTGTGCATTTTGAATGGATTGCTTAGCCAATCGACTTAACTCGGCAATGAAGCGAACGAGCGCGTGGTACTGGTTCATCTCCTTTTGCGAAGGCCGTTTCGTGGACAGTTGGAAGATAGTCGCGGGAGCCCGACTAATGAGCAACAAATCGTCTGTTGCTAGCTGATCAAAAGGACGAAGAAGTATGTTGCAAAAAAGGCTAATTGAAGCTGAAATGGGATAGAAAATCACCACCCTGAGCCGATGAGCATGTGATTCTTCAAAATTTTGGAGACTCTTACCAAAAATTTGGGTCATGTATAAAGATTTGAGAGGCTTTCAATAAGTGGTGCAGCGAGGAGCGACTCGCCGCCACACATATATCAAAGCTAGAGTGTACCCCTGGTATTTGAGTTTTATTCTCTGACCACTGTATGCACCGACTGCTCGCCTGATGGACCATAGTAACGCAATGATGAAAGTCGAGATGTATCAGAATCCAGCGAATTTCCTTGCAAGCAGCCTCCGATGGCTCTGTGAAAGCCGGTCGGTGAGTTTCAGGCAGCCCACCCCACCATTCATCCAATTCTGCACCAAGCTTCCGGATCGCCTTTACAAGCTCTGCGTCGGTTGCAGTCAATGCTTGTGGAGAGTACAGGAAGTTGTAGGCTCTGGACTTAATAATACTAAGTCGTAAATCGGTCCAAAAGGGTTGTTCCGATGCATGCATATATACTGTACACTCACTATAGGCTGCGGGTAGCGTTAGATCACAATGCTCATCGCAGATCACCGGCAGCCGGCCAGTCCGCAAGGAAACGTCCTTGTCAAGTATGTAGCAGACCCAAAAAAGTGTCCTGACATGGGAGTCCGATGGATGATGTCCACCGAACACAAAGATAATTCGGGAGGCAATTGCAATATATTGGTCTACGGCTTGAATATTGCCGTGCATCATTTGGCAAAGTGCCTATTTGAATCGGTCAGCCTTTGTCCGATGATAATTTGAGGCCCCCCTGCCCAATCACGCCCATACCATAATCAATATTGTTTGGAGACTTGCTATAGTGGGCTTCTGTAATAGAATGACAGGAATCAATAGGTGCAACTTCTGGTTGCATGACGTAATGTCCATTGTTGAGGGTGTGTCGGCTGTAAAACTGGTTACAAAAATGATGAGTGCGTACGCACATGCACGTGTGTCCATGGTTGCCGTGTTGTCGTATAGGGAATCTATAAGGGTGGGGAAGGCTCCAACTTCGATTACCGGGAAAACTCTAGAGAGCCTTGTATCGTCAAACAGATCGACACAATGATCTAAGTCTTCACGAGAAGGTAAATCCCATAGATATCCTGAGTTGTGCATGCTCATTAGTCTGCAAGGCTCAGATTCCCCCATTTGACTTTGAAAATATTCGTCCTTCCTGATTTCTTCGCCAGTACGCGATTTGACCCATTCTTGGCACTCGGCTGAGAAGAAAGGAAGTCCCTTATACAAACTGAAGATTCCGCTTTCTGCTCCCTGTTTGAAGAAGACTGCTTCGGTATCCACAGGACGTTCATATGTTGTGTGACGAAGCCCTGACACAGAATCAGGATCATGTTCTTGTGGCTCTTTGCAAGCATCCAGGAGAATCCTCGACTGGAGGCGACTGATTTCTTCCATTGTACTGGCCATGTTCTGCTGTAGTCGTTCCAACATGGCGCTAGTATCGTCGCTCTGGCCTTGAGATCTTTTTGAAAAATATCAGCCAAAAAAAGTTCAGATCTTTCGACAGAGAAAAATTCACCTATTTGCAACAATACTTTGCCTTTTCTTCCGGTGTTTTCGCTTATACGTGCATTGAGCACTATGGTGGCGGCACCATTCACAGGATGGTTTTGTGCCATCACATCGGATCTAATAATCGATCAGAATAATACTGGTAGAAGACACCAGCAAATAGTCTGACCTTCCTTTGCCTGCATGAATCACAGGCATGGAAATTCCGGCGAACGACGGTCTCTCTAATATCCGTTGGGTGTGGACTGGAATTGCCCCCAGTAGGGACGGAATCCTCGGTCATTGTTTAATGAGAAGTCTGCTAAAACAAGAGATATTGGCGCACAGTGAGGATCACTGATCGCATCGATACTTATCTGGTAGACTGAACCTGTTCTCGGCAGGATATATCCTCACCGCTCATCACATGACCATCTCATATCCGGCAAAGGAAAATAGATATTCCGGATTCTTAACGCAATTTATTGCGTAAGCATACCTTGATAACGTGATCCATAACGAAGCTGCGCGCATACCGAAGCTGCGCACCCCAAAACACATAGTAAATGCGATAAATTACCATGTCATATCCCAACAACCCTGTCTATTTATGATAATACATTAAAACCATATAATCTAGACAGTATCTCTAGCCTACTGGAAGTATTGGTGAACATATATGTTAAAAGTTACGATGCAAGTCGGGAATGATGACGGATAAGAAGGTGCAATATAGATGATCTTTCAATTGACCACCGAGGTCTTTACGTCTGGAGATTCTCATTTGTATGATGATCTCCTCATAAACCAGAAAACTCTGCCTTAAGCTAGTCTTAATTAGATTTCCCAGGCGATGAATTATCGTGGCAGCCGTCATGGCTCATTCATGGCATGAACCATGGCCGGCCACCATAAATCTCAACAATATATATATCAATGTCCCCAATGTCAAAATTACGCCGTATTTCAAGGCAAACTATCGAAATGATCATCTTAGTGGTTTGATGTTAAGGTATGTTATTTCATACACTAAGAAAAGCCTATAACCTACTATTCAAGTAAAGATAACATATGATTGTTGATGTATGAAGTAGTAATTGATCGAATTTACTATGTGTTCTGGGGTGCGCAGCTTCGGTATGTGCGCAGCTTCGTTATGAATTACGTCACTTGGAATTATATGAGAGGTAAGCAGGCTTGCGGACTTAAGCATTTAGCTTTGACTATCATATTTTAGTAATAACATTTACTTCCACATTCTATACGTGAGCTAGCTTGTCTGCCACGTTTACTCTTAAGCGGAGCCCGCAGGGGCAGGGACAACCGTGTCTGGGCGTGTTTCCAGTTAGCGATGATTTAGCCCTGCACGATGTTCCAAAGCCAAAAAAAGAATCTTAAATCAGTATAAAGTGGGCCTAATTGCGGGTGAAATATGTGAGCCAAATTCTCCGCTCTTACAACCAGACTTTTCTGATTCTTTGGAGCGCAAACCATCCAATGGCCATTAACCGTCGACCACTTTTCCTATTCCTATATTATAATTAACTGAAAAGAGGCGCATGACATGATAATTCTCATCGTCAGTAAACATTGTGCTACACTTGTGCACATAAGTTGCCTGATTCATCTGTTCTGAATGCTGCTTATGCTCGTGGATTTCACGCAATCTCCGCCAACGGCATTGAAAAGCCCACGAAGCCCTCGTTACAAAACATTGTATCGTTCGGCTCAATTGATTCCCATTGCCAGGATAAAAGGTCGTCGATCATTGGGTTTTGCAGGGCCATAGACTGTAAATCATCGCAAGGTACATTCGTCATATAGCCATTGACTGGCGGACTTAAAGCATCCCAAGTTAGATATTGATTGAAGGCCGATTCTTGTGAAGATGACAAATCATGTATACTGAGGCCATCTTGCATAGAAATTGAATGTGAAATGGTGGGCGCAGAACTAAGTGTCTGGAGTGGAGATCCGTTCGAGAAACGTCTCGATGCGAGGACTTGTTGGAGTGAAACGCAATGACCTGATGGGTAGGAAGCGCTTTGTGAGAAATCGTCCAACGTAGTTGGACTTTGCATTTCTTCTCTTGGGTTTGGCTGCCACGCGCTCTCTGCTCTGCCTTCCACAAATCGACTCCTAGTCGCATCCAGGCAACCCAATTGTGCGAGTAGACCGTGAACGGATGGACGTGTTTCATTGAATTCTAAAGGCTCATGCGGCCAACTTTTGCCATGGCAAGCCATTTGATACAAGACCTGCAACCCATCCACTAGCCACCCCTGCTGACTCTCCAGCATCTCCGCATATCTAAAGGAAATGATCTTAGTATCTCCACTTAAAGGGTTGAACAAGACGCTTACCCTTTAGGATAGGCTTTCTTCGAAATATTCCGTTTCAGGTCGAATGAACATACGCTGTTGGTGGACCGGCACAGCTTACATGGCCTTTCACCATCGCACTGCAAGCTTGCGCAAAATTGATAAGTCTATTATTCCGCTCAAGTACAGGGTCTATCAATATCTGACCTTTGACTTCTTCATTCTGCAACGATCGCAAGCCTTGCTAGTTCTTTTCCTAATACGGCCTTCTGCCGCATCTTGTCTGTTCGAATGGATTGAAGAATACATCATGATTTTCAAATCATAGATGTCAAGGATGGTAACAGTCTGTTTTATGCGTGCAAGATCGATGCGGCAAAATGCGAAGTCTTTAGGGGGAAGCAGGGTTTATAGGGCAACTGACTTTAGATTTACGGCCGAACTCAGCGCATCTCGGGCGTTCGGGGACTAAAAGAAATCCGAACCTGCAAAATGAACCTTGGATACTCGCAGTTGGTATCCAAAGGATGCAGATCCACTGGCTGATGTAAGCGCATCTCGGATGCCGCGTGGATCTTCATCCGACCGAAGATTAGGCTTTGGATATTGCAGTTTGAACGTTGAAGAAGCCGAAATGCGTACATCCACTGATAATGCACATCCTATGTACCACGGCGGAGCAGGCCGGATGTTCTGTACCCTTTGCTTCCGTCGAATATCTTACCGTTGAGCCCGAAGGGCCAAGCTCGCCAATTTGAAGTATAAAAAGACGGAAGATCCTCAAGTTTTCTTTTTGTTTCATGTTTAAGAGATAATTGCTTTCTTTTCTTTGAATTTCCCTCACCAACTCCGGCTCCGCCTCTAAGGACTTCCTCCCTTGACGCAAAGTACGCCGCCCTCAGCCCCCGAACTTCCTCGCTTGTCCTATAGCTCCTCGACCATCAACATGTCCGAAACGACGTTGGGAGAGGAGAGCCACGACTCTGCATGGAGCCTCACATCGAAAGTCAAGGAACTCAATCAACAACTATTGGATTCAGGTCTGAAGAGACGTGAGCTGGGATTACAATGGGACAGCCTCACCGTGCAGGCTCCGAGTGTGGACGCCGCCGTGAAAGACAATTCTCTGTCGCAGTTCAATCTTCTCGGCCAAATTCGAAATGCACGCCGAAAACCACCCATCAAAACTATCATCAATAACAGTCACGGCTGCGTCAAGCCGGGAGAGATGCTTCTCGTACTGGGCCGACCCGGGGCTGGATGCACCTCTCTCTTGAAGATTCTCACCAACCGTCGACTCGGATACTCCATTGAGGGCAACGTGAACTTTGGCTCAATGAATCACGAAGAAGCCGCACAGTATCGGGGCCAGATTGTAATGAACACCGAGGAAGAAATCTTTTTCCCAACATTGACAGTCGGCGACACTATCGATTTTGCGACCCGATTGAAGTCGTCAGTCCGCCCACCACAGGGCTTTGAGAACGTGGAAGAGTACCGCCAATCTTTGAAGGCTTTCCTTCTCGAGTCTATGAGTATTTCCCATACGGACAATACTAAGGTTGGCAACGAGTACGTCCGCGGCGTTTCAGGAGGAGAGCGGAAACGAGTTTCTATCATTGAATGCCTTGCAACTCGTGGCTCTATCTTCTCTTGGGACAATAGTACACGTGGTTTGGATGCGAGTACAGCTCTAGATTGGGCCAAAGCTTTACGTTGTATGACGGACGAGTTCGGCTTAACGACAGTTGTCACCTTGTACCAAGCGGGCAATGGGATCTACGACCTTTTCGACAAAGTCCTCGTGTTAGATGAAGGTGAGCAGGTCTACTTTGGACCAATGGAATCAGCCCGAACTTTCATGGAGGATCTCGGTTTTATCTGCCGAGATGGTTCGAATGTGGCAGATTTCTTAACAGGAATTACGATGCCCGTAGAGCGAGAGATTCGACCAGGGTATGAAGAGAAGTTTCCTCGAAATGCCAAGTGCATTCGCTCACACTATGAAAATTCTCCTATCTACTCCAAAGCCGTCAAGGAGTACGACTATCCTTCCACCTCTCTCGCCAAGGAACGCACGGAAGCGTTCAAGCAGGCTGTTTCAGAAGACCAGCATCAATCCCTCCCAAACTCCAGTCCTCTGACCACCCATTTCGCTCATCAGATCAAGGCATGTATCATTCGTCAGTATCAAATCATTCAAGGAGATAAAGCGACCTTCCTAATCAAACAAATCTCTACTTTGGTTCAAGCCTTGGTTGCGGGCTCTTTGTTTTACAATGCATCTCCAGACTCCCCTGGCCTATTCCTTAAGTCTGGGGCCTGTTTCTTTGCTGTGCTATACAATGGCATTTTGATGCCCATGTCCGAAGTGACGGATTCCTTCACTGGCCGCCCTGTCTTGATCAAGCATAAACACTTTGCCTTCTTTCATCCAGCCGCCGTTTGTATCGCTCAAATTGTTATCGATATTCCGACTATCCTGCTTCAAATCAGCCATTTCACACTTGTTCTATACTTTATGGTCGGCCTTCGGACCTCGGCGTCCGCATTCTTCACTCACTGGATCATTTTGTTCGCGTCGACCATGGCTTTGACCGCCATGTTTCGATCAATCGGTGCCGCATTCCGGTCCTTCGATAGTGCCTCTAAGATCTCTGGATTCTTGACTACGGCACTCGTGGTTTACACCGGCTACCTGATTCAGAAGCCTAATATGCATCCTTGGTTAGGCTGGATTTTCTGGATCAATCCTATGGCCTACGCATTTGAAGCCATTCTTGCCAATGAATTTAAGAATTCAAACATCGACTGCTCCAGCTCTAACCTGATTCCCTCTGGGCCTGGCTATTTGGACTCAACCCATCAATCTTGTGCCGGCGTTGGGGGTGCTGTTGAGGGGCAAACCTTCGTGACAGGCGATAGTTACCTCGGTTCATTGAGTTACTCGGTTTCTCATATTTGGCGGAACTTTGGTATTCTCTGGGCGTGGTGGATATTATTTGTTACTGCCACAATTGTTTTGACCACTCTCTGGAAAGACTCTGCTGAAAGTGGCTCATCGCTTTTGATTCCGTATGAAAGGAGAAAACACTTCGTCGGCCGGGCGGATGAGGAAGCGCAGTCCAAGCAACACCAACAAGAGCCCTCAAGCGCAGAGCATAGAAAAGCCAACACGGAGAAAATCAGCGATGAGGGCGATAGTGGGCTGGCACGTAACACATCGGTTTTTACCTGGAAGAACCTGACTTATACGGTGGAAACCCCTACTGGAAACCGAGTTCTATTGGACAACATTCAAGGTTGGGTTAAACCAGGAATGCTTGGTGCATTGATGGGGTCATCTGGTGCAGGAAAGACAACACTTCTCGATGTTCTTGCTCAGCGCAAGACAGACGGTACCATTCAAGGCTCAATCTTGGTAGATGGCCGGCCTCTTCCAGTGGCATTTCAACGCTCTGCTGGTTATTGCGAACAACTCGACGTTCATGAGCCATATGCTACTGTGCGAGAAGCATTTGAATTTTCTGCACTCCTCCGCCAGCCATCGCATATTCCAAGGAGTGAGAAGCTTGCTTATGTGAATACAATTATCGACCTCCTCGAACTCCATGATCTAGCTGATACCTTGATTGGTTCTGTTGGTAATGGCCTCAGTGTGGAACAACGCAAACGTGTGACGATCGGAGTAGAATTGGTTTCGAAGCCCACTATCCTTATCTTCCTTGACGAGCCGACCTCTGGCTTGGATGGACAATCGGCCTTCAACACCGTCAGATTCCTCCGGAAGTTAGCAGATATTGGCCAAGCAATCTTGGTCACTATTCATCAGCCATCTGCACAACTGTTCTCTCAATTTGATACCCTCCTTCTACTGGCCAAAGGAGGAAAGACCGTCTATTTTGGTGATATTGGCGAAAATGGTGATACAATTAAGAGCTATTTTGGACGATATGGTGCTGTCTGCCCTCCTAGGGTGAATCCTGCCGAACATATGATTGACGTTGTTTCTGGGAATGTCCATCCTCGTCAAGAATGGCATAAGATCTGGCTCAAGTCCCCAGAGCATGAGCGCACGGTGAAGGAGCTCGATCATATTCTCGAAGAAGCGAATGCAAAGCCACCAGTGATGCAAATTGACGACAATGAATTCGCCACCTCTCTATGGGAGCAAATCAAGATTGTCACTCATCGGATGAACGTGTCTCTCTTTCGGAACACAGAATACATCAACAATAAGCTGATCCTCCACATTATCTCTGCACTATTCAACGGATTTTCCTTCTGGATGATTGGCGATAGCTTTGGATCTTTACAAATGCGCCTCTTCACCATTTTCAACTTCATATTCGTTGCCCCAGGTGTGGTCAACCAGCTTCAACCCTTGTTTATTGAGAGGCGTGACATATATGACACCCGGGAGAAGAAGTCCAGGATGTATTCGTGGAAAGCATTCGTGACAGGACTGATTTTGTCCGAATTACCCTATCTATGTGTTTGTGCCGTTCTGTACTTCGTGTGCTGGTATTACACGGTCGGCTTCCCGAGTGATTCCAACAAAGCTGGCGCTAGCTTCTTCCTAGTTCTGCTCTACGAGTTCATTTACACCGGCCTAGGCCAAATGATTGCTGCCTTCGCACCGAATCCAACGTTTGCCGCGCTTGCAAACCCTGTGATCCTCGGAACTATTGTTGCCTTCTGCGGTATGCTAGTGCCATATTCCGAGATCACTCCATTCTGGAGGTATTGGTTGTACTATCTCAACCCTTTCACGTATGTGACTGGGGGATTGTTGACATTCAACATCTTTAGCGCGGACGTGAGATGTACCAAGGATGAATTCGCTGTTTTTAGCCCACCGAGCGGACAAACCTGTTCTCAATACCTGGCTGAATACATGGAAGGAATCGGCTCTCGAACGAATCTTGTTAATCCAAATGCAACGGCTGATTGTCGTGTGTGCCCATACCGGAGTGGAAACGATTACCTCTACACACTCAACCTTAAGCACGTCGATGGATGGCGCAACATTGGCATCACTTTCATCTTTATTCTCAGTTCTTACGCTACGGTCTTCTTGATGATGAAGCTTCGAACCAAGGCTTCGAAGAAGGCAGAGTGAAGTACTACTCACAATGCTGAACTCCCTTATCCCCTCTGTGGCCCGTGCAGATTATCCTCGGTCTTTCCTGTGCATATTCCATTCTCTTGACCAACTTCACTTTCCTTCATCATGTTACTTCTTTCAGATTCTATTCCTTTCAAGTGCTTTTTTAATTGTTGATATTTCCATCACATCATGTATAATCTGTCCTTTTTGGGATCACTCGCATTTGAGAAGCTCATTCTTAGGAACCAGAGGTTACCTCAGAATCAGTCTCCTTCAACACAAATACCACGGATAGAAGATATGCAATTGTTACAGTAGGATAGGAAGCACGAATTCATGTATTTCTTCACCCTCGTCGTTATATCCGGGTCAAATTTTCTTCCACGAGGTAAACTAAGATGTTATATGTAGCGACTAGTCCAATTTCAATACACCCGACGGAAGCGTAAAACGCGGCAGACCGTAGGAATTCAGGAAGATTCCAGAAGCTGGTTTATTTCCCAGACATCGGAAACGTTTTCCGGGGCCCGCCGACTAACTATCTGCCCTATGTAAACATCCATTAAACTCGGTATTTGTAAAAATTCCAAATGACTGACTCTAGACATATATGAGCCGTCCAGGAATTACATAAGTCCAGGACATCTTACGTAGCTTGTGAGACTATCTATCATCGCTATCAAGAAATCGGTCACGTTACTTTTGACAGTTCTATCAATGCTAGGAATTTAAGTCTTGACGGCCCTAGGAGCTCCCTTACTCCCGGGGCTTTTGAACGGTTTATAAGATCAAAGAAGCAGCTTATAGAAGCCACGTAGCCCCAAGGAACCCCGACGTAGCTTATAAAGTTTAGTACCCCTACCTCGGAGAATTAACGCCGCGTTCTTATTGACGATTTGTTTTGTTTCCGAAACTATAATTTGGCTTTCTAAGTAATTTGAATAACACAGATTTGTCCGTAGGTTTAGTGAAGGTGTTTTATAAGGCTTTCTGCGATCTCGGATGTAGTATATTGGCTCTACGACCCTAAAGTAAGTTCGTAGGGGCTGCATAGCTCCCAGATCTAGCCAATATATTCCTAAGGCCTGTTTTGTATTTAGTAAGGAACGTAGAGTGAAGTTCCTCGGGATAGATCTCGTATATCTAGAGCCTATAATAGCCCTAAAAGCTAGAAATGTTTCGTAGAGGATCGAAAGCTTATATAAACGCTTTACGGTCCCTAGAGCCAACATTTTGATCCAGAGTCAAGCTAGCAAGTGCAATATCCATAGCTCACCAAGAATTAGATCAAGCTTACTAAGGATTCTCGGCCCTATTCTGGCATTAGACAGACATAGTGAATTAGGTAGAGTATTGAGTCTCATTATTAACTTATAAGTCATTTAACGTAGTCGACTTTGCCTAAAATGAAAAAAAGTATAGCGCTCTATTAGGAGTCCGGCATAATAATACTGCAATTAATCATCAAACGGCAAGCACGTGATCATGCGAGCAGTAGAATAGTTGACAGTCGACAAGTAGAACAGTTCTACTGTTCTACATTCTACTCATTGTTACGGATATACCAGGCACCAATCAGTATGGGGCCGCAACTTGTTGATGGGCGGTCATGGACCAGTCAATCGACCGACCCATTGGGATCACGTGACGAACAGTCAGAGAGATACGATTGGACGAACAAGCGGTTCAGGGGTTCGCGTCTCGGCCCGTCCCGTCATTTTCGCTCGATTAATGTCGCGTCGCGCAACAGCAGATCGGTGTATTCAGAACTCGGTATTTGAGACCTCCATACAGGATCTGTAACGGTCTATTCTCCATTTGATTCGTATACTGTCGATAGCGAAAACGGCTTCTACCCCCCAGACTGCCTTTCTTCTCCCAGGCCCCACTTCCAAGGCACTTGCCTAGGTCTTTTAATGGCCAGACCACACCAAGCTGAGGGCCGCCGTAAAAAACAAGGTACCTCGTACGACAACAACCAAGCTTCACTACTTAAAATTTAGAACGCAGATGTAATTTTACCAAGGAGCTACAGTACCGTACGCGGGCTTGGTACACTGGCCCTCAACTTCATGTACTCCGATCAATAGATGATCTGCGCTAAGGCCTTGGCAGTGGAACCTTGGAGAAGAAAAGCAGTCTGGTGGGTAGAAGCTGTTTTCGCTATCGACTGTAGATGGAGAGGGTGGATCGGGCTTGGTGAGCGTATGAGAATCAGAGGAAGGGCAGGACGGATACATAGCTTCTAGAACATTCTACAGACCAGATAGACAAGTAGCAACTTACCACTTGACTGGAGAGTTTATTCTCCTGTGGCAGCAACCAGGAAAACATGACCACGTGTCTGATTTAACCAGAATTCTTGTAATATTCCAAATACTCCTCCCTTGACGGCTCCTCAATTGCACCCACTAAGCAACAAACCTTGGTTCCGTCGGGTGCTGACGGCCGCCAGATTTGGGCCTGTGGATCGTGTCTAGACTTTGGCAGATCCTCCCAACGTCTTCTCCAGACCACGAATCAAACCGCCTTGATTGATATGTACGTTCTAGCAGGGTGGTATCTGGCTTTCCGCAGACCAACCCATATGGCAGGAACAATTCAAAGCAAGCATTAAGTACTTCAGCAAGCAAGATAGAAATCATTGTCGACGTGTAGACATCACAAGAAGACAAAACGCTTTCATCATATGTAGATCATTTCGCTGACAGGGCCTTCAAAAGAGACGCGCTTTTTGTGACACCGTTCTTTCGGTCCGTAAAGGGACGAGACAAGCACGTTCTGGAGGTTTGCAACTCACGCTTGAGAACGTCCAAGTGTGCAGTAAGACTTTTCGGCGTGATTGAGCGCCGCAGATCCTTGTTCTTTCTCGCCCTGTATCCATCTGTCAGCGAATCTCTTGTATATGAAATCAGATTGTACAATCTGAAATCGAAGTAAATGAGGCAGGGTAGGCAAAAAGCATGCGAGGACGGTGTACTGACTTCATTCACCTGGAAGGTCTGAAAATGGTTGGTTAGAACATTGCAGTCGATGAAGCACACGATAATGGAGGTGGTCACTTACTGCGTGATGGAATATGCGCGGCTGGGCTGGCTGCCCGATGGATCATCGACTGTCACCGATTCTTGACTATGTTCGATTGACTCTCCGAAGCGGCGCTCGGTCCGAAGTTGATTCTCTCTGCCGGCTGCTACTCCCTCAGTTTTGATCTGCATGGAGGCAGCGGATTCGGATTGGCATTCATTCCCAGTCCGATAGCGAAGATTGTGTTCTTCCAGCATTTCAGAACTTGTGCATTAGATTTTCGAGGCTGGTGCTACCGACTTCGATGATCCGCATGCAACACGTCAATAGTTCTAGGAGTCTGTCAGAATTTGCAAGAGAAACAACCCTTTTTCATGAGTGAATGAACTTTGACAGAAAACCAACTTTATTTTGTATTTCAAGCGCGCTAGGGAGTTCATTGAAAGGATTGCTAGGCGAAAGAAACGTTGCCTCTGTGGCACTGTTAGCCAAACAATTGCGGATAGGGTTTGAACACAAAAGATGTTGAACTTCCACATATGTACGTCCATTGGAAACAAGGGTGTTACTTCATGGCGAAACAAGCCCACCACGGGTACGATCAAACATGAGCATCGGTCACAAAGTACAAAACATTGCTTTACCGTTATCGAAAGTTTCAATCATCTTCCACAAGACTCTGACTCATAGCCGGACTAGGTGCCACCCTGTTGAGCGATTTAGTTGCAAATTCAACGATGTGTAAGAATCATATTCTTGCGGTTTAGCTCTCTTCTCAACAGTTGATGAACGTTGTTCACCACACTCAACGCAGAATTTGGGAGACATGATTCCAGGACAACTCTTGACTCTGTAGGCCACAAAGTCTCGAAAACCCCTTTCAACGTCGTTCATATTGCGTCAACACCTATCAAATGCGCCATTCTCGTTACCATCTGCGCATGTGGTTCCTTGGAATAGACGTAGCCGAAAAGGTATAAAAGAGGCCCAATTCCCAGCCCAAAAAAAATCAGGACTTCGGTCCTCACACTCCGATGTGTCACGGTGTCCCTCTTGCCTACAGGCTTGAGGGTCTCCATGACCACGGCTTTCGCTGCCACGAGCCCAGCGATGTAAGACTTGTGCTCCCTCACAGCCAATGAGCCCTGTGATTGTAAAAATGTGCTCCCTCACAGCCAATGAGCCCTGTGACTGTAGAAGTGTGCTTCGCAGGATAGGTCTGCGTTATCAATATGCCTCGCAGGGGGGTGCTGCGAAAACAAGACTACCCCGCAGGATAGGTCTGCGTCAACAATATGCCTCGCAGGGGGGTGCTGCGTTACCAAGTTCTCTGCAGGAGACCGCTGCGATACCAAGTTCTCCCTCATAGCCTTGAGCCCTGTGACTGTATAATCTTAAGCTTCCATGCAGCCTTGAGCCCTGCGTTATCAAATTTGTGCTTTTTGAGGTGTCCCGTGGCGCCGCGGTGCCAGTCCTGATCCTTTGACAATGTGCAGGCACCTCTTCGTGGTGTCAGAGACTAGTATTCGAATTTGCAACAGCATTCGATGAAGCCAAGACCTGCCCAACATGTTCATAATCTGTATCGTGTTGCAAAGCACCTTAGCATAGACGATCAATCACCAGCTCAATCTAAGCTGGGATTCCTCTTTAGCGACCCGTATTCCCACTCTGTATGCCTTTCCGCAGTCGATGATCCGTTTGCTGCAACGTAAAATCGCTTGATTTGGGTGTAGAACACATAGCGATGTTGTGTTGCGATGCTGTTTCGGTAGGATGTTTGTTATGCCAGTGTGAAGTGAAAGTAGAGATTTTGAGCTTGTGTGTTGACGTGTTGACGTGTTGATGTTGATGCCGGTGTGGTGAAATGTGCAGTAATCGGGCGGTGAAGGGACTGGTGATCAACGCACATGCAGGCAGCGCGGCTTCTTACCATGTCACCATATCATGATGATTCCAATTGCCTCGGCTCCGTGAGGCAATCC